ATAACAATGAGAGAGAATAACGAATGAGATAACAATATATAGATAGAGGCTATTACAGAAAAAAGATTCATTTTTAGATATGCAATATTAAAAGTATACAAAAAAAGTATTAGTATGATTGAATTTAGCATATAGAAAAATAAATATAAAAAATAAGCGTTTATAAAATAAAAATGTCTATAATCATAAATCTTACCGTCTTGGTTGTTAATCAACAAGTTTTACGCAAATAGGATAGCCAAATATGAAGCCCATTACAAAAATTCACTAACATGTTGGTACATTTGAATTTGTAACACACAAAACCATTATCAGATAGAAATAGCACTACTATTCTCAGAGAAATCCGATAATCTTAACAAAATACTAATACACATTAATCAACAAAAATTAATACATTGTGGATATATTAGTTTGGAAATTGAAATAAATATTGGATATGGGAAATACAAAGAGTAGTTTTGGTATGTCTGAATTTGTCTATTTTCTCAAAGTAAGGCTAGTAAGAATGACGCCACCAAAAAGAGGCTTGTCAATCACCCTACAAGCTTGGGAAGGTACCGACATTCAACTGTATTGTCATGTTTACTGTCGTAAATTTTTAAATAAAAACAGATGATTTTGACCACCAATTGCCAGATTCTGTGGTCATTTTTATTTTAGTATTGACCGAACAAATATTGCTACTATGATTGCCATGCTGTGTATTCCCTCCCTTCATGGGTCCACCAATCACCAGAACCCCCTCCCTCTCCCAACCCCTGTGTATGTGAGTGTAGTATATTTGTTTTTTGTTTTGTTTTTTGATGGAGATTCATCGACAGAAGAGACAAACCCGCCGGCCTGGTTCGTTTTCCGAAGACGATTCCAAACAAAGAACAAGCAGTGTTTATAAAGTACCGGTAAGATTAAATTTGTGTGTTTGGTAACATTGACAACCATGAATAGACTTTATTTAGTTCGTACCGATTACAAATGGTATCAAAATGAGTAAATAAGACAATAATGAGATATAATAGCATTATATTTTGAATGCTGGTTCCTCATTAATCAGAAAAGTATTTGTAAAATTAAGTTATAAGACAAATATGTTGAATGAGGTCGCTTCCTTGATGCCAAATAATTTAGGTAATCACAGGAATGTATGTTTAGAATGGAATGGAGGGATGAAATGAAAAATTTAACAAAAATAAACGATGCTTTAGTATAATAAATATATATATCCACTATTTGATTTTACATAAGTCATGAACTATAAATTATTAACTTTTCATATTTATATGGAATATTGAATCAAATATAGAAATTGTATTGTAGCTAAATGAAAAATACAATAAAAAATTTGGTTCCTAAACAATAGATCGATCAAGAATCTGTTTTTATTTTAATAAAATCACACGAACCTGATTGGTCGACCCATGTTGTGATTAAAATTCTCATAGATACGTGCCTGCATAGAGGATTAAAGTACGTATGACATTGGGTATAGACTGAATAGTCTCATTCCATTGGGTATAGTCTAAAATAGTCTCATGTCATTGGGTATAGTCTAAAATAGTCTCGAGTGCGGCTCAATGCATTTGTTTGCAAGTAGTTCTCAGACATGTTTGGTCAAACTCTCCTTCAGATTTGAATACTCAAGTTTTATTTACCATTTTATTATGGTTCCAGAATCTTTAAGTTCTTTAATAGAGAACACCTGTAGAAAAAAATATACAATTAATCATAATATCGATGATATAATATTCTTCTTCGCATTCATATAATTGAGAAAATAAATCTTATTAGTTGTATGAGAATATCTTTTTAATTGTAGGCACAAGATAGACTATTGATTGATCCCATGTGATAGCATTCTAAATTTTTTCAAAGTTTGCAGTGAAGATGGTGTAACGTATTCAAACAAAGGGCTTACAGCATAAGATTTAATGCATAAATATAAATCAGTATGGGTTAGCAAATACGAACCAATATTAAATCGCTTTTATTTCGCTTTTACTATGCTAATGAAAACAGCGTGGATAACTATTTTGACAAATTCATTACATTAGTGATTTCAACCTTTCTATTTACACAAACTGACAACAACAAATAAAAAAAACCGAGGACCGGCAACAGATGATTGCAATATTAATAATGATTTGAAACTAACGTAACATTTATAGTAAAACAGGTATAACTTCTACATCGTCTCATCTTATTGTGTATTTCTTTTTTACCACGTGAACTATAAAATATGACACTAAAACAGTAAATGTCAATCAACTTTACGTTACTTGAGATTTGATCTAACAGAAGAAATGTTAAATGGCTTACGGATGAAAATATTAACTTAATTAAACAATTTAATTTTGATTAGTCGCTGAAACATTATCAGGTCTTGCGTGTTTTCACAAAGGGATCGATCATTCTGAAACTAAATTTGTAAAGTCTTAGCGCCATCAAATATCAGCGTAATAAAAATCAAAACACATAAGTAGAATTGTGACAAAAAGTCGTAAAAATCTGAGTAGCTAAGATAACATTATTATCACTAATCCTAGTTAAATCGATATAAAACATTTACATACATTCTAGATCCGTCTTTGCTTCCGTCTTCCTTCGTCAGCATTTCTCAATCTTCATAGTCCTGTATCTGAGAAGCTGAGATAACATTAATATCACTAATCCTAGTTAAATCGATAAAAAATATTTACATACATTTTAGATTCGTCTTTGCTTCCGTCTTCCTTCGTCATCATTTCTCAAACTTCATAGTCCTGTATCTGAGAAGCTAAGATAACATTATTATCACTAATTCTATTTAAATCGATATAAAACATTTACATACATTCTAAATTCGTCTTTTTCCCGTCTTCCATCATCTTCATTTTTGAATCTTCATAGTCCTGTATCTGAGAAGCAAAGATAACATTATTATCACTAATCCTAGTTAAATCGATATAAAACATTTACATACATTCTAGATTCGTCTTCGCTTCCGTCTTCCGTGGTCTTCATTTCTGAATCTTCCTAATCCTGTATCTGAGAAGCTAAGATAACATTATTATCACTAGTCTTAGATGAATCGATATAAAACATTTACATACATTCAAGATTCGTCTTTACTTCCGCCTTCCGTCGTCTTCATCTCTGCATCTTCATAGTCCTGTATAAGAGAAGCTAAGATGATATTAATATCACTATTCCAAGTTAAATCGATATAAAACATTTACATACATTTTAAATTCGTCTTTTTCCCGTCGTCCATCGTCTTCATTTTTAAAACTTCATAGTCCTGTATCTGAGAAGCTAAGATAATATTATTATCACTAATCCTAGATAAAACGCTATAAAACATTTACATACATTCTAGATTCGTCTTTGCTTCCGTCTTCCGACGTCTTCATAGTCCTGTATCTGAGAAGCTAAGATGATATTAATATCACTATTCCTGGTTAAAACGATAAAAAATATTTACATACATTTCAGATTCGTCTTTGCTTCCGTCTTCCTTCGTCATCATTTCTCAAACTTCATAGTCCTGTATCTGAGAAGCTAAGATAACATTATTATCACTAATCCTAGATGAATCGATATAAAACATTTACATACATTCTAGATTTGTCTTTGCTTCCGTCATCCGTCGTCTTCATCTCTGCATCTTCATAGTCTTGTATCTGAGAAGCCAAGATGATATTAATATCACTATTCCTAGTTAAATCGATAAAAAATATTTACATACATTCTAGATTCGTCTTTGTTTCCGTCTTCCTTCGTCATCATTTCTCAATCTTCATAGTCCTGTATCTGAGAAGCTAAGATAACAATATTATCACTAATCCTAGTTAAATTGTTATAAAACATTTACATACATTTTAAATTCGTCTTTTTTCCCGTCTTCCATCGTCTTCATTTCTGAATCTCCATAATCCTGTTTCTGAGAAGCTAAGATAACAATATTATCACTAATCCTAGTTAAATCGATATAAAACATTTACATACATTCTAGATTCGTCTTTGCTTCCGTCTTCCGTCGTCTTCATAGTCCTGTATCTGAGAAGCTAAGATGATATTAATATCACTATTCCTGGTTAAATCGATAAAAAATATTTACATACATTTTAGATTCGTCTTTGCTTCCGTCTCCTTTCGTCATCATTTCTCAAACTTCATAGTCCTGTATCTGAGAAGCTAAGATAACATTATTATCACTAATCCTAGATGAATCGATATAAAACATTTACATACATTCTAGATTCGTCTTTGCTTCCGTCATCCGTCGTCTTCATCTCCGCATCTTCATAGTTTTGTATCTGAGAAGCCAAGATGATATTAATATCACTATTCCTAGTTAAATCGATAAAAAATATTTACATACATTCTAGATTCGTCTTTTTTTTCGTCTTCCTTCGTCATCATTTCTCAATCTTCATAGTCCTGTATCTGAGAAGCTAAGATAACAATATTATCACTAATCCTAGTTAAATTGTTATAAAACATATACATACATTTTAAATTTATCTTTTTTCCCGTCTTCCATCATCTTCATTTTTGAATCTTCATAGTCCTGTATCTGAGAAGCTAAGATAATATCATTATCACGTATCCTAGTTAAATCGATAAAAAATATTTACATACATTCTAGATTCGTCTTTTCTTCGGTCTTCATTCGTCACCATTTCTCAATCTTCATAGTCCTGTATCTAAGAAGCTAAGATAACATTATTATCGCTTATCCCTTATCCTAGTTAACTCGATATAAAATTTTCACATACATTCTAGATTGGTCTTTGCTCCCGTCGTCTTCATTTTTGAATCTTCATAGTCCTGCATTTGAGAAGCTAAGATAACATTAATATTACTGTTCCTAGTTAAATCAATAAAAAATATTTACATACATTCTAAATTCGTCTTTGCTTCCATCTTCCTTCGTCATCATTTCTCAATCTATATAGTCCTGTATCTGAGAAGCTAAGATAACATTATTATCACTAATCCTAGTTAACTCGATATAAAATATTCACATACATTCTAGATTGGTCTTTTTTTCGTCCTCCATCGTCTTCATTTCTGAATCTCCATAATCCTGTTTCTGAGAAGCTAAGATAACATTATTATCACTAATCTTCGTTAAATCGATATAAAACATTTACATACATACATTCCAGATTCGTCTTTGCTTCCGTCGTCTTCATTTTTGAATCTTCATAGTCCTGCATTTAAGAAGCTAAGATAACATTTTAGCTAAGATAACATTAATATTAATGTTCCTAGTTAAATCAATAAAAAATGTTTACATACATTCCAGATTCCTCTTTGCTTCCGTCTTCCGTCGTCTTCATTTCTGAATCTTCATAGTCCTGTATCTAAGAAGCTAAGAGAACATTACTAAAGCTAATCCTAAAACATATTTACATACATTCTAGATTCGCCTTTGCTTCCGTTGTCTTCATTTCTTAATCTCCATAGTCCTGTATCTGAGAAGCTAAGAACATTAATAAAACTAATCCTAGTTAAATTGATATAAAATATTCACATACATTCTAGATTCGTTCTTGCTTCCTTCTATTCGTCATTTCCTAATCTTTATAATTGTGCATCTGAAAAACTGAGATACAATAATATTAACTAGGCCTAATCAAATCCATCTCACCCATAATGGTGGGAATGTCCTAATGGGTATATCTATAAAAAATGAAAAAAAAATTCAAATACCAAATAAACAAAAAGGCATGGCATGCCCTGTTAACTTTTTGTTCTTTTGTCGTTCTCTTGATATCTTGTTTCCTGTTGAAAATATCTCAAGAAAAATAGAATAGAATATAACAATGAGAGAGAATAACGAATGAGATAACAATATATAGATAGAGGCTATTACAGAAAAAAGATTCATTTTTAGATATGCAATATTAAAAGTATACAAAAAAAGTATTAGTATGATTGTATTTAGCATATCGAAAAATAAATATAAAAAATAAGCGTTTATAAAATAAAAATGTCTATAATCATAAATCTTACTGTCTTGGTTGTTAATCAACAAGTTTTACGCAAATAGGATAGCCAAATATGAAGCCCATTACAAAAATTCACTAACATGTTGGTACATTTGAATTTGTAACACACAAAACCATTATCAGATAGAAATAGCACTACTATTCTCAGAGAAATCCGATAATCTTAACAAAAAAATAATACACATTAATCAACAAAAATTAATACATTGTGGATATATTAGTTTGGAAATTGAAATAAATATTGGATATGGGAAATACAAAGAGTAGTTTTGGTATGTCTGAATTTGTCTTATTTTCTCAAAGTAAGGCTAGTAAGAATGACGCCACCAAAAAGAGGCTTGTCAATCACCCTACAAGCCTGGGAAGGTACCGACATTCAACTGTATTGTCATGTTTACTGTCGTAAATTTTTAAATAAAAACAGATGATTTTGACCACCAATTGCCAGATTCTGTGGTCATTTTTATTTTAGTATTGACCGAACAAATATTGCTACTATGATTGCCATGCTGTGTATTCCCTCCCTTCATGGGTCCACCAATCACCAGAACCCCCTCCCTCTCCCAACCCCTGTGTATGTGAGTGTAGTATATTTGTTTTTTGTTTTGTTTTTTGATGGAGATTCATCGACAGAAGAGACAAACCATGCCGGCCTGGTTCGTTTTCCGAAGACGATTCCAAACAAAGAACAAGCAGTGTTTATAAAGTACCGGTAAGATTAAATTTGTGTGTTTGGTAACATTGACAACCATGAATAGACTTTATTTAGTTCGTACCGATTACAAATGGTATCAAAATGAGTAAATAAGACAATAATGAGATATAATAGCATTATATTTTGAATGCTGGTTCCTCATTAATCAGAAAAGTATTTGTAAAATTAAGTTATATGACAAATATGTTGAATGAGGTCGCTTCCTTGATGCCAAATAATTTAGGTAATCACAGGAATGTATGTTTAGAATGGAATGGAGGGATGAAATGAAAAATTTAACAAAAATAAACGATGCTTTGGTATAATAAATATATCCACTATTTGATTTTACATAAGTCATGAACTATAAATTATTAACTTTTCATATTTATATGGAATATTGAATCAAATATAGAAATTGTATTGTAGCTAAATGAAAAATACAATAAAAAATTTGGTTCCTAAACAATAGATCGATCAAGAATCTGTTTTTATTTTAGTAAAATCACACGAACCTGATTGGTCGACCCATGTTGTGATTAAAATTCTCATAGATTCGTGCCTGCATAGAGGATTAAAGTACGTATGACATTGGGTATAGACTGAATAGTCTCATTCCATTGGGTATAGTCTAAAATAGTCTCATGTCATTGGGTATAGTCTAAAATAGTCTCGAGTGCGGCTCAATGCATTTGTTTGCAAGTAGTTCTCAGACATGTTTGGTCAAACTCTCCTTCAGATTTGAATACTCAAGTTTTATTTACCATTTTCTTATGGTTCCAGAATCTTTAAGTTCTTTAATAGAGAACACCTGTAAAAAAAATATACAATTAATCATAATGTCGATGATATGATATTCTTCTTCGCATTCATATAATTGAGAAAATAAATCTTATTAGTTGTATGAGAATATCTTTTTAATTGTAGGCACAAGATAGACTATTGATTGATCCCATGTGATAGCATTCTAAATTTTTTCAAAGTTTGCAGTGATGGTGTAACGTATTCAAACAAAGGGCTTACAGCATAAGATTTAATGCAATATTATAAATCAGTATGGGTTAGAAAATACGAACCAATATTAAATCGCTTTTACTATGCTAATGAAAACAGCGTGGATAACTATTTTGACAAATTCATTACATTGGTGATTTCAATCTTTCTATTCCCACAAACTGACAACATCAAATAAAATAAACCCGAAGACCGGCAACAGATGATTGAAATATTAATAATGATTTGAAACTAATGTAACATTTATAGTAAGACAGGTATAACTTATACATCGTCTCATCTTATTCAATATTTCTTTTTTACCGCGTGAACTATAAAATATGAAACTAAAACAGTAAATGTCAATCAACTTTACGTTACTTGAGATTTGATCTAACAGATGAAATGTTAAATGGCTTACGGATGAAAATATTAACTTAATTAAACAATTTAATTTTGATTAGTCGCTGAAACATTATCAGGTCTTGCGTGTTTTCACAAAGGGATCGATCATTCTGAAACTAAATTTGTATAAAGTCTTAGCGCCATCAAATATCAGCGTAATAAAAATCAAAACACATAAGTAGAATTGTGACAAAAAGTCGTGAAAAATATTTTTATTTTACCCGATTTTTGAAATGATGAACGTTTCCCAGCGTTTTCCCACTAGTCAAATATTCATTCTTATTTTTTATAGTCATGTCCTCCTCTTTGCAGTTTTTCTCGTAAACTCGTATGGCATTTTTATTGATGTTTGATATGGTGACTATCTTGCGACAGAATTTGGATTATATTTGAAAAAATTAAACTTTAGTTATCAGATTTTGTACGCTTTTGAATGATATGAATAAAAGTTCGAATTTACTCGCTACCAAACAAATCTGGGTGGAGTATTTCAAACTAATTTGACGCATTCTTAATCCAAATTTAAAGGTGAATCAACAGACAACAAGTCAATATATACTTTCTCACTTTTAATATATACTTTCTTACCCTTAACAAGTTGAAAAATACTTTGTAATCCTAAATTGGAAACTGTCCTGAGGAGTAAGATTTACAAAAGGTGAAACCAAAAAACGACTTTTAAAGAGGTTAGGTACACAAGATTTTTTTAACCTAAATAACAGAAGCTACATCTAAAATTAGACGTTCCATTTTTCTACCAATTGGCGATAGCAAAAGAAAGATGCAACTGAAATTAATTAATTTAATTCAGAACCGAACAAGAATGCGGACAAGAAAACAGACAAACCATGACGAAACTAAAAGAACGAACGAAATAAACTCTTAAGATTTTGTTAACCTAACTAACAGAAGCTAGATCTAAAATTGAATGTTCCATTTTTCCCAGTTACAATCAGTTAACGACAGTAAACGAAAGATGCAACTTCAGTAAATTAATTCGTTTAACGACCGAACAACAATGCGGACAAGGAAACAGACAAATCATGACGAAACTAAGATAATCGAAATAAACTCTTTTCAAAAAATTATGAGGTGAGTATAAATCAGTCAAAAATACCGAACGAAATAATATTTCAAAGCAACATGGTATATGGATACGCGCACGCTCTAATGAAACATTAACGCGATTACCGACTGAACCAAATCAAAATCTTAATTTATTTAATTTTCATCTCATTGGGACTAATTTTAAAAATAGAATCTTGTCTCTAAGGCGTTTTTAAATTTGAATTACACAAATTTCATTGAGAGTAGGGCAAGTTGAAAGTTTATGTAAGTTGTTTTTAAAAGCAACAAAATGTTATGGCCAAATGCTTGTTCGGTAAGGGTAAATGTTTAATGTCAAATACTTGACGGGCATAAACAATACTTTTTGATTGAATAGATTTCGAAATACTTGATATATTTAAAAAAAAAAGATTTGAAAGATGATTTAAAGCAGGGGGGGCAAAGTGCGGCCCGCGGAGATGTGCTAATTTTGAATGGTGCGCGGCCAGAGAAACGAGTGTTTAATTTCATTCAATCTGGTTCTCTTTGAGTTGAAAAACTTATATCCGAGTCCAATCCAATTTATTATCTATGTCTATGAGGTTACAATGTCCTAACAGCGAAGCGAACAAAGCGATTCAGAAAGCTGAAGCACACTTTCTGAGCAGCGAGCAATTTTGGGAAAGGGCAGAGTTAATGAATTAGTAAGAACGGGCAATTGAGATTGGATAATTGAGAAGCAGTTTAAAAAAAAATTATTATTAAAAGATACAAAAACTAAATGAGTTTTGGTTCCAGTCTACCAGTCTCTAAATCTAATTTTCTAATTTAAAATAAGATTAAACAGCAAATTATTTGGAAATGTATCTTGGCGATTTTTACCGAAAACATCTCAACCTAGATAACTTTTTCCACATTTGAAAAAAGTCATGGTTTCGACAAATATGGCAATTTCCAAATCAACATAATTTTTTTTTAAATGGGCGTCATGAAACCGCCTGAAAGAAGAAGACTTGAAAAATGGATATCGAATTGTTAGCACTTCCATTAGAGCAAATTTGGATAAAAGTAGTCAAGAAAAGAATCTAGCAGCAACTGAATTTTTTATTTTAATTCGGTGTGACAATAAATTTGAAGAACAGTTTTTAGAAATTTATGCGTTTTTGCAAGGACCCCGATATTGCCATAAGATCAAGACACTATTTTGTGCCCGCAACTAATGGAAAGCCTATGTTAAAATAAGGCCACGGTTTTACCCATATATTGATATCTGACCCGCCTGCGAAAAAGGTTGCACACCCCAGGTTTAAAGAGATTATTTGAACGAATCAGACTTTACACTAAAGCCCGTCAATAAATTCGTTATATACAAGTACATATATTCAAATAAACATACGCTACTCTATCTCAAAGCCCAAAGATTGCATAAATATTGTTAAAAGTGCTTATTGCTACCCAACATGGATTGAATAAATAAACGGCAAACACAACCATAAACAATTTACGAGCTATAACGTATTTCGGTGTGAGTAAGTATATTGATTTAAAAAATTGTTTCTGACGTCAATATCAAACTTCAGAATAAGAATGCACCTGTTCTGTTCTAAACGCTACACTTAAACTTTCACTCTTCTATTTCAATTAATCAATTAATATTAGGGACCGGATAAAAATTAAAAAACCAAAAAATATGTGACAACGACGAAATAAAATATGTTATTTCGGGAAAACGTGTGTGAATAATTCACACTAGCAGGGACTGTTTTATACCGACAAAAATGAAAATGTAAAAACTAGTCAGGCGTATTGACAGCAAAAAAATTGAAACACAGTAGTAAGAAACTCGAAGAACTTTACGAAGAAAACGCTTGCGAATAAACTTGTCAAATTAACAAATCCAAATTTCAACCACAATTAAAACACATGCAATTTATTTCATTTTGAGTATTTTTTCAGTGCACGCACAAACTTGGCCAGTGCTCCACAATACTAAAAGGCCATTATATGGCATAAATAACAATCTGTCTTTAGTTTGAACCAGGGGTCATCAACGCGTTGCCTGCGGGCACCAAGTCGCCCGTAAGGACCTCACAAGTTTCCCGCAGGTCTGTTCTAAAATTAGCTCAAACGGCACTTATCAGCAAGCTGTAACCATTAATTTTATTTTTAAATAAATCACACTCATATGAGTACTGATGACAATGTATTGGTCTACTTATTGTAAGTAACGATAAACCTTATCTATTTATGAGACATCAGTTATGTCACGGTCATTTAATACTCTACAATTATGACATCACACACATCAGGTCAGATAGGGCCATGCATATCAATCATTTCTAATCTTTTCATGAATATCAAAATTGCTGAGCAACATCTAGCTTGATGCTGGAGCTTGAAATTGAAACTCCCACCTCAAATCCTTCCAGGTTGTGTCAAACTTTAAGGGCCTATAGTTGACACATAAAGCTACAGTGGGGTATGAACAACAGTCTTGAAGGTCGCAAGCTTGTTTGGTTCAACCTATCTTTGTGAATCAGCCTTTTCTGACATGAACTTCATCAAGTACAAACGCAGAACAAGTCTCACTGATTAACACAAGATGCACCAGAGTTGCAGTGTCAAGTCATACACCAGATTTACAACACACTGCATGAGCACGCAATGTCCGGTTCCCCACGATCTAATCAAGAAATAGACCAGATTTAGTTCTGGTTGAAATTAAGATATATATTGATGATTTGATAAATGTTTTATAAAAATGTAACATTTGATAGTACAACCGAAAAGTCCATTTTATATCAGGAATGAGCATGTTTTAACTAATTAATAAAAAGATATTTGAATCATTACTGACGGTGTATTAATAATACATAACTAATTGCATTGTAAATTTAGGTATCAACACCCGCAAACTTACTGATTTTTCAAAGCATTCTAGATGAGATCGAAGAGCTGAATATATCAGAAATATTGGTTTATATATATCTAGCGACTTCTAGCCGATACCGCTATAAATACCGACACCAAAAAAATAGTCGAAACCCGATACATCGGTACATCACAAGTTTCAACTTGAAATTGTTTAAAATTCAATACGAACATTGAAAGTAGAACTAAACTTGGATTATACTGAATGACCCCTGGTTCTCTTAGAAAACAACAAACGATTGAGCAAAGAGACTAATTACGACGTCCCGACTGCTGCGGCACGCGTGCAGTACAACTTGGATTATGCTGCGTCTTTGCTGAATCTGAAAATATATGGCACATCCCGCGGCGCGGCGGTCTGGCTCAACGGGCTAAGCGTTAGGAATACGCTCGCCACCGCACCTCTAATTACTCTGCGTAGGTTCGCAGGTTCGAATCCCATGCAGGGATGGTTATGTGCGAGAAGATTGCTAGACTCTTCGCCGTCGTTGGGTGGTTCACGTAACCTCTGGTCGGTTACGACTTCCTCCACCACCAAGTCCATGCTTCCGAAAACAAACAATATATATAACTAATCCCATACCCGACTTGGAATGGTAACCGGACGAGAGGCCGTGGTTCGCCATATGGATAAGCGGCGCTATGCGACCTAGTCTACCAATCACAGCTACTGTTATTTAAATTTGTATTGAACAGTTTTCATTCCTAAAAGCGTTTATTTAAATTTTTTAAATAAAGTCCGACACATACATACAAGAATTATGACGTATTGGCAGCCACACCCCACTATCGTAAGTATGAGTTTAGCTTCGAGCACTCTAAACGCGTACGCGGTCGATGGGAATTTATTGCTATGTTGCTATGGGTATACAGAATGAGGGCTCTACGGTAACACCGGTGCGTGTTGTCAAATTTACTTATATAGTATGGTACTTTGCCTAATCTACCATTTATGGTAAAACGGATTTTTGCTCGTAGCACTGAACCACGAGTCGGCAACCTTTAGCATTGAAAAAGCCTACTCCAATGCCAGTGTTGAGAAAATCTTTCATGAAACTACTTATGATGCAATAATCTAGTTCAGGGGTGAAGCACCCATTTTCTATCGCGGGCCATTGAATCAGTCACCGCCGAGTAAGCGTCCCTCACAACTTTTTAGTCATACTATGATGGCATTAATTTTCTTCAATAAAAACAACTCCATACACCTGAAGTTATTTGAAGATATATTGCAGCATAAAATAATTAATAGAACATTCAATGTTTTTCTTAGTAAGATTGTTGAAAACCTTTTTGGTTTACTTAGCGCTTCATATTAGAACGAATTGACGAATTGGAAACTCTCAACTGCATACTCACGCCATCTCACTTGGCCCCTAGCTCCATTCGGTTCGGGTGTTCGAGATCCGAAGTTTCATTCGAATAAAGGATCATTTTTGACTCGAATGTTTTGATCGACTGCCGAGGTATCACTGTACATTCAATTTATATGGTTGTAGTCAAAATTGTAGTCAAAATTTGATATTTTATCGCAGATCTAAGGATTTCCCCAACGTCGATATCTTGAAAATAATCTTGGGTGGTGGTAGCATTATGACAGAGCGGAGTCAGTGTCGCGAGAACAGATTAAATTTGTATAATTAGTAACATCGCAAAAATACGAATCAAAACTAAATATAACCAGGCAGTTGAAACACTTATGGCCGTGGATTGCCGTGATATTTCGTAGTAATGTTCTTTTTTCGACGCTACCGCAGGTTACATTAAACACACAATTAAATTAATTAAAGCACGACAGAATCGTATTATTCGCCAATTAAATATTGAATATTTTACGCAACTGCAAAATAATTACCCGACAACATAACATAACTGAAAAAACATTATGCGTCAAAAAATTGGGCTTTTTTCATAATTGGCCTCTCTAATTGCGCGGAGAGTTTCATGGAAATTTTCAGATTTCCTCAGAATTATTTCAGAATGTGGTGTTTTTCTTAAGTTTCATATTTTTGCATTAGTGGCGAGGGATTTGTATACAAAAAACCCGTATTTCGCTACCTCCGTATACAGAAATTATAAACGAATCCATCCTATGACAATTAACAGATTTTTGAAATGTTCCATTGTTTTAATCATCGAGTTGTAATCCACCAAGTTGTAAAGTTTTTAATACTTTCAGAAGTCCCGTGTATCGTGCGCCGAAACATTACATTACATTTTCACAAAGTAAGGTTACCCCTCCTTCATTAATTCATATGCTATAAGACATACACAATATACAAAAAAAGATAGTTTGACGCAAATTTTCCCCAAAATCACAAATATTACCTATTTGGAATGATCTTTAAGTGCAGTGATATTCAGCCGGGATTAATATATATACTCAAGTGTATACCAAGTCAGATTGAGGATATACAAATAACAATTGGTATACAGCTATAGCATGATTCGAATATATTTTGCGGCCCATTTTTTTATTTGAACGCGCACCGGACAAGTTCAACATCGGGACTCATTACGTCATGAAGTGTTTATATATCCGCGGCCACGAACTTTGCGAGATGTATAACATGAGCAAGTAATAATTCATATTATTGGCGGAGAGATATACAGAAAAATATGCGGTTGCGTTATTCATAAATTTCTGAGTACAAGCTAACTGCAGGGGTGAGCAAGGTTTTTGGACCAAGGGTCAAAAATTTTGTTCACCTAGACTGGAGCGCCATGTGAGTGTGACATGAAAAGTTACATTTATGAACAATATATACAGTGTTACAAAAGCAAAAATGGAAAACAATAAGCTTTGCGCCCAAACAAATTTATGTGGTTGTGGCAGCATCGGGCGGTCCAGATAGAATTATCCAGCGGGCCGGATTAGGCCTGCGGGACGCAGTTTGCCCACGTCATAAATCAAATCAACGTCAATTTTTAACTTTTTCGTTAGTTTAGCACACATAATATTTTGTGACCATAGTAAGACTTCTTTTTTCTATCTTATATTTATAAAATACAAAGAAAATTAAAATTGAAAATGGTGAAACGCGGTTGTATAGGTAAAAAGGTTGAATAACACTGTTTTAGTTTATTAGATTAGGATCTTTTGTACAAAGCCCACGACCTGCACTACTAATGAAAAAATGTGAGACTGGTAAAACCACCTGCGGCGAGTTTTTTAAAACAAAAAAAAAATATTCAATTAGGTTTAGGAACGATTTGAAAATTTGAATTTCCAGCGCAATCTGCATTTCTAACCCAAACCCGGATAAATACTAATTTATTATTTGGAACGTTAGCGGGGGTGTTTTGTTTTTAACGTGGGGGGGGGGGGGGGGGGTATACAAAATATCCTTAAAATTGATCCTAAGTATATTCGATTACATACTTGATCTGCTGGCCAGACTGTACACTACATGCTTCCATCTTGCTCAGTGATGATTACCAGACAACTGAGAATGACAAATTCCTTTTGATGAAATGATGTTTTGCCAACTTTCGAGCAATGTTTTTGAAAACTGAAAATAAATGTATTTTTAGTTCATTCTCAAATTATCAGTGACGTCTCTAGGGTATGGCAGCTATAGCTCCCACCATTGGATGACTTTGGATTGCGGCGCAAAAAGAGTGAAGAGATTTAATCGTAAATTGTTGCAATAAAATAATTAAATGATTTTAAATTGGAAATAACTGAAACTCTTATTATGCCTAATCACAAATACCAAATTAAATAGCTAAACGCGGAAGTTTGGATACCTGCGATGGAATATAGTAAATTTTACATAAGTATAAAAATCTGGGGAACTTCATGGGGTAAAATTATTTTGGAGGACTTTCAACGACTCTCTGCAATAGCTCCACCAACGCCAAGGGTTCCATCGAACCCGGGATAAGAAAAGGCCACTATACACATTGCCGTACTCATTACACCACGTCCATTGTGTATTGCTCTAGTTGGGGAACGGCAACCTTTTGTCGCTCACGGGCCATAATAAAGGGTTGCAAGTCTTGGCGGGTCGCACATATTTCCAGGAAGATAAGAACCGAACAAATGGCCGATGAATCGCAATTTTTTCACACAGATCAGAATTGAAATTTTAAGCAGCGCGCAAAGACTGCAACAACTCGTGAACGCAACTTGTCGTCTTACTTGTAGAAATTACAAATACTTGCTACCTTGCTACCTTTTTACGCCAAATTACGGCTTTATTGGGTAGAATAGTTAAAACCTTGTCGCGATTCTACGAAATGAAAATGGTCTGGTTCTAACAGGCTTTGACATAACAAATTAATGACCGCGCATCGGTGCTTAAACTGGCGAAAAGAGGAACGAAGAAATGCAATTTTTCTGTTCTAAGATAAGCCTATACTCAATATACAAAACAAACAATTTGTCGCAGATTTCACAAATTTTAATTATTTTGGTATTTGGAATGATATTTTGGAGCAGTCATATTCAATCAGTTATACTATATACCCAAATGTATACTAAGTCTGATCGCGGGTATACAAACAGCTATACTTCGGCAGTATTGAAAAGTCTGCGGCTATCTTTGTTATTTGCGAGGTATTTACGAAAAAAGTAAACATCGAAAAAGGTGTAACACGGAGTAAAGATTAAATAGCACTGTTTTAGTGTATTAGATTGGGATCTTTCGTACACGGCTTTCGAAACTACTGCAAAAATGTGGGATTTGATAAGAATCTCTCTCTGCCAAATTTTAAAGAATAAATCAGTAATTATTTATAGTAAGGTTCAGGAACGATTTTCAAATTTGAATTTCCAGCGCAATCTCCATTTCCACTCAAACCGGTTAATTACTAATTTTCCTATTTTGAGTGTTAGCGGGAGTGTTTTATTTTTGACGGAGGGATTTGTACAAAAGATCCTTAGATTAAACCTAAATATGCAAACTAAATTGCAAGAATCAAAAAATCAAAAGATTTCGATTACACACTTGCTTTGATGCTGGTCAAACTCGATAGGCTTCCATCTCAGACGAATTTCTTTTGATGAAATAGTATACTGTCTTGCCAACTTTCAACAAGTGTTTAAGAAAGCTGAAAATAAAAATATATGACATGATCGTTGTATTTTCACCTAAATAATAACGTACAAGAATCTCAATTTAACAACAGCCCTCTAAATTGTGACCCAGCGACCAAGGGGGGCGTATTTTCAAGCTTGTCATGGTCGCTATTTTGCGTAGAAACATCCCTGCAAATTATTCAGATGTTTCCCCCAAATTTATGAAATATTACTTATTTGGAATGATCTGTTAGTACATTGTGTTGTACTTCATCATGTAAATGACTAGTGAACTATTTACAAGTGTGTTATATTTCACCTTCATATGAGTCCTCTCTACAGTCACAGATATATGTAGATATTTAATTTCATAAGATACTAATCGCCATTTCCGAATATAACAGAGCACAAATAATACAATAACAAGAAACTACTCAATGACGTTTCTTTACAAATGATTATGGAATGTGTAACATTATCACATTATCACATGATTACGGGAATGGATGTCGAAATATCAAAACAAAAATGTTTAAATATTATTCACTTGTAAATTTTTCGTCCATGTTGCTACATTGTTTCTTGGTATCTTCAACTTTTAAAGTTCCGCATCTGAAAAGTCGAGATATTAGAAATAAACTGGTGCATAACTTCAACATTAGCATTCGGGAACGGGACTAAATCTAGCCATGGCAAGTATATTATATAAATCCATGGATTTGGTGTTATATTTTAGGTTTCGGAAGTTATCTACTACATTGATGTAAAGCGTGCCATATCAAATGCAGCTTACGTAGTGACCTATAATATATATGAGAGGACTACTGATAAAATACCGAAAATCTGACGAATGAAACAGCAGAGCTATTCTATCAACTTTGTATCTTTCGCTTACTCAATTGAGAATGGATCTCAGGTATGGTTAGATTTGTAGTCCATTTTGAAATTAAGAGAAAATTGTCATTTCAACCAACAAGATTTAGAAATCAGTTTATGAAAGACAATAAGGGAGACAACAATACAAATTGCGATGGTAAGCAACAGAATTTCATTAAACAAAAAAATATTTTTTATACTCGTATATTTAAAAGGGAAAACAATATAACAGCAGTACAAACACTTGTTAATATTTAGCTCACCTGAATATTGGCTCAAAGATACAGCGTAATAAAGAGTTGGTGTAAGATTCTGGAACCAGCCTACGACAAAATCAACCGCACCCCAACATGTACATTTGCTACTGAAGCGTTGCGCTTGTGGCTTCCCGCGCGAAAAGTGGCCGAAAACACTAATTAATGATTTGTAATCAAACGTTTTTAATTAGTCCCGTTACTCCAGGTCAACCCCGGATCGCCACAAGTCGATCACGATTTTGACGCGTGATCACAAAACATAATGCAGATGACAGTCGGCATTTGCTTAATATTACTTGTGATTGTCTGAATGCCCAGTTTACACTAATTTCTCCTTCCAAACCAAACGTTATAGACATAACATACCAAGCAATATAATCGGTTTACATGTGAAGATCATAACATCTTCGCTACATATTAAAAAAAAGTTAACAAATTTGAATTTTCATCGCAATCTGCATTCCTAGCCTTTAGACCTTCACCCTTACTCTACCTGGTTATTTCCAATTTTTTGGCGGGGGACTTGTAAAAATGTATGTTACAGCAACCTAAGATAATCATATAAGCAAAAAACATCTTGAAACGCTTTCATTCAGAAATACACAAAGCGTTCGACATCTGTTGCAATACAACAAGTTTTTGTAAAATAAGTAATAGGCTGAATGTGATTCGAATATTTGATGAGAATAATGAAGTAAACGAACGAGTCTTTAAGAAAGAAAAGTGCCGAACAGCATATAGTCCAAGGCTGCCCAACTCGTGGGTCGCATGCGGCCCGCCGGACTGTTTTTTGCGGCCCGCCCTATAAGTTTGTAAGCAGACTTTTTCTGTTTTTATCATGTTATAGTTCAATACATAGGCTTGAAGTATGTCTCGTGATTTTGGTGTGATTATTCCTGCCGTCTATCTACATTCAAAAGCCGGATCTTATCTTTACGTATGTGTCAAGTCTTGCACACTGGTGGACATCGAAGTCAGTTTTTTATTTTATTTCTCGCAGAACTGAGCGTTCTGTTCGACGAACTCGAGAGATATTGTGCGATCATTGAGGACGAACGCTGAGCGCAAATTTAGGAATGAATTTGGAGCCTAAATTTGTAAATTAATTTCATTCTGATTGTTTTCTTACGTGTCTGCTTTGATCGTTTTTATTGCCAACGTAAAATAAAAAGTCAACAATATCTTTGGTACTGGTCCTGGGACCCGTTGTCCTTTTATGTTAGTATTTTTTATCTAATGTTTGGGTTAAATAAGATTTCGGAAATGTCGTCAATGCGTATCCGTCAATAATTCTGATGAAATTGACTTGATTGCATTGCTGCATTTTGGTCACAAATCAGTATATATATATATATATATATATAGGCTATTCGTCCAAAAATCTTTGTAATGTTACTTCATTAAATACTTGTATTGGTGTTTCAAATGTTACGAAACGGCCCACATAACTTGATATTCCCGCGACATTGGCGCACATTATGCTCATTTAAACATTGAGGCAGTATCATAGCTACTGAAAATGAATGAATAGAAACACCATAACGCAAATATACCTCTCAATGTCGACGTGATGTGTATGTTCTCGCGTGGTCGTCAGAAAACCGCAAGTGTCGTGTCCACGCCCCGTGTTACCAGATATTCGATAGTAAACTGCCATTCTAATATTCGATTTGATAATCGAATAATTTGCCAGCCCTACTCCGTAACCAGGAGGCAATTAATAAATTGACTTGCCTTTCATGTATTATGTAAATTACCTACACTGAAATCAGGACTTAGCTGGTATTAATGTTTGGTACAAAGGTTTGAGGCCCGCAACGAATTTCGTCACATGAAAGTGGCCCGCGAGACAAAAAAGGTTGGGCAGGCCTGCCTATATCTTCGTATTAATAAAACGTGATTTGAATTAAGACAATAATCTAAGCCTGACTGGGTCTCGGTGTTTTATTTGAACTAAATTTTTAAAATTTTAGTTTATTAAAAACACAAACACACACGAATGAAAAATAACAAATGACAAATGACAATAACAATGACAATTCAATAACAATGACAATTCAATAACAAATGACAATATTCAAAACAAGCAGTTTAATACTGAAAACATTCAATAAAACCCGTCTCTCAGTTTCAAAAACTTTTCAAACCAAAATACTGGCGGAACAATTTTCTCCAAATAATCGTATTTGTTCTTTATGAGATGCAAGAGAAAGCGCTTGATGTTATAAATCAATGTTCGATTGTTGCGGTCGTCAGTTTGTTTCTTATTGTGAGATTCCAGGCTAATATCAGTCGATTTTGAAGCCGACGTGGCAGTATCAGTTTGCTCGGACGATTGATCTATATCTTCTTGTTTTACTTTCACCGGAAAATTATTCATTCGCGGATCAAGAGTTATCAACGCAGGAAGGGAGATTCTTTCGTCAATTTTAGTGTTTCTCGCTATCGATGCGTTCTCTCTAAAATCTGGGGCATTAGTGTTTTTGTCTTCTAAAGATAGTGAAAGGTGCCATCTTCTGTGATGTCTGTAGAATTTTTTACGGTGCCTCGTTAGATTGTCAGGTCTTGAAAATATTTTCCCACATTCATGACATTTGTGTTTTCGTTCATTGTGTACGGAACTCTGGTGCCTCGTCAATATATTTTTTAATGAGAATTGCTTTAAGCATATTTCACATGTGTGTTCATTCATAATTATAGTATGATTTAGTAAGTATAATCTAAACCAAAATATGCGCACATTTTGAATACAGAACAGAATAAAATCTTCTGAAAACATGCGATACTAAACTTCATCACCAAGTGATGAGATATTACACGCAACGCAGACTAACTCGATAATACATCTTTCCTAGTTCTAATTCAGACTCAGGCTTTTTCTCTCGATAAACTGCAGAAGAAAAGCTGCTGATACTAATGATATATATGCAATAAATATTCAGCTATTTTAATGGTGTCTAGATCGGATTCTTCAGTTCAGAACAATCTTTGAATGATTATTGTCGCCAAGTCAGTAATTTTTTGACTACTCAATTTACGAAATGTACAGTAAAACCGTTTTCTGAATAAATTACGTCATGTATTAAATCCCGGAATTATATTAAAATGACCCTGGAATCGGGATCGGAGAAAAGGGCGCAAAACTATTGAGCATCCGGCCCAGTAACCAATTCTATTATCTGTATTCGGCCCACTCGGAAGAGTAATTGCCAACCCCTGTTTTTAAATAACAAATTAGTAATTATCCAGTTGCTGTTCGGGATAGAAAGGAATTGAGAATTTGAATTCCCAGCAATCTACATTCCTATAGTCCAAACCCCAACTGGATAATTACTATTTTTTCGATCGGTAGCGAGGGTTTTTTTTACTGTGGCTGTGTGGCCAAGAGTCAGGAAGGAAGGGGAATCGTTATGATAGCAAGAAAAGAGTGGTCAAGTGACAGGAAGGAAAGGTCTAACGACTTCTCCTGTCATAAAATACTAAGAATTTGAAATTGATCGAATCGAGGTTGTTCAATGCGGAAAAAGAGTGCTTGTTCCCTCTGATTGAAATAAAGCAGCAAAACTTTCGGTGAAATATCAAGTCAATGGGACTATGACGTTCTGCATATTATTTCACTTAATAAAATACAAAATATAAAGGTATTGGATGAATCGTGCTCTGCGACCTGCAGATTTAATTATATCGTGCTGCATGTTTTTCTCAATCATGATTCCTTCCATTGATGTGGATGAGTAGTGTGCAGCCGTATTTTATATCAGGATTTTTGCGGTGGAATATTGTCTGTCTAAATACCAAAAATGTCCATGAAGATTATGAAATACATAACAGTTAACAGTTCAAATTAACTTACGTAAATTCATTTTTTTTTTGTTTCCACGATTGTGACATAAGTGATTGGCTGAATGTGATTCGAACAAGCCTTTGAGAAAGAAAAGTGCCGAACAACATATAGCCTATATCAGGGATGGCGAACCTTTTTCAATAAATGGGTCACAAATGATGTTTTTATCGCGGAACAGAAGAGAGTGGGTCAGAGATATTTAATCAATGTTTGTAACTATAAGAAACTTCTGAAATCTTATAAGCTTCAGTTGGTGTATCAGCGATTTTTATGGCACTCGATTTTATAAAATTAGAGTACGAAAACACGCATACGGGTTACTAAGTACGTTTAAGCTGATGTGGCAAATTATCTTACGGTTCCAAAGAGTTCGATCAGCTTTAAACCCCATTGAGGCACTTTTACACTGCCCCATTGTTATTTCAGTTCGGTAGGTTTTTATTTCAAGTCTGAAAGCTTTTGTTTTTTCAATGGCATTGTAGCCGGGAAACTAATAAAATGCAAAGTAGCATCTAGTTCTCGTATAACCTCTAAAACAGTCCGCAGATGCACTTCCAAAAGAGACAAGACGTTACGAGAAATGAACAGATCAATTGTTATGTCATAAACGATGTCAGAGCCAATAGCTGAATAACGGTACTCAGTGGTGCAGACATACGTCCAACATTGAGGGACTTGAAAATTACCATACAGGTTTAGAAATTAGCAATTTGAATATGAGCGATCGCAGCCCTGACTGCCCAAGCTTAGTTATTGTTAGATTAATTTAAGGCCAGTTTTATTAATTTTCATAATCGATATGTTAGCATTTTTATTTTATTCGTGCCTTGGCGGGTCACGAATAAAACGCGGTGGGTCACTTTGTGACCCGCGGGTCAGTGGTTCGCCATCCCTGGCCTATATCTTCGTATTAAAAAAACTGTGATTTGAATTAGGACAATAATCTATAAAGTCTGACTGGGTCTCGGTATTTTATTTGAACTAAATTTTCAAAATTTTAGTTTATTAAAGACACAAACACGCACGAATGAAAAAGAAAAAATTCAATAACAAATGACAATATTCAATACAAGCAGTTTAATATTGAAAACATTCAATAAAACCCGTCTCTGAGTTTCAAAAACTCTTCAAACCAAAATACTGGCGGAACAATTTTCTCCAAATAATCATATTTGTTCTTTATGAGATGCAGGAGAAAGCGCTTGATGTTATATATCAATGTCCGTTTGGTGAGGTCGTCTTCTCTTTCGATGTCACAAAAATTAATGGACGTCCAGTTGTCTCTTACAAAATATTTCTTGAGATGTGGTATGGTGCTTTTGAATTCATCAATCTCTCCGTAAATTTCCAAAACCTGTAAAACGGTGAAGCTTTGGTTATATTCAATGGGTAATAACGTATTAACGCTAAAGAGAAATATTACTTACGTTTAATATTGCCAGAGTGTATTGAGGAACACGGCAGTTTTGTAGAGTTATATTTTGTGAGCCCGATTCAATGGGTTCTGTCACTGATTCCAACGAAATTTGTTTCTCGGGGGCTTGACTTTCTGATTGTTTCTTATTGTGAGATTCCAGGCTGATATCAATCGATTTTGAAGCCGACGTGGCAGTATCAGTTTGCTGGGACGATTGATCTATTGCTTCTTGTTTTACTTTCACCGGAAAATTATTCATTTGCGGATCAAGAGTTATCAACGCAGGAGGGGAGATTCTTTCGTCAATTTTAGTGTTTCTCGCTATCGATGCGTTCTCTCTAAAATCTGGGGCATTAGTGTTTTTGTCTTCTAAAGATAGTGAAAGATGCCATCTTCTGTGATGTCTGTGGAAATTTTTACGATGCCTCGTTAGACTGTCAGGTCTTGAAAATATTTTCCCACATTCATGACATTTGTGTTTTCGTTTATTGTGTACGGAACTCTGGTGCCTCGTCAATATATTTTTTAATGAGAATTGCTTTAAGCATATTTCACATGTGTGTTCATTCATAATTATAGTATGATTTAGTAAGTATAATCTAAACCAAAATATGCGCACATTTTGAATACAGAACAGAATAAAATCTTCTGAAAACTTCGGCACTAAGTGAGAGATATTACAACGCCACCCATACTAACTCGATAATACATCTTTCCTAGTCTTAATTCAGACACAGGCTTTTTCTCTCGATAAACCGCAGAAGGAAAGCTGCTGATACTAATGATATATATGTAGTATTTGAGAATGACTGCCATTTCCCAAAATCATACTGTGTTTTACCTACAACATACTGCGTTATCACAAACTTAATATCAGAAGTACTGTTTTAATATATTATGTGTTTCAAATTGAATGTTATTTACTTCAGATTAAAACATATAAAATATCGGAAATATTACTTTACAGACGCCTAGAGACCCTGTCGGCCTGTGCAGCGTGAACTTTCAAGACAGACTCACTTCTCATCTTATCGTCCCAACTCACTATTAAATCCCAGAGCACACAATTATATGTCGAAATCTAGGCGGGATAAAAAAGGCGCATTGCGCTGAAGGTTCAACCGCAAACGTCGATTCATATCAGACTTAAATCATTTTCTTCTGTTAGAAGACGGATTCCGCTGAGAGCTCAAACGTAAACAATAGATAACGCCGCACAATTATGGCGCTTTGAGCTAAACTTGACTGATGTCGAGTTCACTTCCTAATCGCAATTTTACGATGTCTCCCCGTGGACTACCCAGCGACTAAGATATCAAATGCACACAACAAGCAACTTGAAGCGTTTAATCGCCTCAATTTGAGATTGGTTATAGTTCTCTGATGCAACCACACTATTTTGTTGGAATAAAAGCCAAAAATTACTTTTGTATATTTTCCTGACCCTTGTAAAGTTTAGTGCGATAACAATTAGCACCCTTTTCAGCGACTTCCTGCAACGAAAGTTATCTCTCTCGAAACCTCTACTCAGGTCAATTAAGCTTCAACGCGTGCAATATATGATAAATCAGGTTGATCCGCAATGCTTAATCGACATTTTACACGGACATATTTCAGATAATCTCGTATTTTATTGTATAAGTCTTCAGCTTTATCTTAGGCTAGACAAAAATGTCTATAAGCTTACGCGGACGATTTTCCCACCTTATCACTGGTTACCCCCCACGGGATTCAAAGCTGCTAACCCGCGCAGGATAATCGAAGGGTAGATGATAGATGAGTAGGCTTACCATACGTCCCGCTTTAGGCGGGACAGTCCCGCTTTTCAGCATTTTGCCCCGCCGTCCCGATAAGTCAGCCAAAAGTCCCGCTTTTCCAGCATAATACACAAACATGTTCGCGTTACTGTTGTTTCTTTGTAGCACAGCGCTAGCCTACTTACTGAAGGCGAATGCGTTCGTTTCCCGCTGATTCCCATTGATGGCCGACGTATCGCATGTAAAACCAATACTAATTAGTCTAAATTCAAATTATTTGTACCGGTATCGTTAACGTCAATTCCTTCCTATTTTTCAAACTGAACCCGATATTTTGACAGAGAATATGCGCCTGAAATTTCGATAACAATATGGTCAATAAAGACAGCTTTAAATGTGGGAATGTAGGCCTATGTAGTAAAATCGGAAAATGTGAAGATATAAAATCACAGCTAAGGGGTCGTTGTCTTTCGAGGCGTCCCGAATTGAAGTCACAAAAATATGGTAACCCTATAGCCTACATGAGGCATATATCCAACGCTTAGCACGATGCAGCAACCTCCGTTCTCTTTTATTTTGGGTCGAAATATATTTGTATATATACTATATAAACTTACTTATCACCATTTGTTGTATTTGTTCAAGTCAAGTTGATTTATATATCGGTCTTAGTTTAAATAGTTTCATTTTTTAAAATGCCGAACATTTTATGCTTCAATGATGATCTTATTGACATACTTGAGTCGTACAAAACTTGAGAACTTGCGTAATGAAAAGCAACCAAGGTTAAGTGTGACGATCGGAGCGTGGGTGAAGCACGATTAGTTTATGTACGGCGTAGTGCATAGCGGTAGATCAAGGATATGTAAATTGATGGTTGAAAAGTTGGGGGAGGTAGGACAGTGGGTCAAGGAGAGGAAGATAGGTAGTGGTAGGGCAGTGGGTCAAGGAGAGGAAGATAGGTAGTGGGTCGAGGGTAGAAAGGTTAGGAGAGATAAGCATTGTCTGAGGGAGATAGGACAGTGAATGGAGGATAGGAAGGTTGAGAGAGACAAGACAATGTATCAAGGGTTGGGAGATAGGGAAGTGGGTGGAGAATTGAGGGAGATCGACAGTGGGTCGAGTATGGGAAGGTTGATGAAGATAGGGCAGTTGAGGGTGCTCTGGTAGCGGGGAAAACAGTGGGTCGCGGTTAGGAAGATAGGACAGCTGAGCAAAGATAGAAAGGTTGAGGAATATAGGGCAGTGGGTCGCGGATAAAAATATTTAAGAATATATGACAGTGCATCGAAGCTAGAAAGGTTGAGGAGATAGGAGAGCGGGTCGAGGATAAAAAAGTTGAGGGAGATAGGACAGTGGGTTGTGAATAGAAAGGTTGAGGGAGATAGGGCAGTGGGTCGAAGAGAGGGTTGAAAAGTTGAGGGAGGTAGGGCAGTGGGTCAAGGAGAGGAAGAGGTTAAGGAAGACTATAGGACAAATGGTCGAAGATAAAAAGGTTGAGGGAGATAGGGCAATGCGTTGAGAATAGGAAAAATGAAGGGGATAGGGCAGTGGGTCGAGGATAAAAAAAAGTTGATGGAGATAGAGCAGTGGGTTGAAGATAGAAAGGTTGCAATTTCTGCGGTCTCCCAGACACTTCTGTCAATCAAACATATATTCAAGTAAGGTTGTAAACATTGTCTCGTTTTTGTAGGTACCCCCGGGTCTTTGTAGGTCTTTACTTTAGTTGCGGTTGTCATAAATAAGGCTCGCAGACATGCGATAGGTATAAACTAGGATAAAATTAATATTTGTAAACGGATAATTCTAATACAAAATTTAGTGTCAATCACGTAAACTAGTTTATAAGAGTAAGAGTAAACACTCTTAAAATAGGCGTCAAATTTTTTGCAAAAGTAAACTATAAGGTGAAATTTTCTGGGGCCAAGGTTCGGGGAAAAGTCCATAATTTATCATTATAATATTTCCATGCTTATTTTGAAAGGGGTTTCTAAGTTCCGGCGTGTGTCAACAGATTCAAAAACACCAGTTTATTTAAAATTAATGGAACATCTGGTATTAAAATCTAATGACAACTGGTTTTAGCGTCGTCTATTCCAGTGGTTCCCAAACTTTTTTGACCATCGCCCCCCTAAAGTAGTTTATACAACTTCATCGCCCCCCTGTACTACGAAAAAATATAAAGTCGATAACGAATATATTACAGACCAAATAAGAAGACAAATCATAGTTTATAGTGTTTTTAATGAGAAAGATGAGCTTGGTGTTCTTTAGCGAGTTTTTTATTATATCTAAAATTACCCCGTTTACTGATGGAAAGGTGATTTCGTTGTTTTAATAGCAATAGTAGCACGGCTGAAAACCCCCTTTTTACCATATAATAGGTCGGAAATAAAAGAATCCAGGGTTCTACCTCCTCAAAAACCGCCGTGTACTCTTGCCTTATAGTATTTCACTTCCTAAATTCACCCCATTTCACATTAAAATAATAAAACCAAAGTTAATTTTCCCATACTTATAATAATGATTTTCGTACATCTCATTCATTCGTGGAGCCTGATGACCTGCACCAAAAAACTTCGGAAAAATTCATCCCCGATTCCTCATCCTATCACGGCCTCCAGTCCGATCACCAGTCCATAATTAACCAGCCATTTGTTTTTGGATTCATAGACTCGGATGTGGAAGAAGCCGTGACTGACTATCGGCTACGGCCCAGGGGTCGGCAAATTTTATGTCGCTCGCAGGACAATTTTCAGGGTTGCTAGTATTTTGCAGGTCGCATATATTTTTCGAAAGTTAAAAACGAAAGGAACAGCGCGCAAAAACTGCGACAATTCGTGAACTCAACTCAGTCGTCTTATTAAAAAAATATTACAATGACATTTAATGTGACACTGTCTTGTTGCTGCATCACGCTGGATAGCTTCACGACTTCAAGATTGAAACATTTTCTAAATGGGCATCACCAAACCCACTTCTTTGCTTGTTCTTTGTAATGTTCATTTTCGAAAATAATGGTTTGCACAAATACTTACTTCCAAATATCGAAGTGAATATTTCGGCATGATTTGTGAAATTTTGATAAATAATTTCTTTAAAAAGATACATTCTTACAAAAATTAAGCAGTGATCAATCTCTCGAATAGAATATGAATTTTATTTCCATATTGCTTTGCAATATATTCGAATATTTACTGCGCTATTGAACCCCTGCACTCAGCATCAACTTTTCTGCGTGTTTCCATTGTCTAATTATAATTAAAATGTAGGCTCGTTAAACGAGTGACTGTTCACTAAATTGTTAGGATATAGTATAATTCAGTATAAACGTGTCTCACGATAAATTCTGTTACGTAAAAAAATGTAATTTACTCCTCGAGCGTAGATTATAAATAAAAAAAATTTCATCGTCAAAACCGCCGTTTGGATATTTCCCCGGGCATAGACTTCCTTGTTTACTTCGCGACATTGGCCTATCAGCAAGATGCAAAAAACGTAACAGGCACTCTCACTCAGACAGATTTTCAGGCGTGGTCGTGAACATTACCTCATTTTCGCGTTTTTGAATTATATTCGTTAGTTTTTAGTTGCTTTTCGGAAATTTGAATATAAATCAAATATGTCAATGATTACTTTGTCTTTCTATGAGTTTCAGTTTAAATACAGCAATCAAAAATTAGTGTAGAAATAGCTGTGATAGACTAGGCTAAAATTCTTTATCGGTACTTTTAAAAAACAGATTGTTAAATGGTGTGTATTAGAATGATAGTTTGAAACAAATACCCCATTTTACAGGCAACAACTCGCGAAACCACTCTTAAAATAAGCACCGAAAATTTTAAAATGTTAAAGTATGGGAAGAATTTTCTGCGGTCAAAGGTCGGGGAAAGGTCCATTCAGTGAATCGTTCCGGGCCAGATTATTTTATTCCGGCCGTATTTTGCCTACCGCTGGGATACGCAAACTACCTTGCCTTGCTGCGAAGACGAGACCAGAAATCCTTTCGCGTGTGATAATCGCCCACGTGATTCAAGCCTGCGAATGCACACAGAGTACAGAATTAGGTGCGCCGAACATAAAACAGGTTTCGCAAAATCGCCCCCCTATCGCCCCCTTAGACTTTTTCGCCCCCCTCTGTATCGTTTTCGCCCACTGGGGGGCGATATCGCCCACTTTGGGAATCACTGGTCTATTCTATTCTAATTTACTTTTTCTTATTTTATTATATTTATTTTGGAAATATAATCAAAAACTACATAAATCAGGCAAGTTTTACAATCGCACTTGAAAATCTGTCTCAGTAAAAAAAGTGTCTAGTCTAATTTCAATTGTTACGTGACGACGAACTTTATATGAAAATATGCCATTTCTAGGGAAAACACTACTCGGGGAAAGCTTATGCGTACGTGCTGTAAATATATATAATACATTTTCACGAATTAGTTGCGATCGGTAGTTACGATTTTTCCAGCTCATCATTGAACTTATGTTTCTGATCTGCTCGATAATTTTCAATTGTTACGTGACGAACTTATTAATGAATTCGGGTATTTACAGATGTTTTGGTTGGAAGCTGCACAGACAGCGCTATAACCGTAACTATAACCTACATATGACCGTTTAATCGTCAAGTGGAACACGCTGGTCGTAATCAACCGGTTTCGGTTCCAATCAACACCAGGTAGTACATACTGCCTTGACATACACTTTTTGGTTGAGTCGACCTGTCTGGGTGACCAGCGTTTGATTCATGGTACAGTAGTCCCACCGGGTCGCTGTGAAAATAAAATATTAATTGTAAAAATAAGGAATTTTTTGAAAGAATTTGTGAATAAATCCTAAAGTAAAGACTTTATTACAAGTTATACTATGATTACACATTACGCAGGCATGGAAAACACATGGAAGAAGCATTATGGATGAACGAAGGTTTAGCCTAGGCCCAAGTTTGTTAAAGCGTATGGCGAACCACGGCCTCTCGTTCGGTTGCCATTTCATGTCGGGTATAGGATTAAATAGCCAGTCATTTTGTTTCTTCTTCCTTGGGCAGTTGGATGTATTACCACGTACCGTATATCATATTATTAATGTACTGCTCATAAAATACTCTTTGACAATATTTTGTTTATGTTTTTTTTCATTATAAAAAAAACAGATGATTATCTGTAGAATGCCACTGAAACATTCTCATGGTGATAAGATAAGATTCACATATTTATCCAGGTCATTGCAAATTTCAGATGAAAATGTAAACACACTGACCTGGGTAAAGCGAGCAGATACCGTAGTTACCCATTTTTCAAAAAGCAAACCCACCAAGTGTCCGAGATAATTTCTCCACGGCTTATCGCAAAAAAGTGAACAGTTGTCGCGAATGGACCTTTCCCCGACCTTTGACCCCCGAAAAATTCTTCCTATACTTTACCATTGCAAAATTTTCGGCGCTATTTTAAGAGTGCTTTTGCGAGTTGGCGCCTGTAAAATGGGGTATGTGTTTTAAACCATCATTATGAATCATCGCATACAACAATCTGTTTATTGAAAGTACCGGTAAAGAATTTTAGCCTAGTTTATCACAGCTATTTCTACACTAATTTTTTATTACTGCAATTAAATTAAAACTCCTAGGAAGACAGAGTTGAATTATCTGATTTATATTTAAGTTTCCGAAACACAACTGAAAACTAACGAATAGAGTTCAAAAACGCGAAAACGAGGTAATGTTTACGACCACGCTTGAAAATCTGTCTGAGTGAGAAAAGTGTCTGAGCGGATGCGAAAAGGGAGCATTGTTACGTCACTTTTTGCATCTTGCTAATTGGCTAATGTCACGAAGTAAACAAAGAAGTCGATGCTCGGGGAAAGGTCCATAGGCTATATTTTATTTGACTTTCGTGGTCGAAGGGCCACATGTGGTTTACGTATGATTGTGCGAGCCACTTGACATATTAGTTACGTATGTTCTAGTTTTCACTATTCGCTGAGTTGACGATGTTGCAATGCCAAACGAATTTTTCACGTGACTGTCAGATAAATTCATATATTTAGAGAATGATGATCTTAGACATTGCCAATCGCTGAATTACAAATTATGCAGCCTTCCAATGTTTTAATGTTAGTGTTATAGAAGAAGTATTTGGACCACAAGATCTAGTTCAATCCGAATTTTCATTACCATAGTATCCTCATTATTTCTCTATAGACTACAGAATACATAAAATAATACAGAAATACCATAACTGGCAGAATGGGTCTTGGTCAATCCAGCGATAAAAACAAAAATACGCCTCCTATGGCTTCTCATTTTTCTACTGTAGAGTTGAAAAAACTTGAAGATTTTTTCATGTTCAAAGAACAAGTAAGCAGCGATCAGGAAAATACTCCGCGAAAATGGAAATATGCTAATGTAAAGGTGAGACCATTCTAATGCAGTAATGAAAGTATATGGTATACCAGTACAAATGTCTGAATGTACAGATATTCAAGAAAAGGGAGGAAATTTACAATTTTGTGAATTTGCCAAGATTAATTAAGATTTTAATTACAATTCTTACTGACTGTCATGGTTTCAATAGTTAAAATGAATTGAAATAAATGCTATTTTGCAATGTATACTTTAAGAATTCAGATATTTTAGAGCGCTATTTTTCTGTATAATTTTTTTATTGAAACATACTGTTTCCAAAATTGGGTGATTTCTGTTCCAATTTATTCTAGTCCGATATCAGGTTATTCATATGGATGATTGTTCTTTTCTTAATAGCAAAGAATTCTTGATTCTTTCTGTGAGGAAGTTGCAAATCAAATTATATATTATATGGAAAATCGATCTATGAGTGGTGGAGACGATGGAATCCTTTTGGAATCATTTCTTGAGTTTGTATATCATTTGACGAAAGATTGTATTCGAGAACTGGCCGGTATTGTTTTCAATATTGTTGGTAAAGGAGACAAAATTGTCAAAAGAGAAGTTATGAAAAAAGTATGTATATAGATCTATATATGTTATAAACTTATTCGAGCTACAATAGGTATAAGTAAAAACAGTATTGGAATTCTGCTATGCAAATATATCAAGCAAGTATCGTATGATTTTTCATATTGAACTACTAAAATCTATTTTGATCGAAACACTAACTTTCTGATAAATACATGCCTTTGAAAAAGTTTTTTTGCATTGTAACGAAAGAGTTGTCATTATTTGTCATATTCAATGAATGCCAAAATTAACAATATTCAATCTCTTTCAGTTTTTGACACAATTTGTGAGTTGCCTTCATCTTGGTACAACTGTCAAAACACAGTTGTATGCACCAGATGACTCTTGTGGAGGAAAACTTGCAGAAAAACTTGTTAAGCATTGTCCTGAAAATATGACCGAAGAAGATTTTGATGTTGTTCTACACCAGACACCATTACTTATTGACGTTCTTGAATTCAAATTCAGAATGTTATTTTTCTGTTATATCAGTGAACCTAGCAAGGTAATATTTTTTTTTTTTTTTAGCTAGGTTGAATATTTCTTTTCTGCTAAGATGGGGTATGATTTTATTCCCCCTTTGCCTATTTTAAAATTCTTTACTCCCTCATCGTTATTCATAAAATCTCTCAGTTTGTTGTTGAATATTTAATGGATCACTAGGTAGTGAAACGCCCAACTCGCACTGGTTTTTGCACAGTTCCAATAGTCTATATTGTGTGCATAAACAAGTATTATAGACTAGTGATACTGAGTAGGTAAAGAATATTAGTTCTATTGCACCAAAAGTACAATTACAATACAACCTAAAAATTCCTTACCTAACAAAACAAAATTTCTCGCTTGGGAAGAACACCTCAAACCGGTTTGGGGTGAAAGTACGTAATAAACACGAGTTCAGTAAATCACCCTGTATTAGCAGAGAGTACATGAGCCGTACTTGGTGATCATCTGTAGTTTATGCATTACAGAGTTTCCATGGTTCTGTGCCACACCTTATTCCAATCATGGAAATTCCGGACAAATCGACAACTCAGTGTTCTTTTAATTTATCTCTCCCGACTGCAATATATATTAACTCAAGACTTCACATGCAATTACAACACAAATGGAGGTTGTTGTATTCTTCGAAACTTCATGGTGAAAGTTTTTCAAAATTAACTGGAGCTATTGTCAACAAAGGCCCTACTTTAATTGTGATTAAAGATACTCATGGACATATTTTTGGAGGATTTGCATCAGAAAGTTGGCAGTTTAGTTCTAAATTTCAAGGTAACTCGATACCTCATATATGTTTCCGACATGCTAACATGTTTCAGAGATTTATGCCCAATAACATGAGCAAATGAACTGATTCAATTTGACTATGAAAGCATTCATCAATTTATTATTATCATGGACAAAATACATATTTTGATGTGAATTTTAATCATTTTCGTTTATTTATTCCTACAAAGAAGTTTAAAAAGCCTTGTTTTTTTTTAAATAAAATTTTAATATATTTATTTAACCAATGCAAAATAAATTTGGATATAGAATGATGTACAGAAAATTAACATTATTTCAAATTCATTGCTTGTTGCATGCGGAATACTAACTACTGACTATTTGAAAAATAACGGTGTGATTGTGATGCTCCTTCCAATGCATTCTTCTTGTAGTTAAATTGTCATCAAAATCAGTTATGTTTTTGCATGTAGTTCAATATGTGCAATGATAATATCCCATTCAACAAGTACTTTGCACATTTAGCTGCATGTATGCTTTTTTATTGCTTACTTAAAGGGTGATCAATATTTTGTTTTTACCTCTCAGGTACTGACAAAAGTTTCCTGTTTACAAGTCATCCTTCACTTGAGATATATGACTGCATTGGTGGAAGTTACAACGATCATTACATGTATTTAAACATTGGACAAGAGATGATGCCTAATGGATTGGTATATATTTTATACATACGCCGTTTAAGTTTTGCTTGTTTGAATTTTCTGAAAAGGCCAACGTAATTTTTCATGTCTCTTAAAGAAAATCAATCAAAATAATTGACGACTCGTGCCACGATATATGTGAAGGTCATCACGTAGACATGAGTCGAACATATAGAATAGATGTGCATTTAAATGTTTTGAAAAATTGAATACCTAGTCTAACAAGGATAATTAATTTTTCTGTCAATATTTGAATTATGAAAATTTCATTTCACTGTTTTTGAAATTAATAGAATTTTTGAAATATTCTCATTGGTATATTCAAAATTACATTAAAGCTGCTTCCGTATGGCTGCACAATTGCTTTCTACCGAGGTCCGAGTGGGCCATTAAATTGGCAATTGGGGACATATATCCATCTATATTCTTTAATCCTCACTGAGCTATATTTAAATATGCCCCCAGAGAAATGCTGTATTAATATGATATACTGAAAAAGCGTACAAATTCATGACATATTCGACGAAATAATGAATAAATTCAGATGAGCAAAATTGAACTACCACTGAAGGGTGATTATTTTTATTTTATAGTATCTATTAAGACATTTTTACTGAATAACAGTTTTTCATGATAAGTCGAATACTTTTTAGGGTATGGGTGGTCAGCACGATTATTTTGGCTTGTGGCTTGATCAAGAATTCGGTAATGGTCACAGTCGAGCCAAACCACAATGTACTACATTTAAAAGCCCGCAATTATCTAAAGATGAAAACTTTGTAATCGATGCAATAAATATCTGGGGTGTTGGAGATGAGCCGAAAAATGATGAAGATGATGAATACAATGAAGAGGTTAGTGATACGTGGGCTTCTGGATCAGCATCGGTCATGCCTAACTTATGGATCAATTCTGTTTTTGAATAATAACTGATATTTTTCAACATTTGAGTTCTCATTTCATATTGCCAAATTAAATGAGAAAATGTTCAAAACTTTAATATGTATATACATAAGACTGGAATATTTTTATCGATAGATATTGCACATTATTCATTGTTGAACACAACAATTGCATGTTGTGATAGCGTCATATATTACAAGATTATCCCTATGGTGAAAGCTTTTTCAATAGTTTAAAACATTAACTGAATTATTAATGAGTCAGCAAAACATTCCAACAAACTGGCTGTTGCAAACATATTTCTTTGTTTGTTAAAATTGAACATGACAAAGCCGCATGAATAGACCACAATTAATTTCATATTGAGTATTTGGATTTTAAAACTGTCATAAAACATGAATAATTGAGGTATGATGCATGATCATTGTCTTATGCGACAGTTTCCAGAAATTTTGAAGGACAACTGTTACATTATTCAGTCTTCTATATCACTGATGCATAACTTTGGATGATCAATGCAGTATTCTGTCAGTAGTAGTCCTTTATCAAATCGCAAAAAACATCATTTTCTTCAACTTTTTGTTGATGCTGTATTCATTGTCTCATAATTCTGCATAAAACCATCCGAATGTCTCATATTTCAATGTTTCTTTAAATACATTTCATTCATTCCATTTGACAGGGAATAACCAGTGTTCTTGATAAACACATAGAAGCCAAAGCATTGCTTGAAATTGCTGGAAGACCAAGAGTTAGTGAAGGATTACGAGATATAGAACCTGATGCTGATATTCCTGAAACAAAAGAGCTACAGCATGCGCATGATCCTATGAGCTGATACCTGCTTGATATATATAACCCCTGATCCAGTTTGAGTAGATGTCAAAGAAGATGCTCACTGTTACTAAATTCCACTCTTTCGATTTATAAGTTCTCCATGATGAAATTCCGACAAATTATAGAACGTTGTGCTTCATCATAACTAGTTTTATTAGTCTAGTTTTGTGACCACCTAATAAACTTTCATTTTCTGCAAGTCACCTATTTTTGTTTAAAAAAAATATTTAGAATATCTTATTGTTTTAGTGATGTAACATCAAAGTGTTTTGAGATTCATTCATTTCATTGCCTAAATGAGGTTATTATTCAATGCATGTTTCTCCATGAGGTATTAATATTAGATATGGGTTAGATTTTTACATACAGTAACCTTTTTTGTTTCCGTATTCATTCTTGTTGGCAAGGGGCGATGGTTCGCCACAGGCTTTGGCTGTCATTTGACTTTTCTCTTCTCAAGATCATTGTGGAACTCTGACCTATTTTTTTCAGCAAAAATAAAATGATGGTAGAACCCTGGTGTTACAAATTAATGAAATATTATTTCCAGTTTTGCCCAGTTGGAACTTTTACTAATTACCTTGTCAGTCAATTTCTGTCTACTTTTATGGTGCAATGAAAAGTACTTTGGTATTTTTAGGAGTTTTGTTGTCCCTATATTCATATAATTTTTGTCTCTTGTGGGCACAGTTATGGCAATTTACTGACAGAACAAATTTGATTGCAACAATTTATTTCAAATCAATTCTGGAGCAATTATGTTTTGATTAATTCAGGAAGTGCTCTTGGCATCAGATCCTCACAAGTTTGTTGGTATTCGTTTCAATCATGGCGATGTAGAAAGCTTTACACCTTTCGGTGGAAAACCTAAAAAAGTCGGTGATGTTTGTGTAAATGATTTGTAATTTTTTTTTTGAAATTGTAAAAAGCAAGATTGGGTTCATTTTTCAGTTCATTTTACTTTACTCAATCATTCAGTGAGAAGGAATCAGTTTTAGTGATTTGCATTTGACAAATTTTACATTTGAATATTGATTTTCTCAAATATTGTTGTTTTTTCACAAACATGATATTGTTCAGAAAACCTTCATGAATGTTTGGTATTTTTTTTATCATTGCACACTATCGAAGATTACTATTCAGACCAATATATTATAAATTGAACTGCATTGTTATTTCCATCCCTTCTATTATTTTATCTTGCTTATGATGAGAAATTTTTCATTGAAGTTTCACATGTAAATCTACACTATTTCAACCTATTCGTTTTTGTGCAATTGTATCTATTATTATTATAGTTTTAATATTATTATGTTACTTTCATAAGAGTTACTTATGGTTATTGACGATTTATGAATGACAAATGGGTTATTTGTGTTATGGTTGTGTATATACTTTCTATATACGTTATTGAATGTTTAATGTATATGTCAAATATAAATATATCATTTATTCTTGTTATTGTAGTTTTTGTTTGTTATAATATCTTAGTCCTAGTAGATCAACTTGTCCATATATCATAAAGATTTTGAGCTTTCTAATGGCATTACAAGTAATATGTTATCATTCTATTCCATCCTTCATAGTAAACTCTTGCCATAACATCTGCATAAATATTGCGCACGTCTCACTTCAACTCCTCGTAGTCAATAGGGCCAGTTTGAGTTTGTTGGCCAACGTCTGCGAACTGAATACAGGCGGTATGATAGTCAAAGTAATTCATAAACGCCAGACTAAACTCAGAGATGGCGATATCGAAGCCACAAAGTGTAATGCCAACCAATTTGAAAGCAAATGAGACTATTTAATATCTCGCTTGATATATTTGAAAAAGCCAATTAGGATGCCAATGAAACGCAAGATTCGATCACGTTTCTGATGCAGATTGATTGTCAGTCAAAGATCCCTCCTTCGCAATTTCAGAACATTTACCACTGTCGTAAGATGGTAACTTTTGCAAACGTCTTCCAATTTTCTAAACACAAGAATTGTGTAAAAAAGACATTTTACGAAAATTGATCAATATATGTACTACTGCAAATAAACCTTCGATGCGGATAACTAGCACATCGTGATGCGGACCACCTACAGACATTTATTTTTTCATCTCTTTCTCTGGAGGTATTCATTTCAATATTCCAGATGCCATACAGCTCTCAAAGGCGAACAAAGTTTCCTACATTTTAAAGTTTCCTTACAGATTCGGCGTCGGATGTAAATACAGCGTCTTGAGTGTCGCATGATGATGCATTTTTGTCTAAGTTCGCTTGTCTTGTCAACCCATAAGAATCTAAAAAAAAGAAATACGGTAACTCATTCGCAATTACAAATATCGGATTAAACTGAAATGTTACCGTTGTAAAGTGATAGCCTCGCTAACTTCATCGCAATATTCCTTGGGAAATTGGCGCCTTTTGAGTGTTTCAGCTAGGTATAATGACTACGTTGTTTCTAATTTGAAAAAAGAAAAATACTCACTTCTTCGTTGTTGAGAATTCTGATGCTTTTGTCCGTAGCAATGTCGAGGTGAAAGTCTAAAATTCCGATTTAAAAATAAGTTGTTTATATACAAATCGAAAACGACTGTGAATTTAATCGGTATTATCTTTTTCTAACTTATATATACTAGATTTGCATATTTCCTCGTGTAATATGAGTGAACAACACGAGACGCGCTAACCACATTTCTCGACATTCGGACAAAGGGATATCCAAAGTCCAAACGATGGAAAAAAATCATTGATTAATAAGTTTATTTTTCACAGCTTCAATTATATATCAAACTTAGGTTAAATAAAAAATACTGCTTCACCTACCTCCCATTGTCATGTGATGGGCTAATTCCGGGCATATCTTCTTGGACAATATTTCCTTTAAACAAGTAGAATTTATCATAAACTGACCAAAATAGTGATGCATATTAATATGAACTTGCGTTTGTATATTTTTACTTACCAACGTGACCTGTCATAGGATCGTACTGTGCATACAAAACCTTTTCGCTGTGGTAATGTTGTTTTTCAGCTTCAGGTTGTGGGTTGATACCGGTTGGCATGATGATGCAAGGTACTGTTTTATAATGCACAAAAGTATGTTACAAATTAAATTATATTTTACTTGGTTTGCAGCGAAATACTCAATTTACCGTTTTGCATTTGTGGTTGAAGAAGTAGCGTCGCCGGCCGTCCAGCTGCATCGATACTGAAATATAAATTATCCTGTCTTACTGTACTATCTTTATCCTGTCTTTACACCACTTGATCAGACAAAAAGCATGCTTTCTTAAATGTTAAAAACAATTTTTAGGAAAACAAATATTTAACCGTATTACCTTGCGAAGGAATATCGAGGAACCGTGGAATACAATTGTGGATTCAAAAGAACGTTCTGTTGCTGAAGGCCGTAAGGGGAATAATGTACATGTTGATCATACCCTGAAGAGTATAGAAATAAGTTGATTATATAGAAAATTCTTAAACCAACATTCGTCGCCTATGTAATTTTACGGATGTCGGACACAATAAATATTTAGTGCCTTCCAAGTTCAAATATACTTACCCGCAACAGATGGTTCTCTTGAAGTGGTTGGCGAACAGTAACATCCCGGAGAAGCACTGAAATATATTATCAATGATTTTGTAATTCTAAACGATTAGCATTTTTTTCTAGTCAAAAATAATATCATGTTACTACACATCGTATCTATAATCTAGTGTTATTTATCAGTATTCCTAGTTTGAAGATATGGTAGTTTCAACGCAGAGATCATAATTGAAGTTTCCGTCGATTTCTATCATTGAGATAAGGTTTTAGTCGCATTGTGATAGGATGAATCTCTTCATTATGGCATATATATAAAGTTGTGTGAAGGCACTAGGTTATTCCGTCACTGAAGCGATTGTCAGTGTAATAAATCGATGTGGCGTTACCAGTATGAGTCGCTATGATATATCTAAAACCAAGTAAATTTATTTTTTCTAACCAGTAAAAATCAATCCTAAACAAATTCCGAGAAAATGTAAGCTCACAGTTTTGCTGGGGAACGAAAACCGTGGGGAACCAAAGCTGATTGTGCAATATAGCGACACAAGTTAACAAGATCGGAGATGTCAGTCGTGATTATTTTCAAGCGCCACCAAACCACCAGATGCACGAGTATTCCCCCTCGTATATTGAAAAACGAAGAAAAAATCATTAAAATTTATTTACCAAGAAGAGCTTGCGTCCGTGAATGGTTGACGTTGACCAGCTCTATTTTCAGCAAGGTGTTTTCGCTTCAACGATTCGTAATGTAGATTTGTTTTTCCACGAGGTCTTTCGCGTTGAATAAGTTTTGGTCGAGTTGCACGCTTCGAAGGAGCCTATTATGCATTGTAGAAGCAACAATTTTAACATCTAACGTCTAAAGCGTTACTTCAATCAACAAAAATCGGGATTGTATTTTACAATTACAAAATGTTAATTACCATATCTGTGCCAATTGAACTGACACTGGATCCTCTCGAATAATGGCGAAGAGGGGTAACTTTTTTTGGAATTGTTTCTTCCACTACAGTATCCACTTGAGCCTGAATTAAGAACAAAGGGAAGAGGTTATTACGATCATTGTCAAGGCCGCCGTAACGGCCTACGTCAAAGCTGTCCTCCGTTTTAATTTGGCGAAGTCTGTGCTCAGACACATTCCAGTATGATTTGCGTAGGCACTGTGGTTAGTTATTGGACTTCCGTGTCCATATATTTGGTAGGGCTGGGCATTTTCGAATACCTTGTGATTTCAGAATCGAATCGAATAATTTTTTCGAATCGAATCGAATCTCGAATACTTGAAAATATATATTTGTAAGCGACCTCATTATAGTAATTGGTCCTCTCAACAAATGAATTACTGAAGACATAAAATAAATAACCCAGATAGATTACTGAGCGTTCACACAGAATAACAAACACGTTTTATGAATAACTCACTACAGAAAGTAGTCATATGTTAGAATTTCGTTGAAAAAATATGACTCCAATGAAAAAAAAATTGGGGAATTCACCTCGACCATTGGCGGAAAGATAAAAAAAAAGATGGCGGCGATTCGAAATTTAGCTCTGAACCGATTCGAATAATTTACTATTCGATTCGATTCGATTCGAATATTCGATTCGAAATGCCCAGCCCTAATATTTGGTCGTCGCTTTTTTGCTTTCACTTTGACTTATTTATTTTTGAAATTTCAATATCAATAATTTAGTTGTTTGGTTAGGAGTGTTACAATTTCGTTTACCTTGACTGGAATGACTTTTGCCGCTGTCCGCTCAGTTGCTGCTTTGTCAGCTTCTTTTTTTATTCCTGTTGTATAAAAAACAATGTGTAAAGAACATGATGTTATGTGTGCAAGTTTGATTATCATTTCAAAAATACCTGCGCCCATTCGAAACACAGTTTTTCGTCCTTCTTTTCGTTCGTATTGAAGTTGCATTTTTAGTTGTGAGTTGCTGTTCTGTGCAGAACTGGATACAGCTTGTAAATAGTAGACCATCATACTGAAAATGTTGATTAGCAATTGTTTGAGATTGTGTTTTGAGTAAAGGTTAACTCTATAATATAGTTGCACTCACAGTAGTAGAAGCACAGCTGGTAATATCACTACTGGTGTTGACATGTGTCCAATTGCAGACTGCATCCAGTCTGGTATATCTTCCAAGGTTTCTGTAAAGGTATAAATTGTGGTAACACGTTATAAAAGAAACTGACAAACTGTATAGTACTGGAACGGCCCTCAAAAAACGTATTCATGGGACATTCAATGGAAGATGAAGTTAACACTGATGCCAAATATTTCTGGCCGTTTGAGCAATCCGAAATTCCGAGCTAATCAGAAAAATTGTGTTTTCAATTTTTTATATTCAAAGATTAAAATCAAATATGGATGTTGCCAAAAATAGAAGATAGACAGATTAGACAGGTTGCTTGTTTACGCGTTCACTAACAAACAGGGACCACAGTGGAAGGACAACAGTAGGATAATATAATCTCATATCATATATACCTGACAACACTGTGTACATTCTTTCTTTATTCCTGAAAGGTCCGCAATTTGATGGCGGACATTGCATAATCACCCACATTGTTGGCAATAACGACAGGAACAACATGAACAACAGCATAGCCAAGTAAAAGTTGGATCTACAAGGAGACATAATTCCTCTGACGTTAATTAGTTCCATAAATGGATTACATTTTGAGATGTTTTTATATTGTAGGCTACTCGCGATAATCTTAAATATATATAACAAAATTATTATATTAATATCTTACCCTGAAGCACGAAACACTCTACTGTGCGGAACATTGCTGGTGACAACAGCCCAACTTCTGAATACAAATAAGTATTTGCATATTATCAGAAAATAAAGCTAGAACCAGCCAAATCGCACCAATTAGATATTTTCACACTTTTTAGTGGAAGAAGTAAGTGACGTCCACCAAAACGTGATGGTACTTTGAAGAACTAAAATTCATACCTCAGGTACATAAGTATGGTTAGCTTTCCCACGTTAATAATAGGAAGCAGTGGACAGAAGAAAGCCCCAATCCATGTTACACCTTGATTGTAAATTAGATGCAAGACGTTTTCTGCAATTTTAAATTCTCCATATTCCGGCTAAAATGAGAAACAAGTAAAATAATAAAAATGATTACCAGTAAATGGATGTTTTAAAATAAGGCAATACAAAAATACCTCAACACGTAATACATTAAAATATTACTAAATTTATTGAAAATGTATTTTGAGTAAATTTTTGTCCTAAATACACATATATATTGAGAGGATAAACGAATAATGTATAGAAATGCCGTTCCTTCTCAGTTTATCGATATAAATTTGAAACGTGATCCACAATGTTAGAATATAGTAATGAGAATTCCATTGTTATAGATTCAAACAACTATTGAAAGCGACAGACTTAAATTACTCTTATTTTTTGGTGGGAATATTTGTATACTTACAAATTGTTTTTCCAAATTCCAACAGCAGCAAGGATTCAAATATCTTACAACAAGTGCACGTATGAAATCGATAATTAATATTGTCAGAATCGTTGAAATAAGATCGATGATTGTCAATTTTAACAGTTCCTGTGGAAGATTTAGCTGTCAGTTAGAAAAATTAACTCCCTGAATCTTTGGTGTATGTACTGAATATATAAAGAGAGATTATATCCTTTTATCTGCAACGTGACGTCATAAATATCACCCCACAGAAAACGTTCTACGTTGGGGAATTAAGCAGTCCTAAATTTAGTTCAGAAAAATTGCGAAGAAATGATTACTTGTCATACAGTACAGTAAAAGCATGCCTAATTTAAGTAAATTTTTTTAAATTAGGGGTTTTAAACATTTATTCCTCCGGCACCCAGCAAAATTTACCTGGCCTACAAATGTTTCCCAGCATTCACTCAAACCAGTCGTAGCTGGAGTAGTTGAATCAGTCACGACATCCGCTGTTGGAGGCAATGTCTCTGACGGTACCTGTTTTGAAGATTGTGCAACATGTTAGCATAGTAATTAATGTATCTCGATGTGGTAAAGTATTGATTCTTACAAAACTTGTAGAATGCATTTCTGTTTGATAACGTCTTTCCTTCTCTTCTATGATTGTGAAAATATTTGGGAATGGGACACTCGTGTTGAAAACTGATCTTTTCTTGATTGCTGAAATGGCCGATACGTTTTTCCAATTTGTTATATTATTCAGTGAATGACCTATTGAAAAAAACACAGACCGTTTCAGACACGAAAAAAATTCTACCATTTCGTAGTCGTCGTCAAAATACCACAAACTTCTCCTCGAGTGTATATTGCAAAACTTGACCAATAGGTTATATACATATGACGATTCCGGACACAAGAAGCCCTTGCACTTTTAACGTTTGCTCCTGTTTCCCCTTTGACAATTGTTCAGAATATTTTAGCATGTTGATAAAGGTGAAGATTAGTAAAGAATAAAAATAATCCTATTGAAATCATACCGTCTGTGGTAATGTTGGCTTGCAATGCATCCTTACGTTCTGTTGCAGTTGTGACATAATTGAGAAGACCAATCATAAGTGAATATAAATTTCCAAGATACAACATGAGAATTCGACCCAACTGAAAAATAAATTTGCATTCAACAAATAACATAGCATCTATATTTTAATGTAAATTATTCAATTCAACACATTGTATCAGATATTTGAAACAGTTATTTTAAGACAAATTTTTTATTAATGTTACATGTCTCAAGCATTTGCCCACCTGTATTCGCAATGTATTTCTTGGGTGATATTTTTCTATCGATCCTATGACTTCAAACAGGGATGGCGTAATTAGAGTGACAAGACTTACGACAACCCCAACCTGTGAAAATCAATATTGTTGATTGAATAGGGACAAGGTCATTCAAACTATAACCCACAAAAAGTGATATTGTTTTCAAAGTAATAACATATATGCATGAACATAACCACATCTTTAACAAAGAATAACAAACAGTACATTCATGGTGATACTCACCTCATTCTGCTCCCAAAACGACTTCTCCCGATCACTGTCATTTTGTGCTTGCGCTCTAGCTGTAGCATATTGAATACTGTAAAGACTTCCAGCCAGCAATAACAGGACCAATATGTTTGCAATAATTCGGAGAAAAATGAGTAAAGTTTTTCGACTAAAATGTAAAAAGAGGAATCACGGTATTAGTTTCGTCTGACAAAAATGAAATATATGAGAGTTAGTAGTACTTCATACTTATCCATTTCCTTTTCTTTTTCCTGTTCCTCAACAATGGATTCCTGTTTTGTGAAATATAAATTCACATGCTATTAAAAGTTTGTGATCCAAAATAAGGTTACACGACAATATTCCAATGCAAATTTAATTATACAGTACTGTATACTATCTATGAGAAGATCAACGTTAGAAATATTCTAGAAAAATGACGTCCATATGTATACCCGTATTGCTGTAGCAATTGCGGCTGCCTTATTTTCAGCAGCCTCAGAAGAACCGATCATATAATCCCACGAGCAAAACAATTTCCAACTAAATGTATAATCATCGCCAGAATCACCACTTCCGTCGATTTTAGAATTTCTCGCCATTCTGAAAATATGAAATTGGCAATTAATATATGTTTATATTAAAAACGTGAATATCATCTTAACACTCCAATATTGAAAAGTTAAACACTTGCAAATTGAGAACAATAAAAAAAACTGCATTGTCGAATAAAAAAAAACATAATCTTACTTCCTGAGTAGAGCAATAAAACTGTATGTAAAACTTGCGATTCCAACAAGAAAATATGCAAGCGGTAGTCGATATCCACTGCCAATAACTTCGTCGTCAGAATAAAATCCATAGAAGAGTACAGAATATTCGAGATAACCACCTAAAATTTAAGTAAGGAACCTTTCACAGCTATGTTTCATCATGCAAGTTGCAATTAGTCAACTAACAATAACTCAATTTGATTTCTACAAACCTAATGCCCAGAGGGTTTCAAGATCCAAGGCCTTGTGCTCTTTGTTTGGGGGAATGGTTTTGTAGTCTGAGGTTGTTCCTTTCAAAAGCTGAATAGTTGAGTCAACAGAATGAAAATTAAATGAAAACATGATTAAAATAATTGAATGTTTACTATTACTTGTTGTTCGGATTGGCATCATTATAAAAAAAGGCTTCATATGATCCAACAATTTTACTACAAGTCACATTCCATGTCTACACATTTGCCTGAAATATGAGATTTGTACTTTTATCAAAAACTGAAATGCGATTTATCTCAGTTCTAGTTTGGTTTGGTCAATCGTAAAATAACTTCCTATGCACAAAAATAGGCGGGAAATTTGCTCGTGCTCGGTTTGAAAATGATAATATCGCTATCAGTATCACTTATACACAAAATATTCACACGAAAACCGCTATATAGTGTTGCTATAGTTCATGCCATTTAACTTAATTTGTATCGTAAAATTGTATATTATTATCTTACCTCTGGCAGAACAATAAATGAAAGATACATGACACTCATGACAAGGTTGATATATACAAGCCACCTCAGAAATGTAAAATATGATGCCACACTGGAACCGAAATGGCCTAGAACAAAGTTAAGATCGTATTATTATCTCATCTCAACCAAATACCAAGATACCGGGTGAGCTAAATAATTTTCACACACGTATAGTTTTGTGGAAAGACTAACGACAGAATCTTCACCCACTTTCCACTGTTTTGATTCTTTTATCCCATGGTGTAAGAACCGTCTTGACTTCTTTGTAAAACCTACTGACTTTTTTGCAGGCCTACAAAGAAAGAGTATAATGAATGTTTGACAACCGACGGCATGAAATATTTCGTCAGTCAGATTCATTTGCCAAAGCTTTATATGAAAAAGTAATTATTACCTCTTTTCCTATTGCAGTGTAACTTCTTCCCTCCGATAATCTCCCTTCGTACTTTTCGACAAATTCTTTAGCTTTTCTAAAATCAAAGATCATAATATGAAAATTGAGTTACTTTATAGTGATGTATACTCATTTTTGCAGGGTTAATAAGAACAAAACATAGGATTAAAAAACTTTTCAATATTTTAGATTCAATTCTTGATTCCGTTACTTGAGTACTCTCAGTTTCTTTTTCATCGGCCATGGTTTGCTTTTCACATTTGCAATAATTTCCTTCTGTATTTGAATTCTTTGCAAAATTTCTTCCGGCTCAGCATCTTGTAAATCTTCATCGCTCAACAATTCTTCATTTCTAGTTACAAGAGTGAAAATTATGTATAAATTATCCAATGCGCAACTATTCACTTTACACAGACATAAAAATATAATAAAATCAAATATAAAAATCCTAAATTTTAGATGGCAACATTGGCTATCTAATGCGTTATACACAGTGGTGGTTTTCGTGGGTCGTACGGACTCACGCGATCCCGTTCCCGGGATGTCTTGCATAATCAGCGAACCCGTTCTTGATTTTGTTAGACGTATACTTAACAATTGACGACTAGGGTTGAGTTCCGAAAGACATTAGATTTATGTAAAGCGTGTCACGTTAATTGTCGAGCTTGTAGTCACTCCCTTACGATTATATTTTATGATTATTGTTTTTCCTTCTTACTGCAAAGTGTACTTTGATAATATTTTCGGGGAAAAATGATTATCCCACTCTCTCTTTTTCTCTCTCATATATATATACGTAGTGAAAAACATATATACATTTTCTGATATGTGTGAACCTGTTTTCAGTGAAATCGATGCAGAATAGAACCCACTCTTGAAATTTTGAATCACACCACTGATTATACACTCTATATATATGTTGTAAAAATAAATTTAGAAATATATCTTCGGGAAGTCACAATTATTTATTTGGCTCTAAACTCTGATATTTGAATAATAATGATTGATAACTCACGATTCTTCTTCCAGAACTTTTTCGAATCGAATCGATGGTTTCTTACGTCTCTTGGTTGATTGGCGTCTACGTGCTCGAAACGCCGTGTCAGGCATGTTGTTTATTTCATAAATGGTATAATTTTTTCAGCAAATGTGTCCGAACTCGTCTAATCGTCAAATGAACTTGCTTTTGGGCGGGTGTTCCTTATATTTGTCGAATTTCTGCGCGTATCACACACGATATATGCGTGGCCCATTTTCCAACCTATTTCCGACAAAGTTTTATGACTAATATCAATTTTAATTGTTTCTTCCGGAGAAGCATCGATGTAAACAACATGTTTTAATTAGTCTCTTACAGTAAATCAATAATAAACTATCGTTGCATCGGAATAATTTCAATCGATTTATTCTAATCTTATTGTTTGTGTTCAAAGCCATGTGTGATATTACTAACGCATGCACAGATTACTTTCTTGTGTTCAAGTTCGTCCAAAATTTAGGCGAAATTGTGCAAAATGAGATAAGAAAATGTGCATTCTGGAATTGTTTCGTGATTGTGTAGAATGTAGATTAAACTTTGCCACTTGTCTGTTACTTCACTTTATAGTAGTAGTTCACTTCGTAACGAAGTTTGAGCGATTAAAAATGAAACGTAGGAAAAATACATGGTGCTCAATTTGAGAAATATTACCAATGTCCGTCCTATGACATCAAATTGGTGAAACTAAAAAAAAAAATTAAGTCACACAGTACCCGAGTGTCGTAATAGCGTGCGCTCATGTATGGTCTGCGTCTGACTGATTGCGAATTTTATCCAAGTAAGACAGCCAACCCAAGCGCATTCCCAATTTAATGAGTAACCGAGTAAGATATACATATATAATTTTGTTTTAATATTGCATTTGAAGAAATTCAAACTGTTTGGTTACAGTTCATCGCACAGATTCGCGTTCATTTCACATTTGGGGCATATAATAGTTTATAAATTGGTACTTATATATGTATTTGTGGGTATTAGTCACCCATCTGTCTAAATTCTTTCTTGTTATAAGGCTGATTCCACTCTTTATACAATTGTTTCCCAATATTATATTCACATGACTATGAGTACCATTTTGTTTATCTCCGGAAACTTATTTTTATATGTGAGGCTTACCGCTTACTCACTCAAACAATTGTTATGTGTCCAACATTACATTTGAGTGTAGTAGTCCAATAGCCAAATTTGTTTTTTATTCATGGGACTTAGACCTCGCTTTCAAATAATAGTCTGTGTAATAGTTGATTATTCGTTCAAACTGTTTCATTTCTCAAAGACAAATCTTATCTTTTAAAAATTTACTTTGCTAAAATAATTATATTTTTTTTGTTCAATTTGTATAACGCGCCTCAGCCCTTCTCTTATTTTCTCATTTTGTTTTTAATCATCACATGTCGATGGCTATTGAAATTTGTAACCCAATTGCAGGCAATTTAGGTAAATTAGATAACAACATCACATGTAATATCAAAACGATAAATAGCATCCCGATCCCGCTTACATATATTTTCCAAATATGTATCCATGACGAATGCTTGTAATATCCTTACCTGACCCCTTCATAAATTATTCTCCCAGTCCAAAATGAATGCAATATTTCTTCAAATGAAAAATAGTAATGGGCTTCTTAGTTGCATCATACCACATTTATAACTTTTCTGTATTACCATGTTTATTCAAATTGTTTGTTTGTATATATAGATGTTAACACGAACAATTGCTTAGTCCATTTTTTTGTTTTGTTCGTTTTTTTTTTTTTTTTCAAATTTTGTTTCATGAATTTTAACCACTTCAAATAGTCATATTTTACTGTGAACTAATCAGCGTAAACTTGGAGGGAGCTGACTCCGATGACCGCATGGTCGTATCGCTCCTTCCAGTCGATACCGAAAAAAGTGTATATTTTGTTACCATTATTTATTGTTATGACTGTTTTTTTTTTCTGGTTGACGAAAATAAATCTCTCTCTCTCTCTCTAAATCTCTCTCATCGTGTGTTGCATGTTTGCGCCATTTAGTGTTGCTGTCAGAGGACAATAGCCAATGTCGTCTACTCCCTTGTTTATATCATTGTGATGTCATAGGTAAAATATCACGCCCGACTGAGCCCCTCATCGCATCCTCAAGCTAAAACCAGTTCAGACGGCACGTCGAGTTTGTCCGAGTCTAACCCGAAGATACCATGTCCAGCAAACTACCCGGACTCGTGAATCCCAGTGATGTGTACACTGAAGATGTTCTGAAATGCATAAAGGATACTTTAAAACAGAAAAGCGGCGAGTTTAGTAAGTTTCGTGATATTTAAGCCTTAGCTTAGCTTAGTTTCATAAGCCGAATCAGTTTCATTGATCTTCGTGTGACGCAAGGTTGCAAAATTGCGCTTAAATTATACAATGTTGATAATGAATCCAATTTCTTCTGGCATTCTTTCATAGCTTGCAAATATGACGGATCGAGAGCGTCCGCACGAAATGACGAATCCTATGTGACAGAGATAACTGACGAAAGTAGGGCTTGGCGCGAAAAATTCAATCGCAGGAAAAGGAATCTTCATTATGGTTTCTTCGCCGATAAAGCGAAACCGTATCAGACACTTGGAAAAGTTTATCTCGAATCTGGAGAACTTATCCTTACTTCTCTCACGGACGACTTGAGGTGCAAGGTAAAATATCAGAAAATCGGTTCATGTACGTCTAATTATTTGTATTAATGATATGATTTTTGCTTGGCTAGAAAATTGAGTTGAGTGACGAGTGTATAAAACAGTGGGACAACGAATAGGCTATTTTGAAAAAGTTCATTCAATTTAACCATCAAGCTTATTATTTTAAAATGCTTGCAGATAACAAGGTTTCCCATGAAATCTAATGTAAAATGGAAAAAGACGACTAGAACGAAAAAGGGAACTCCCCAGTTAAAATCCATGGCAGGGGACAGGATTGTAGAAAAAGCAGATCCTATTGAAGCAACAGCCGGTTTTGCGGCCATCAAGCAAAGATTAAACGAAGTTCACCTCATGAGAAAGGGCGTTCACGCTAATCAGAGTCTAAGTGGATATCTCTTTCGAAAGGTGTGCAAGCTGTCTCCAACGCCGCCATATTCTAGCGAGAACATAACTTTTGTGCGAAACGTTGTAGAATTCTGAAAATTTTGGGTACAATCACACACAAACAGAAGTGCAAGTGTAGAAAAAAGTAAATAATGCTGGCTACAATCAATATATGTAATCGGTTCATCATTTTGAGTATTTATTAGAACCGAAATAGACTTTTATTCAAATAACAAAGTATGGTAGTCCCGTTGTGCCAGGTTAGGGTTAGAGCATACTTTTATTCCGATTTTTCTTATTTTAGTTCTATTGCGAGTTCAGGGACTGTCTGTGTTAGCCAAGTGAATATACCCCCTGCCCCCATAGGTTTCAGTCGCTTTATTCATTTTATTAGGACTGAAATATACTTTTATTTAAATAACAAAGTATGGTACTCCCGTAGTATGTGTACCAGGTTAGGGCACAATTTATTTCGATTTTCCTTATTTCGGTGGCTGTCTGTGTTAGCCAAGTGAATACACCCCCTGCCCATAGATTTTAGTCCCGTTACACAACTTGATGTAAAGAAGGCAAACAATATTAGTTACCTCCATGAGTACACATCTTCTGGAGCGCCCAAAGTATAAATCACAAACATAATAAAAATAAACTTTTTTTCACCCAACCCTGACGTTAGCAGGAACAGGCATTAGAGGAAGCTGACAAGAAAGATGATATGGCAATGAAAGCTCCGCCTAAAAATCAGTGGAAAATTGTTCGAGCTGTCGGAAAAATTATGGGAGCAGTGAGAGGAAAAGGTATCAGCATCCTATTTTTTCGAAAATAATAATCCTTACTGTGTGGCCATTACATAAAGGACTTTGATTTACAGATTCACCTCAACCTATGCCTGTGCTGGCTCGCGCTTTCCGGAAGAAAGGAACAAAACAAAAATTTTCCAACGCTGGAATCGGGACTGAACTTGAAGATCTGGAAGATAAGGAAGAAAAACTACTCAAGTATATATATATTATTTTATCTGTTGAAGTTATAAATACATTCCACACACAACACACTTAGTATATATATTTACCAGTGGTACAATGGTCACTGTAAAAAAATAGAAGTGGCTCTTTTCCCTCTGTCGCAGGACACGAAAGGTGTATTGCCCAGTTATACCTTCTCTGATGTTGCGGTATCATATCATGTGTAAAATAGTGGTAAGTCATAAAACAAATGTGTTAAGTTTATATTATGAATACGATAGAATTTGTTAGCTTTTAGCATTTTTAAACCATGATAAAGTAAAAAAAAAATTCGCGAGAATATTGCTATGTGCTACAAAAAAAGGGGAAAAATCACAATTCGCAATTTTGATCGCAATTTTCTGTTTAAATTATTTTTACTATATCTCGATATGTACAGATGGCGACAAGAGAAGAAACGTTTATATTTGCAACATAAGTTACAAGCAATGAATTCAATATTATGTTGTCTTTATAACATGAAGTCGAAGATGTTAAAACTCCAGGTTGGTAAATAAATTTTTCGATAAGTATTGGTAGTGAAACCTGCTGTTTAGGTGGCGCGTCCTATACTTATTGATGATTTCAATACAATAAGTTTTTGTAACGAAACACGGATCAACTAGACATCCAGGGTATTTAAAAATTTATACAAATTTTAGGTAACAGTAAGTTGACTCTATTTAATTTACTTTAGCATCCCCTACCAGGAAAACTTGTTCTAGATCTTTTTCGTCAGGATATAACTCTGGACCATTACGGAAAACCGATGTCATAGTAAGTACTAATATGATAAAATGAAAAATAAATATTTTTTCACCATCCATTTTATTTTTGTATAATTTGTTACCTATCTGAAATCTAAAAGGAACCTACAGGGAATTAAGGCGTACTCTCAGGAATGCTAGTGAAGGTTCACGTAATCTTCTGATATGTTGCCTGGTAATGAATTTCTCTGGATTGATTATTTTAGTTACTTTCATTTGTCGCTCACCCTTCAGTAATTTTTGCCTGATACTATACAAATTGGTTGGGTCATCAGTTATTGATGAGGTTCTTCATTTATTGTTGCATGATATAAGTATAATAGTTGTTAGGGATACAATACTTTTCGCAATATTCAAATTAAATTAGACAATTAGAGCATAACAATATAATCTTCATTTTGCAGCCGTGGCGCGCTTGTGACTGACGACGCCAGTATTTATTCAGATGGATCAAACACTCCGGTATATTATTTTATTATTGAATGTTTGTTTTACTTTTTCTGTTTAAGATAATTAGCATTTATCTGATATTTAGGAGACTGGTGACAGACCACAGAAACCAATATCTGCTTCTTCCAACATGACAACAGCTCTGGAAAGAAAAAGAATGTCATCCGTCGCATTTTCAAATTCTCCAAGAAGGTGACTCCGCTATACATCATTACTTATCGATCATAAGATCGGTAAGTATGTTGATAGGTATTTGAACGCGATATCTCACGAAGGCGAGGTCTGCTCCAAATTTTATATGTGCATTCATCATATCTCGGACCAGAAGCCTATTAATTTTGGATGAATTATGTCGTATAATTAGCGAGTTATTAATTAATTAGTGATGGGACACGCGGGTCATGAATCTATCGATAAGTCTTCGGTATCCAACCGATATTCTCGTGTTTTATATCAATATCTATTTCTCAAATATAATGGCATCATATAATAAATGCCAACATGTACGCAAAATTTTTTCGTCGGATACCACAAAGGATTTGTACTATGCTCGACGACTGGCGCATCGTGCTAAGCGTCCGGAACACGCTTGTCATTTTACTTGAGATTACCATGTGAAGTTTCGAATCCCTAGCGGGATAGGCATGCGCAATAGGGTTGCCTGACTTGTCCTGGTGTGGTCCACAGCTACATTAGGCCTAGGCGTGGTTCACCATATGATTGAGCCGTCACAATGACTTTCGTCTCTTCCAAATGAATATCAAAAACTGTTCTACTATTACACGCCGAGTTAATAAACTGTCTTTGTAAAATTTTCTCACTACGTCTCACTCGAAGGGATATTTTATTGTTTTATTGATCGTTTTTTGCAGACCTCGTCTTGCTCAACTTGCAACAAAATTTGCATCAAAGACTACCAGTGATTCTCCAACTCCAAGGGTAGATACTTGGGAAGAATTGTTAGCTGCTGGCGAACGTAGTAAAAAGACTTCAGCATTGAGATCCGGTGGGGCAGGCGGTGGAAAATATAGCAAAAGCAGCTCGTATGTTACACAAGTTTTGAAGAATAATGCTAGATTGGCTTTTTTTTTACCAAAGTTAGTTAGGCTAAAACTATAATTTTGCAGACGAAAAAGTGGTGCGTCATCCACGCCAGCTGGTGCTTCAAACGAAAGTTATCAACAATGGACTTTAATTGCGCATACTGAAAAAATTATCGAAGAAAGAAGGAAAATTGCAATGTTGGGAAGGTTTGTTGATAAAAAATGTTTCATAAGTTTTCTAAAAGTTATTTTATTACTATTTTTCATATTTACATCAAAAGAAGTATCAATTATGGCTGGGCATCGTAAATTCGAAAAAGAGTAATGTAATAAATAATATGAGCGTTTACACTGTTGAGGGGGGAGGGACTTGATTTATCTGATTGAAATGACTCGGATTTGTACTCAACTAACCGCCAGTGAGATTCAACTCGGTGATTGACTCTACCCCGATGTCCCCTCGAGACTCGGACGACCTTTGACTCGACTTTACTGGCGATCAGAGGTTTATAATCTTCTACCCGACGTTGGTTTCTGATATATAATAACATCAGTATAATTGCGACACCATCATATTTGTGAAAGTGCCTTACTAGGGCTTAACAATAATTATAGCTAGTATAAACCTCGATCGGTATCGAAAACGACTTCATCAACTATATTTTTGTATATTTCAATAATTTCTTAGTAGGTAATTTGAATTTGCCGCTCGTTAATTATGTGCCCGGATGATGATGGGTATGACTTCTTATAAGTGTATGATTTTGATTACAACAGATCGCGATAATTGCCATGTTCGTTAGTTTATAAAAATACCATGTACACTATGCAAAATACGCTCAGATATAAACTATCAAATAGATTTATTCGCTATGCAGACGTTGTTCTGTCGCTATCATATAAAAATAAATTTTCTGATGTTGTGCGAGTCAATGTACCTTAATAGTAGCTCCCTACATGTCAGTGGATGCTTGTATAAAGCTATGTTCGAAGAAAAACCTAAAATATTTTTATCGTTAAAAGCAACGTAAATCCTATCCAAAATATGGTCACCTTTGTCGGTTTCATTTTTCAGTATCAGCAAACGAACGGCAGAGAATGTTCTCAATGATATAAGACATGATTTTGTGAAATTGCAAAAAAAACTTTCGAAAGACGTAGATGATGATTTAATAAAAAGAAAAGGGTCGGAATGTTTTTTTTATCTCACTTGAATATTTATATAGCAAAAATTAAAGTTTTATTAAATATTCACAAAAATGTAAACAACCATCATTTAAAATTCGTAAATTGCTAATTTCAGTAATATATAGAAATTACATACATTAATAGATGTTATCACAGAATTTGGATTGTATTTATGAATCAACAATGAAAATGATTATTTGACATATTTTTGGTTAAACAAAAAGTAAATGTATAAGTAAATGCTTGGGATATCCTCGATTGTAATCTTATATTATATATTAGCTTTTCTGATAAGATGGCCTTAAATTATTGTTATTAAAATGTTCAGCGAACAATTCAAGCTCATACAAAACAAATTTGGAACCATCAGTCTTGGACCAGTAACCAGTGTAGCTTTAGAAAAAATGAGATCAGATGCATACGTGTTGACCAGAGATAGAAAAGATAATACCACGCAACCAATGCCATGGTAAGCCGTCTTTGTTCCTTCTTATTGCTGAAGAATGGGATGTAATATTCTACATGATTTTTCAAGGTTTATAGATTTGAAAGAAGAAGTTCGAGGCGAAACGGCCCTCAAGGACGAAACAATCAATTGTATATTTCGAAAGGTTGCCAGATTTCAATATGAAGATGGTAAAAATATCCCATTTGGAAAGGTATATTATATTATTTTGTAAAGAAACGAAAAAACTATTTGTGTCTTTCTTGTGGCATAAGTTTTTTTGTAATATTAAAATACACATACTACTCACCTATACTTCTCTGAGATTTTACAACCTATAATACTGGTGCTGTAAGACAATTTAAGGCAATTGAACGAATACATTTTCACGCTCATGGCCGCCCTTAGACCACCGTAACCCATGCGACCACAGTGTTCCCCGCGCTCTTTCTATGTGTAATTTATTAAATTAAATTATGTATTGGTCAAGGTATTAATTAAGGACACACAATCCTCGTAAAGCAAAATTACTTTGAGATTTTCTACTTAGTTAAAAGGGATTAAAAGTAAAGACGAATTTATTTTCTAATACAAAATAATAATTTTCACTGGGCTCCGCGCCATACGTTTGCATATGGCCCTGTATTAGATAGGGCCGACCCTACATGTACTGGTATCATGGCCAAAAGTTGGTTTGAGGTATGTTTCACTGATTTTTACCGCCGTTCTTCTTTTCGCGATAAATAACTCATCGGTTCATACCCTTATTTTTGCAGGAAAAATTATGCCTGCTGGTAATGTCGATGCCTGCTCACATGTTAATGAATGCCAGCATGATACACGCCCTTTTATTTGTTCTTGCAAAAGTGCTCGAATCTGCTCCTGAGCTTCTTGAATTTTGGTTGTCTGCAAGGAAGCTATCTAACATTCGAAGAGTTGAAACTTCGGCAACACCAAGATCACCGAATTATTTGTAGATTATAAGTTATGCCCATGCAATAAAACGTCATTATTTGTATTGTGAAATGATTTATGTTACCCGTAAAATGCACGTGTATTGTGATGCAAGTTCATTGTATTTAAAATTCAGGACGAAAAATACTGCATCGAAATATCACGAGAGTCAGTTTACGAATTTGAAAGAAAAAGCCTGTACACGGTAAATATAGCGCTTATTATAACTAAAATATAAAAAAAAAAAGACCATGGTCGATGTCGATAGCAACGCAGAAAAAGAACAGGTTTAGATAGGTCACACAAATTGGCCAACCCAACCTGAACCTGACAAGATGACAATTAGTACGTATGGAGCAAAAACTGGAACAATACTGCGTGCAGTTGCCCGGATCTCATGAAGTTACTTGTAATTTAATTAAAATCACTAAACGAATGTCATGGAAATTACAAGTAAATTGCTGTGAGCTTATTTTCCATATAATTTAGTCTAAACTTTCCTCCGATCAGCACAACCATATTCACGGCACAACGACTGAAAAATCTGCGTTTTGAAATGTAACCACAAGGTGGCAGAAAGAGATTTCCATAGCAACGTCGCGGTGTTTGCAGTTGAGGTCGCGCTTTCTGAAGTTGGATTCGTTCATTTGATTCGTATGTCGTTGACTTCTTTTGTGTGCTCTGTCGTAGTTTCTTTTCTGATTCCGCAATTCAAAGTTCTACTTTATTAAATTTTATTCATTATAATGCAGATTTGAAATGACCTAACCAATAAGTAAGCTAAAACGATCAACAATGCCGAGCCCCGCCAAACCTGGCGTCGGTGGCACCGACATTGTCACTGGAAATTTGAGTCACTTGAGTGAGAGTCTCTTGAAAAATATGGAGAGCAAGGTTGTCGCTCCAAGAAATCCAAAATTAATCAAAACAACGGAAATGCCAAAAATTCGGGTGAGTAGAGACCAAACTTCTGTTGTACTGTGTATACACTTGTTGATTTGCAAACAGTACATAGACATAGTTTATTTTTTTTATATCTCCGACAAAAAGTTCATTACTGCAAAGTAAGTAAATACTGCATTAAGATAGAAAGTTGCAGCTCAAAAGTATGGTATTGTTTCAGTGTGTTATTCAACTTTAGTATCATTCACAAATGAAAATTTCGATTAGATATTTACACAAGATTAGTGACAAAATTGAGTACAAAAGGCAATCTTTTTAAATTGGGAAACTAACTATGGATATGGATTGTAGTTCATTTAGATGGAGTAATTTATTCTGTCACTACAGCATTAGTAAAAAATTATAATACAAAACACAAAGCACAGGATAGTCAAAACTTTAGGTGAGATTTTAAAACATGAGACATAAGAGTAGTACTTTACAGTTCATATCTCATTCTGTGACTTTAAACACAAGTGGAAAAAACATGATGAAATGTATTCTAATTTAGCCTATTTATGTGTTGTTTGTCTAATACAGTCAACACTAATTTGTCCTTGTTTTTCTTGCATCATTACATTTTTAACAGATGACCCCATCAATGTACATGAAGGAAATGGAGATGGACACCAAAGCCAAGTTAGCAAATACCCATGAAATGAGATTACCAAGGGTAGTTGAACTTCTGGATATGTCAGAAACAACACATCAAAAAGTTAGTATTATTTTGATTCTTTATATCTCTTTACAATTTTTGTTGGTTAGTCACAGGCACAGCATCGAAATTAAATATCTCCATATTGGTACACATACTTCTGGAGCGCCTAATTTTGCGCCTTCACTCTGAACAAAGCCTTGTATAAGCAGCCAGTGATACATAAGGAGCTACTCTTTTCGGAAGAATCACATTCTTGCCTGTTTGGAACTTCATACCTAATTAATTGTACTTTGGATAAGGGGTAGGGATGCGATTTTAACCGAAGATCTCTATCATGTTAACATACGTTAGATGTAATGCTCTAACGACTATGCCATCACTCTTATTGATATTTCCTACTCTCTATATACAAATAATATAACATTGACTTGAGTTACATGAAGACTAGAAATATTTATTATCTCGTTTATAAATACTAAATAAACACTTTATACTACAATAACATTTATGTTTTGATATTTTATACTTATTCGTTATTTTCATCAGGTGTCTTCTGTTGATGTCGAAGAAGCAATGTTTCAACCTTTTCCATCAGAAATTTATTTTCAAAATTTTGAGCCGTTCCATACCTATGAAGTACCATTACTGCTGAGGAATAATGACAAGGTTAAATGTTATTGATGGTTTAATAATACTTTTTGATGTAGATGTGCAGTGTTAGTTCTTGAATATATGGTTAATCATATTCAAATAGTTTTGTTATTACAGAATTCCATCATGCACTAATTTTGATTATTCAGATTTCCATCAAAAATATCACATTAATACTGTGAAATATTTTTTCATAATAGCATGTTTTATAAAAAATGGTTATTCAAATTTTCCTCTTTGTATGGGTGTTTACATACCTTCACCATAGGCTCTATACTTGCAGCCACTAATACTTTTAGTGAGCTTATATTTTTTGGAAGGCCCGAAAAAAATCTGTGCAATTCAGCATTGCCATACTAATTTGTTAGGGGTTTTGAACCTAAACTCGTGACCCCAAAAATGTATTTTTAATATCATCAATAAGTTTTAGGTACATGTTCTTACACATTCATACTTATCATTCTACAACAATCTATAAATTCACTTTTATTTCTTCATTGATTTTAACAACTTTCATTTACTACAGGTTCCAAGATTAGTAAAAGTAATCCAGAAAGATTCACCTTACTTTAAAATTATCAGTCCTGAAAACGTCAGTCACAAGGTGGCACCAGGAATGGCTTCCGTCTTCAAAATTTTGTTCAATCCTGAAGATAACAAAGATTATACTCATGAATTGATTTGTATGACTGAACGTGAAAAGTTTATTGTTCCTGTTAAAGTGAGAATTTTACTTGTCTCTATTTTTTCAGTTTTTCTGTAAATGGGATGAACTTTTAAATTTTTATGCAAAATTTGAATTTTAGTCATTCCTATATTTTCAATTTTTCCTCTTTGGAATTAACAGTTCAGAAGTATTTCCTTGTTTATTTCAGGCTATTGGAGCACATGCTATTCTAGATTTACCAGATCAAGTCAATTTCTCTGTTTGTCCAGTGAAACACAATTCATCAAAAACTCTTCTTGTCCGAAACATTGGAAAAATAGAAGCTAAATTTTCATTTGAAACTGAGAGGTGGGTTTGTATGGTAAAGACATGGATCATTTTATGCAAAATCTACCATTTTTTTAAATTTGGAAGTTTCTATTGTCATTAACTTAAAATATATCATATTTCAAACTTTTTTGTATTCGAACTTGTTTCAAATATTGAAAAATAGTTACAATAACTGTTGCGGTATATTTACTCAGGGAAAAAAGACCCTGAGACATTCGGTTCCTATGACTGCGTGAAATCCAGATATCCTGCCCAGGGTAATCAGAGTTCTGATTACAAGCAAACTTGATGTGCCGAGTGTTGAGACCCATTTGCATTTATGATATACTCATGTTATTTATTATATTGTTAGTCCGTTTTCAATTACGCCAAGTTCTGGAAGTCTTGCTGTTGGTGACAGTATACAAATGTTCATTGAATTCAAGCCATCAAAAATTGGAGATCATCAGAAGGATTTGGTTCTTTGCTATGATTCTGGTAAGTAACGATATCTATAAAATATTGTTGATATTTTGTCAGTTCTTATATACGTAGATAGATTGCTTTTATTTATTTTTCCAAACTTCATCTTTCATTTTCATTCATTTCCCATGCAAATTGTCTTGTATGCTAGCTGCAAAACCCATGGTCTGGACAAAAATTGAAATTGCTCCTCTGGGGACATTGACTCCTTTTCAAAGAACATAACTGAAATAATAAATAATAAAATTTAAAGCCAATATAACCCATTTGGACGCTTCCAACACAACTCTTTCAGTTATTTTCTGAGTCATGTTTAATAATAAAAAGCTAATGACCGAATGTAAAAGAACAAATGTATCATAGTCAAAAAATTAGAAATAGTGGTCAATTCACTTTAAATTAATATAGTCGTCATGAATGGTACCTGGTAAAAAAAATTTTTTCCTTATGGTCCTAGAGGACTGCTTCATGGCCCTAGAGGCGCTGTTCGAAGAACCCTTCACTGATTAATGTTATATTTTTATTTTAGGCGAACAGGTTCATGTCACATTATATGGAGCTGCTGTTGATGCAAATGTGCGTTTGGATAAAAATGCGATTCGCATTGACAACACCTATATTTCAATGGCAAACCAGAGAAACATTATCATACACAATAGAAGTAATGTCATTGCCCACTTCAAATGGTCACCATTTGCAACTCAGATTGAAGAAGACTCGCAGAAAGATAGGTATGAGAAGAGATTTTCTATTTTCATTTTTGTTCAATGAAATAGACTCATTACTAGTGGCTGAATTGTCGTTCAATTGAATATTTTTCAAAATTGTTTTTTGCTTTCATTATCAATGTTCTAACTTGATCTCTATTTCCTATTAAACTCAAATCTAATGACAGTTCATATTTATTTGACATTTGATGCAATAAAAGTACATTTTAATGAAATGCAAATATTTTTATTTTTTTCTGTACGAGGCTTTTGTATGAGCTACCACCCTGGATATATGGTATGATGAAGCTTCAATCGATTGATTCAAACTCTGCATTTTGTCTGTTTTTTCATTATTTTAGACTGCTTCAATGTGGCCTGAACTCACTTTGCTTCAACCTTGTTGATTAACAACCTTGTATACTTCCGCCGCGTCCCCCATCCCACAATAAAAAAAAAATAGATACTGCATATTTCCGATTTCATTCAAAATCAGTTCTTCAATCCTATAATATGCGCATTGCTTCGATTCATTATCAAATATATCCATCCAATTTTACCATTTTCTGCATAAAATTTTTTTTTAGATTTTGCAACGAGATCAGTGATGAAGAAAGACAAGAACGAGAGAGATTTTTACAAGAATGTATCGACGATCCAACATTACGTGATAGAATGTCAATATTGACTCGTACTTTTACCAACAGAAGAAATCTAGTTCAAGGAGATCCATTACTTTTTGCTGATGAAATATTTTCTGTGTATCCTTTGGTATGTACAGTAATAATATTTTTTTTAAATGTGTAAAAGGGGAATAATTTAAAGAATTTTTTTTTTCAGATACAATTTTTTCACTGATTTTATCTAATAATTAATAACTAAGTTTTGATTCAAAATGTTGAGCTGTATAAATATACTTTTTCTATGATCCATAGCACACTTTTCTTCATAGTCTTTACATTTCCATTATTATTCAAAGGAAGGAGATATTTGGCCGAATTCAACTATCGAGTTGACAGTGGCTTTTAAGCCAAAAGAGGCAAAATCTTATCAGAGAACAGCTTTTTGTGACATCACTGGTAGAGAAACAAGACTTCCTTTAAAAATCCGAGGTGATGGGATGGGACCGAAACTAGTGTTTTCATATGATTCACTAGATATTGGAAACGTTTTTGCTGGCTCCACTCATACTTATGAGGTAAGTTTAGTAATGCCATATTCATTTTGTCTATTGCCAAGTAATTGACAAATGGACATCGAAAACAAAATTGAATATTCAAATTTGATTTATATACAATATTTTAAAATCTTTCTTTTTGGGAATATTTGAATAAAGTTTTAATTGATAATTAACTATTTTGAGCATTTTAAATTTCACGGTAAGGCGGTAAAAATTTAAAAAAAGGTCACCTCGACACACTTTGCGTAATATTTTTTAATACCGGTATTTAATGCTTCATTTTTTTGGCTTAATCACAGGTGCCATTGCCTGATAACCAGTATTGGTTTTCTATGCCTCCCTTCAACCTGAAATGCCATTTTTGCTTCTTTTTATTTTCTTCGTGTACTAAGCATATATTCTGTATAGTGTAAAAATTAACTTCTGATTTCTTCACAGGTTGTATTGGCAAACAAAGGTGACATTGATGCAATCTTCAGTTTGTCGCCATCGAGCGAAGGACCTCCGAAAGGTGGAACGGTGGCAAAAAATCAACCCGACTCGGAATTCAGATTTGATCCAGTTGAAGGCATTGTACTTCCCACTGGACATCAAGCTATTGAAGTATCGTTCTGTTCAGAAACACTTGGCGATTTTTCAAGAGATTTTTATTTCGCTGTCGATGGATCACCAGAACAATTGAAATTGAATTTCAAGTTAGTTTTATATTTGTTTTATGTGTATGCTAGCAGAATTCGCTGCTGGAGTCAGGATTTGTGATGCCGAACCCTGATTCAGATCGTAAATCATGAACCAGGGCATTTCATAGTGAATCCTATCAGCTATTTATGTTTATCAGAATTCTGCAGTGTTTTGCAATTTCAATTTTTAATGCTTGCGTAGGAATGAGTCCTTTTTTTAAAATTTATTCTGGTTCTTCTCATAGTGGACGTGGGCGCTTCTTAATCCAAGCTTATCGACTTGGATTTGCAAATATAATTCTATTCTCAATTTATCTCAAGCGAGCTTCAAGATCTGATTACTTCTTTGAACCCTCCGTTCTACTTTTTCAGATTCACTTTATCAACATTATTGTTATTTTCCAGGGGATGTGTGATTGGGCCAACTTTTCATTTCGATGTTCCTCGGCTGAGATTCGGCACAGTATCATATGGATTTGTTCATTCTAAATTATGTAATCTGTACAACACATCACTGGTACCTATGACTTTCAATCTCAGAGTCCGAGGTTTGTTTTCATGAGTTTTAGTGAAACATTTACTTTATATGATAAAAATACTCTTTTGTATTGTTTTATTGCCTCATTGTATTATATATCATTATCTTGTCTCAGATGAACTATATTGCCGCAGTCAAACCAAAGTACGTAGCTTACATTTTTCAGAAATGGACTTTTTCAATCTGGACCAGGGGTCATATGGTCTGGGTTTCAAAGCTGCATCTGTTTTAGTTTGGATTTTAGGTAGTTCCTTATGTCCATTAATAGGTTTATTATAATTACAAATTACAAATATACAATTTTTTCATAATGGTAAAATGTGACATGAGGGAATTCAGTTCTACTGTGGCAATATGGCAATAATATCCATCTGAACCAAAATTTGATTAATCTGTTTGATTTTTCTAAAAATGACATAATTATCATATTCTGTGAATAAAATATGGTTTTGTGTATATATGTGAATGATGGCTTTTTGGATATAAATTGTCCTTATGGATCATTTTCAAATAGGGTTTTTTCATTCTAAGTTAGGTTACTTAACGTAGTTATCGGACTTTTTGCCTATTTATATATGAAAGTGACTTTCTTGTTATATACCAACTGTTCAATTACCGGTACTTATGCATGAATAATAATTTATATCAACCTACAGGTGATGGTACTGGTGATCTAAGTGTAGCAAGTGCGAGTGATCTTGAGGGTGAAAGCAAACCGATCGACACAGGAAGAAGCAGTTCGGCTAGTATGCTATCTCTAAGAGAATTCGATGTCACACCATCGCAGGTAATGATTTGCTTTGCTGTTGTACTTGATTAACTTTAGAATTTTATTCAAGAATACACTATAGATCAGAAAATAAAAATAGATAAATTTATTATATTGAAATATAAATTGTTATAGTCCGATATAGAAGTCTTGTTTCTATCATTGGCAATTGGTAATGTGGCAGCCAGCAAAAATATGATTATTCATACAAAAAAATATGATCAAACAAAGAATTCTGGTGCTCCGTAATATTACACCAAATGTCGCACACCTGAATCCTACCAGTACACACACTTACTATGTTCAGTTTGCACCATTTTGATGCACATATCGGGGTCGATCTTTATGCATACTTTTACAAACATTTCTTCAAATTAATTGGTGATGCACACTTGCAAAATTCTCAGTTTTACGATATTCGAAACATTTCAATAATACTCAACATGCACATTGAAAATATTTTCACTTCGATTTTAATTTCTGAGCACCATTTCTTCGGATTCACCCCAGTCATTTACTGATCATATTATGATCTTCATATTGGCAGGGAACTAATTCGTGCTCAGAGTTGAGATGAAGAATTCAAGTTAGCATTTGTTCAAACACACTCAAGAGATATGATTATGCTCTCGTTGTTGATATCAAAGGAGTTGGAGAAGATATTTTATCTTTGCCTATTGTCGCAAAATGTGTTGTACCAACTGTTCAAGTATAATCATCTATTCTTTTTTTTTGTTTGCCAAAATTTCTGTGAACAGGAGAGCAATGCTTAAATAAATGGACACGAAGGTAAAACGAAGTAATATCAAATCTTTTACAGCACCGATAGAATGATCGTCAGGTTGCTGAAATGCGACTAAGAAACCGCTACACGGTGTACAATTTTGAATTTTGATGACATCGTTACACAAAACTTTATAGCCAAAAAACAATCCCATAGAAATTTTCGAAATAAATAAAAGTAATTCTAGCCTTCTAGCGACAGCGATAATCTTCAATAACATGTAAATAAGGTTTAAAACGTACATAAATTTAAACAGAAAGTGTTGCCAAAAGAAGTGATATGCGTTTACCCATCTTCATTTTGAAATAGTTTGACATTCTAAAATCAGTATTGAATACGGCAATTGAAATATAGTGATGAAAATAAATAAATAGTGATGAAAAGTGCAATTTTAATCTTGTTTAGAACCTCGTTGAATCTAAATATTTTGGGCAAACCCGTCAAGTCTTGCGGACTTTTTTCTAAAACTTCATTGAAACCTTTGTATCACACGAAATATTTCCCAAATTTTTCTTTCAATTTTATAATTTAATTCCAGGTTCTCACTCCAACAATTAACTTCGGTCGCTGCTTCTTGAACTATCCATATCAATTGAATGCCAAGCTACTGAATGATAGTGACTTACCAGCAAAATATGATCTATTGCCACAGGTAAATTATTGGATGACTGATAGAATCATAAATAATGTGTTATCTTTGTACATAGCATTCTAGGCTTGGAATTAGTGTAAGATGACTCTGGCTGTGTCAAGTCTTCAGTCTTCTGATTTTATATGTTTGAAAAGCCAAATTCAATTTGAACCTGATTCACATCATCCAACATTGGTAAATTGAGTTATTTCAAGTACTCATGCAACAACCTATATGACTGATGAAATGATGATCCAAATTGTCATTCTAGTAAACCGACTCAAACTAAGTTGTCTTAGTGATTAGCCTTAGCTTCCGAGCCGGCTTGCACAGAGCCTTGTTCCCAGTGATGGTCTAAAAACACCTCATAGAATAAGCCAATTCGGTTTCGATAAGTTTGAACTTGAAATAATATGTCCAAGCCACTCGAACCTAAATTGTTTCGTCTTTTTTAAACCTTTATGCTATATTTCTATTTAGGTACGTGAGGAGCTCAGTACTATTGTGTACGGTAGCCCGAGACCAAAAGGTATTCTTGAGCCAAGAGCGGTTGTTGATGTACCTTTGCTTATCCAAGTGCATGAGTTAGAAGATCATGAAGTTACAGCTTTATTCTCTATTTTCGGAAGCACAGAAACTTTGGTAAGATTTCTACAGTTCTCTATTCTCCACACGCAAAAAGGATTTTAATAAAAGTAGAGATGGCATATTTTGTAAATGTAGTATCGTTTATTTCTGAATAATTTGAGTCAGAAAACAAAATCTTCAATATCATCTTTCTGGCTTTTTGCACCTCCACACTGGACAAGAGGTCAATACTAATAATAGCTAATAAAAATGGCTAGATAATTAAAGCCAGGTTTAGCATGAGTATGATAACAATTTGGTCATCAGAGTTAAAATGTAGCGAAAAATCTTTCCTAGGAAATATCCTTTCTCTGTATAATAATCACTAATAGTCATAGAATCGAATTTGTTAAATTCAATTGAAGGTCAAGCAATAATTCATACTGTAAAAGTCGCTTTTCTTTTCTAATATCATAATTTTATTTAAAATATTTTCAGCCTGTTGTTATTCAAGTCATTGGAGAAGGTCCCGTGGTTCACATTACTCCTGAACATCTGGATTGGGGTCAAACACAAGTGTTATCTCCTGCTACAAAGACCGTGGAACTTTCTAACGAATCTGCTATTCCTGCTGTGTTCTTTGCTCAAATGGTATAGAATTTGTTTATTTATTTATTTATTTTTTCTTCTCTAAACAAGGACTTTATGCTAAGTTCTATTATGAATTATAGTAAATTGTATTTAACAGTTGTCCCCTATTTCATTTTTTTTATTGTAATCTTTTCCTCTCAATTTAACCCTCTTGAAGACAGATTTTTTTGCTTGAGCTAATCCGTGGTGCTGAAGGAATTAAACTAAACCATGGCTGCATTTTGAAGTTTTGCTGGCAGTTTGTAAATCAGTTCCAGCAATAATTAGTCTTCAAAAAATTCACTTTTTATTGAAATTTTGACACTTGTGTTGAATAGTGAACTTCCATTTTCAGATGCGTACCAATTCAGTATGGAAAGTCGAACCAGATCATGGTGAAATACCAGCTCATTGTACAGAGACTGTTTCTGTTTCTGCAATATTGGATGACTGTATTAGGTATGTTCTTCAGAGATTTTCTAGGATAATTTAGAGCCTTATCCTGTGCATAAGGATTGAATACCTCAGACAGACAAATTGTACTTGTCTGGATATGCTAAATCATTAACCTCTTTTCTCGATTTTGGCTAATTCTTGTTGTATTTTTCTTTTAGATTTCACGACAAACTTAACATTACGGTAGTGCAAGGACCGAGTGTTACTATACCAGTTCATGCATATGGATACGGTACTACACTTGTGACTGACCCACCTCTGGCCCCCAAATTCAATCTCGGCCCTCATTTCGCAAAATCGATATGTTCAAGAAAAATTAAACTCACAAATCGTGGCAGAAGACATCAAGCTTTGATGTGGAGCACAGATGGATTTGTGAAACCCAGGCATCGCAGACATGAACATGGTCTTTCCAATTCTAAAGATATGAAAATCAGGGTGTGTGACATTTTTTGGTTTTGTTGTTATTAGAAATTTTTCGTTTTTGTGGTGTAGGGAATTAATTCAAAATATATCGATGATCAGGGGTTATTATGTTGCTTTGACCTATGCTGGCCTAGGAGGTTACATATTTCTGGTTAGGATAGAATTTTCATATTCATCCTGTGGAGAGGAAAGTCGATAAGACAACCTAATCATATGGCCACATAACTATGATAGATAGTAGGATTCTGTGATCTCTTGACTGACTTACTCGGAAGCCGAGCATACAATCTTGAAACAAATATAAAATGTCATATTTTATGAAATCTTTTATAAATTTCAAATATTTAAAATTTTTCTTTAATCTGCCTATGTGAGTAATATCTGTATATTTTCTGAAACAAATATAAACATAAGTCCAGAAGGTGCCCAAAAAATTCCATGTAAAAAATTTTGAAACAAGTTAAAAAAATATGACATCATACAAAAATTTTAGCATTTTAATAGAGAACCGGATTTCCCGAGTATTGCTTGAACGTCAACTGAATTTTGAAATGAAAGTTTCACAAGTTGATCCATATTTATATTTCTTATTGTTTGTTCAGGACAAAGCACCAATCCCAACACCACCAGCTCCTGTATTTGAGATTCATCCAAGTAGATTGGCATTGGAACCTGGTCATAGTGCATGGGTTACATTGGAAGGATATTGTGATGGGTGAGTTTCATATTAAAGGAAGAGCGTTATAGATTGCTTGAAACGTAATGTGACCACTCAATTGAGTAGGTCGAGAACTTATCTGTTCATCTTAGCTGTTGTTGTTCGATCGTGTTAGCTTAGAGTTGTTTCTTCACATCATTACATTTTCCAAACCTTTTTTTTGGACAATTTATAGATTGCTCGTTTACCTCCAAAGTTGTCCTGCGTTCTGTGATTGGACAAAATAAGTCATGCGACTGCGAAAGTAAACTTGTTAGCTATTGTAATGGAGGTTAAAGCTTCTACTGCGGTATAAATGTGACTTCCTAGGAAGTTCTTTGAATTATTAACATCGGGTAATAAAAAATAGTTTTATATCTAATCTGATGTACCCCTTTAAAAGTCGAAATGTACCCCTGGGATTACATGTACCCCAGTTTGAGAGCCTGTTGTTTACATTCTATGCACTTTCAAGCTTTGACGCTGTTCTCAAAGGTTTGTTTGTAGATGGGTTTCTATTCTCAGAAGATAGACTTTGAGACATGAAATCATCAAATATTTGATCCTTCCATCCCAACAAAGTTTATATTTAATTGGCTTGCCAATTTTCTCCCTCCAGAATAAATATGAAGTTCATTTTTTATTATACATTACAAAATCTTATTTTTTCTACAGGCCTCGCCGAGTACATGAAACTCTAGTTTGTCATGCTATTATCGGAAAAGCAAACGGAAAAGAGAAAATTCTAAAATCAATTCTGAGTGCGGATTTTGTTTCCCCAGTTCTGGAATTGTCCAATCCTAACTTATACTTCAGAGTAGACAAAACACCTGAAAGCTCACCCATGGTTCCACAAACAGCAAAATTTATTGCTAAGAACGTGTCATCGTTACCTTTGACCTGCGTCATGACAACAGAATATCCATTTCAGGTAATACTACTTAGCTTTGATATGATTAGTGAGAATGGAAACAAAAATTCAGTAGTAGGTGATAGGTAGCTAATAAGTTAACTAAGTTAAAATCTATTAAAATGTCTTTCTCGAAATAAAAAAATATGTTGGAAAAAAAATTATTTTCGATGGTAATTTATTGCCTTATCTAATTGTTTTTTTCCATTTTTCTTCGGATGTTTTCCTTTTATATTCACAATTTTTATATTAAAACAAATAGATCTTATATTCTTTGTCTATTTGTAACAGATTTTCATGTAATATTTGAAATATGCTTGTTTGAAAAAAACTGACCTTGGTGGACAGCACTTTTGAACAATTTTCCCATGCATTCCAGATTCTGGATTTTCAAAATATTCCGCGCTCTGAGCTGTTGATTAGTCTAGATTTGGGACAAGAACATGAAATTGTAGTCTGGTTCGATCCTGATTATAAAAATGACTTGTTTTCAAGAATTGCTGATAGTGAAGTAACTATCACATACAAGGAACATCCACATACGGATCATGTTAAATTAAAAGGAGAGGTATTAATGAATTATGTTGTTTTATTAATTATGTGCAAGAGGATGGATGGTCCTGGTTCACATGACCACTGGTCTGATACAACTTCCTCCACCATCATGTCTATGCATATGTAACAAATAACTGGCTAACTATTCTCATACCCGATATGGACCGGTGATGAGAGCCCGTGGTTCGACATATGATTGAGCTGTCATATTACATACATTGTAATTAGGCATTATCTTATTCATGAAAATTACGTCTAAATTCAGGTCAACTTTCCGAATCTTGACTTCAGTAAGAAGGAGATTGATTTTGGATGCATTCTCAATGATACTGAGGTTGCCAGATTTGTTGATATTACAAATAACAGCCCAATGCCTGTTTCATATCGATGGTCGTTCGTTGTCAAAGAAGGAGAAGAAAATATCAAGTGAGCCTAAATCGTTGATTTTCTAAGGTTTCTTTTGCAATAGATTAGTAGACTTTAGCCCTTGGGTGCAAGGACCATCTACTTCGATAGCACTGTAAGTGTTGAGTGACTTGAGTCATTGACTCGACTGGAGTTGGACTCAAGTTTAATCGAAGACTCAAAATGACTTGAGTTATTCAAGGAATATCGTGGACTCACTATCACCTTACTGCCAATGAGGCTTGTTGACTCAGTGATTGACTCAACTTGAGACTCGGATGTCCAGTTACTCAACTTGAGGGACTTCTACGTAACACTCACAATATATATATCAATATTATGTCTTGATTGAGGTAGTTGGTATTGATAGGTCAGATGATCTACAAAACTACTTTGATTTTATATTTATTGCATTATTTTTGATGCCTGATAGAATCATGAGTGAGTATTTTGAGAAGCTTCGGGTTTGAAGACGTTTGTCAGAAAGGGCATTCACTCTATGAATATACATGTTGCGCTAGTTTAGAGTGAAATATTTTAATATGGATAGATTACAATAATTAAAAAAATTCATTTAATTTACCAGATATCTTGGTGTTATACCGAGCACTGACCTATCTCAACAAGCATTAGACATGGAAGTTGAGGAATCAGCAGCTGGTACAGAAGGATCTGGAATTCAACAAAGACAAGGAAGTTCTAATGCAGCTGAGGAATCTTCTCAACAACAGATGGAAACTATGCGGAGTAATGAAGATGTATGTATTATATCTCCATTATGGTTATATAATTGTAGGTTACACATAATGAAGATGTATTCTATTGAGCTATTAAAATATTGAATTAATTTCAAATCATTTTATATATTCATTTTGGCAAATTTGGCATGTTGGCCATTATTAGTCAATTGCCAATACATTTTTGAATAAACCAAATCAAAATATTTGCCACATTTGGAATATTGTCTTTGCCGCAATGTCCGTCTATATACTGACTTTCACACAATCCAACTCTCAAGATCATATATGCATAACTGCTACCCAATCATTGAACATAATTTTAGATACACAATAAATGAATATTAATTTTTTATTTTTGAGTAAACATGCATTCCATTTTTCAATTCTATATTTAGAGTGTTGTTAGACCCTCATCTGGAGTAGATAGAAGCCAACAAGATGGTGAGGAGGAATCTGCGCAAGGAGATGGACAACAAAATGAAGAAGCAAGCATTGAGAATCGTGATCAAGAAGATAATGAGAATAATAATCAGACAGAAGATGGAGATGAACAAGATGAAGAAGCAGTTGCTATGGCTATCCAGGTCAGTATCTTTTTTTTTTAATCATCTTTTCTCAAAACATTTTTTTCTTTCGAACATATTGATGGTTGGCGTATTGTGATAAGCATTAGAATCATACTCGCATCACAATGCTGATTATCTCGCGTGGGTTTGCCGGTTCAAATCAGCATCAGCATAAATCAGCATAACATATGATAAAGTAATTGTTAAAAAACAAATTATTAAAAACTGATTTTGAAATCAGGAGAGCAAAAAGGCAAGGTTTATAACGTACAGAATTTGATTTGGAAAATTCTGCCAAAATAAGGGGTAATTGTTCATTCACCTAAAAGTGATAAATTAATTCACACACACACAACCACTGAGATATATTAATGTGAGTAAATGCTTATTGTGAAGTGTGAATTTTTTTTGCTTGTAAAATTTACCTCCAGGTCGAATTGACACTCGGGCCCCAATTGAGAACCCCTGGTCTGACCTATCTTCCTACCTTTTTAACAAAGTTTACTCCCAAGGAAGGTCAAATTTACCCTTGGTTGAGAACCTCGGTCTAGTCAATACTTTCATCATTTTGCACTCTAATTTAGAGTGAAATAAAGAATACAGCATTTCACATCTCCCTTGTTCGGTTTCAGGATTCTGGAGAACTTCATTTAAGTCTAGATTGGTCTAAAGAAGACGATGATTTCCTGCATTCCCATTTACATCAACAACACGAAGAACAAGTTCAAATTGAATCTGAAGAAATGGAAGAATTAAAGAGATCTGTCAGTAGAATGTCCTCAAAGCATCAACCTTCTCATTCAGCAAGCATGAATGCTGCTGGTCTTCCCATTCTACCTTGGCTAACCCCAGGAGCAATACATTTACCAAGTGGTGTAGAAGAGGTATTTATGCAATCAATGTTTACACAGATTTTTCGATCCACCGATATTTCACTGCACAGACTTTTCGACCACAAGATGATTTGAGTTTGTTTTACATTTGCCCTGAGAAATGTTCGAAAATAATAATATACAAATAAAAGTGGATTTATAGAACATTTGGGCACAGTTAGGGTTATTGCAGTGCTGACAGTTTACTGGTATATGTTGCTACTGAGGTGAATAAATTCGACACCATAATAGGTTTTCATACGTTTTTGTGTCTAAATGAATATTCAATTGCAAATTTTTCGAAACGTCTTTCCCATTAATAATTTCTTATCCATCTTTTCTAGGTTAAACAACCTGTTTTCTAATTCAGATATTCGATATTTTACCAATCTATGGAACTCTGGATCCAGGAGAAACTCAGAGAGTGACTTTCACTTTTTATGGACATGCTGATGTCAGCTCATTTGCAAAGTAAGTAAATAAGATTGTAAGTTATCATCATTTTTGCATTAAATATTGACTTTTTAAAATTCTCGGCTGCTTGTATTTTTGGTTCTCGGGCTTGTAGTCTCATTTTTAAAAAATACAGTTGTTATTGATATGTTCCACTTGGGACAGTAGACTTTATAGCTCATCTGTTGATACAATTTTTGAGAACATCTTTAATGCCAGTATTTATTCATTCAACTTACTAAATACTTTTTGAAATGGATTTCAACTCAAATCTTCACATATTGAAAAATTGTTAACGAAAAGACTCACAAATAACTTTCAAAAACTAAAATCTATATTTTTAGGGCTGTTTGTTATGTCAACGGTGGGCCTGAATATGACTTGTCATTGAAAGGTGAAGCATCTCTCATTGAATATAGATTTGATGCCTGTGAAATTAAATATGGAAAACAGGTAAAAATTCTATTATTCACTTCATTTTAGATGGCTTTATTTACACACATAATGTCTCTTTGATCTTTGACAGTCTTTTCGTTTTATTTAATCATTACCTGAGCAGTAATGGTATTCAAGATTAAAATAAAATAATTTATCTTGAACTGGCTGTTGTACAAAAATGACACTCAGGACTATTACATAAGATAGATTTTCAGGAAAATTACCCAAACTCCAAATTAGTCATAAATATTCTTGTGCCATTGGCACAGCCAAATTTTAACGCGACCCCCAGGAACTGAAATAAAAAGAAAGTCAAATTTGATAATAGAGTGAGAATTTAAAAATAAGGAATAAAATTGGCAATAGCTTTTATGTGGCCGATGGGCTTGCATATTATCGTAAAAAAAGATTGAATATTTTCTCTAATTCGGTGATGGTGGTTTTTCGTACTGGTTCTAAATAATTTAAATTTAATCGATAGTTTGTTTTACCATAAGTTATTGTCGAAAATGCTTCAATCGTGACCCCCACTGAGCCCTTCCAGGACCCCAGTTTGAAGATCCCTGACATAGAATAGAAGAGTTATATACAGTGGTGGGATTCAAATTTTTTGTCAGCCGATTCCATCACAAAAATTATGTTTTTCAGCCGGTTCTGTTACAAACAGAACATTGACAGTAACCAGTAAAGCTAACCGGTTCGCTGATCTCATAAAATTGTGTGAGACGGTTCTATAAAATCGGTGCGAACCGGCTGAATCCCACCACTGGTTATATACCCATAGCTTCTTTAAGAATAATGTATAGTCTGAATAATCAAAATGAGTCTGAATTTCTAGAATCGGTAGATATTTTGGTTATGGTATTATTAACAACCTTCACTCTAAACAAGGGTCTAGATAAGCATAGTATCACTATGCTTTTAAGTATTTGGAATTTTATACCATCACATGCTATTTAGGCTCAAGTAAAACAGATAGCACTTTGTAGTTATTATTTTTGTTAACATATTTTTAGTTGAATTGAAGATTGAATTGTGGGAATCTGAATCTAATAATAATATTGGTGTGATGGCCTATTCATTAGAGCAAGACCTACTATGACGACATCACCTCAAACACCGTTAGTAAATGAGTAGACATTATCGTACTGGACAGATTGCAATCTTTTTAAAAATACTTCATCTACTTACATAGTCAGTAGCTGCTTATGCAGATCCCTGTTCCAAGTAAGAAATGGGAAAACTAAGAAACAATTTTATTTTCCTTATTACAGATGTTTGACCAAGTAGCGATGGATGAATTAAAACTCGAGAATCCTGGTCGAGTTGGATTTGACTTTGCAACATTGGATTTGGAATCGTTCGGTACTGCGGAAAATCCAGTACCTGGTCTACCTGTAGTTGTTCCTAGCACTGGACATGTTGAAGCTTTCAGCGAAGCTGTAATCAAGGTTTATTATTTGCCAGGAATACCAGAAAAGTTTCATAAATCTTTTGAGGTATGTTTGTCAGTTATGCTACTTATAAACGATAATACTTAAATCTCTATCTCTCAAAATAATAATTTCCTTTTTTAGATTCAAGTTGCTCACTTTGAACCGACTATAATTAATCTACATGGAGAAGGAGTTTTTCCTCGATTAGCTTTGGACCTTCCTCGATTTTATGAACAAAATGAAAGATTCTTCTCGCTCGTAAAAGAAGCTCGAGAAACTCTGGAAAATGAAACAAAAAACAGAATTCAAGGTATAATAGTATTTGTTAATTGTTTTACTATCTTTTAATTTTTTGTGAGAATTTGCTCTAATCAAGAGGTCTTGTCACTCAGAAAAGTTGCGGGCAACTACCTAAATGCCAAGAGATACTGAAATAAAAATATCATTATATTATATTATTTTCATTAAAATTTGTTTAAAAGCATGTTTTGGCTAATAAGTGCATAAACAAGTATTAAAGTAATAATAAATATTTGAATAATAATATGGATTTCTGCCATAATCTGCACCCATACATACAAAATGATCAACTTGAGAGCTATTTTATATCCTGCCGAATGAGGGGCTAACGTTTTCCAGTCCTCCACTTTTCTTCTCCTATAGAGGTAAAATGAAACTTATCTTTGTATCAAAAAAATAATAAGATAATAAATATTTGGATCAAATTTTGAAATGAATGGTGAGAATCTATTTTTACATTTCAGGATCAGCTCATGAAAGCACAACATCCATTTCAGCTCCACAGAAAAATATTGAAGATGGGAATCAGTTTCCAGTTATTGATCATGTAAGATTTTTACACTTTATCTTTTGGCCTATTGGGTAAAGCAATAGACTTAACTATCATGGCATGACAGGTTAACATCCTGGGTTTTAAACCCATGCTAACCACTTCATTCAGGGTGTAATAAATATGGTAAAGAATGCCGAATCGGTATGATTCTGATTGCTGCTTGTGCAGATCCCTGTTCATAGAAAAAAAGTATATAAGTCACATAAAAAGTTCTTAAAAATGCAAGAGAATTTTAAATAATAATGTACTTTTGCTTACACTTAGCTTCTGTTGTCAGGAACGCATCATCCACATTTTGGTCTTTAATAATATTACCTAATTTTCAGAAGTTCTGGATAAGCTATGGAATAAATTTAAATGCATAACCCAATAATGCTATAATATGCTACCATAATTCTGATCACAACCAATGTTCTTTTATTTCTGCTGTTCTAGGAAATGCCATCAGAGTTGGATGTACAAATGGAAGCTGAACGACTTCTGATGAAAGAATTTGCTGGAGAAAATCAAAGATTTTTCAATGAAGCTCCGATAATGTTGGAACCTTCTGCTGGTGCAACTGATCAAGCAAATAGAAAGAAAAGAAAGTTCCCAAGGTATTTTATAACAGTGTTGATTTTCACAGAGAGGAAAGTTTATAAGATGGCATAATCATATCGCAAACCACGACCTCCCGTACTGTCAGACACTTCACGTCAGGTGTGAAAGTAACTAGGATAGAATAGGATTTTACATTTATGCCATAATATACACAATATAAAACAAAGTGATGGCAAGTGTATTCCTAACTTTATAATTTTGAGATATGGCTCTCGTGAATAAAATATAATTGGAGCTTTTTCCTGTGTGAGAATACGAGCGCTTTCCATTCACTATACTATTTCAGTGGAAAACTAGGCACAATTGATGGCCAAGTAGTCAAATCATTATTCTCAACTATGTTGATATTGCAGGTTTAAAATTTTGAGTTTGAATTCATTCTCTTGCGGTAAATAAGGTAGGCAATGCTGAACTGGAAAGTTTCCAATCTTCCAAAGTTTTCTGAAATATGATCTTCATTTAAAACATCTATTCTTGAGAAGTGACAACACTTGTTGTATTTGGTTTTAGAATTCGATTGACTGACTATCTACTCGATTTTGGCTATGTTATACTTGGGAATGTTCGATCACATATTGTTCGAGCTTCAAACACTTCACATTTTCCTGTATCGTTCTCAACTGATAGAAGCAGTCTTTGGCACTCAGGTTTTTATTTATTTTCACTTTTTTGTGTTTGAAATTGTATATGTATTGATTTTACAATTTAAAACTGAAACCATATTAATTACAAAATTAAAAATTTTCATTATCAATATTGGCAGTTTCCAAAGATAATTTTCGTTAAAGAAATTCTGTGAATTTTTTTTGTTAAATTTTGTTCAGCAACGATATTCAGCTATTGCATACGTTTTTGCAGCATCGATTTATCCAGAAATCAATTGGACTTCTCTATTGAATCGGTTATTTATTTGTTTATCTCCATGTCGTTGAAAAACACTACGTCCCACGGAAATCATTTAAAATTCTTCCATCAATATCGTTTTTATGATGAATTTCATGTATTCAGGATTCAATGTTGAACTGGATCGAGTAAAGCAACTACCAGGATATCCACAGCATGAAACTATTGATTTTAAAGTAACCTTCGACCCTAGAGGAGCCAACCTTGGATTGGGTCCAGTAGAAGCTGTTGTTCCTGTCAATGTAAGTAACATTATCTACTTTTTTTACCTTAAACTTGTGGACTATTCATCATTTTGGTTTGCATCTGAAACGAAAACATGGTATTATTCATATAGATAGATAAGATAACTTATTCTTACCTCCAACATGGTACAGAAAACTCACGACACATAAAACACACAAGACCGAAATTCAGTAAAATTGCTTAACATTCACATGAGTCATAAAAGGGTACTCCCGTAGTTGGCGTGGCAGTGTGGCTCATCATGCTAAGTGTAAGGAATACGCTCGCCACCGCAGGCCTGAAAAAAAGATAATTTGAATCAATTTTTTTTTCCATTATTATGATTTTTCTGCAACCAATTTTCATGTCATTATACCTAATTTTCAGATTGTTGGAGGTCCTCAAATCTGTATGAGACTGCAAGCTCATGTTACTGTACCTGAACTTGAAATTAACACTGATATTGTTGAGTTTGCTAAAGTACAATGTGGACAATGTAAAGTTATCACTGTTCAAATACATAACCATAAACAAGTCAGATGTGAATGGACGTCACTGAATCCTGCACAGAGAAATGACAAGGTATTGCCATTTTTGGTCCATTATTACCCTTATGCCTGACTTAGGACGCTGATAAACATTCAGATGTGGAGTGATTGAACAATAACATACAATGAACAATAAAATACAAAAGCACAACTGACAACAGTTCACTAGATGTAGCAACCTGGATGCATGCTAACCAAATGACACAAAACGCTTTGCCACACGACTATTAACATCTTCAGATCGCTTGGCAATGATCCTATATTGTTCACATTAGGTGGCACTAATTCAATTTCATCACACAGACTACATTTACTGTTTACTGGACAAGAGGGGTGGTTTGCCTTAATCTGAAGTTAATTATCAACTTTTCTCTTGTCTGAAGTAAATAAGAAAAACTTGCTCTAATCTATAAAAACACAAACAATTTTAAGTTAATGTGCTTGCTTGACTACTAACGCATCTTATCAAATTATTGAGGATTTTGTTTACAAGGTCAAATTAGTTATCGTTTCCTTATTTAGCTTGACAAACATGTACCGATGCATTTACGAAGAAAATTCAGAAAAGAAATGAAACCTAAAGCTGCACATTTTGAGATGATGCCTGCTCGAGGTTCTCTTGCTCCCGGACAAAGAATGAATGTTCAAATCAAATTTATGCCAACAGAAGAGGTAGAGTACTTCTATCTTAACAGACTAACGATTTCGATTGATCAATTATATTTAACTGAATGTTACTTGAGTTTATGTTAAGGTAGTATATGTTGATGACCACAGATGGCTAAAATGATTAAGTTACTATCTCATAACCCTGCTTTGACTTCAAAAATGCCTCTCGACTTCTTGTTGACAAAAATTTTGATATTGGTTCAGATTTTCGCTCTGTTTGTCTGTTAAAAATGATTTAGTCAACTAAATGCTTTTTAAAGTTTCATTGGAGATTTATCTGTGATTACTAGTTACTACCATTAAAAGTCTGAAATCCTGACTCCTGCCTTCAAAGAAATAGAAATTTCAACTTCGGCTCGGAGTTTGAAAATATTTTCAATAGAATCAAATTTAATAAAAATATTCAAATCAATAAATATATTCAAATTTAATGTTCATATGTATTCAAAAATTTTTGTTTATTTTACACATACCTGACCTCTATTTTTGTAACATAAGATAATGTATTTTGAACTCCGCCGTGGTACAACGAAATGATAACACACAGGATGAACATGCACGACATAAAATTCAAGGATGTTGTCAAACTTTATTTAAATGAGGCTCGAACATGTGCCTTAAAAGTTGTAAATGGGCAATCTTTTTTTTTGATATTTATGAATTTACAAAAAATTATCTATTGCAGGCTTTATATAGAAATATTTCTTTTTCAGAAAGTCTACTCTCAAAGACTAGTCGTTAGAATTGCTCAGTCTACAGCTCGTCTCTCTATTATTGTCAACGGTGAAGGACAGGAGCCTCGACTTGAGTTTTCTCACACTCTTGTCACATATGGCCCGATCTTACCTCATGGTGTCGGAGATGAGGTTGATGTGGCAGTATCGAACCCAACCTTATTTCCAATTGAAGTCTATTCACTGGATTTCGATAAACAATATTTAATGGAAGAAAAGGTATTACTTGACTTGATTATGCAGTAAACTGATTCTTTTTTCCTATTAGACTCGAAACTACCGTTTTTTGGAAATAATATTAAAACTGAATACATGAAATATTCCTTTTTCGGAATGAAGTATATCTTTAGATCATATTAAATACTCTTATTGAGTCCTTTCGGACCTGATATTTCACAAAATTTGGCTGTTTTATTTTGATTAAATGGGAAGATTATATTATTCAATATTTCTCGAACGCATCAGGATTGTTTTTCTATTGATGTTTTCTGCAAAATCAATACTCTCTGGCCCTACTCTACCAGTGCCGTTACACAACCTTTGTGTCCATGTTTTAAACATTGCTCTCTTATTTTACTAGAGTGTATTTTTCCATATTGCTCAATATTTACCCACCTATCTCATACTCATGTCATTTTCCTCTTTCATCGTCTTTCGTCTCCCCCAGGATAAATATGTGAATCCTATGCCATCCTAGCTCACGTTACAATAAATATAATAAGCATATGGGGTGGGGTTTATACAATAGGTACATGTGGTACAAGTATGTCAAGTGTGAGGAAAATGGGGGACATAATGATTTTCAGACACTTTTATGAACCAAGCAATAGTTCCAGAATCATAAAATGTTACCATTTTGTAATTTTGTGTAGTTATTATTTTCAATTTTTGTATCTTCAGATTCTGCGAATGATGAAAGGTTATGATGACAATGGGAACATCTTGCTTCCCCCGAGATTACCAGGAGATGAACTTCCTCCTGAACTACTCTCTTTTTACTCTGATCACAAAATTACTCTTGGTGAGGGAGAGGAAATGAAACCACAAGATGCTGATGCCATTGAAGGTATAGTATAAAAAGTTTTTTAATGAGTGGTAATGAGTTTGAGAATTTGGATTTCCGATTTGTTACTTGTCAGATGAGGGGCGGGTATGTGTTTGAATGCATGGTTCTTAATCTGGAATTCCAACAAACTTATGTTCAATGCTTTAACCACTAGAGCAGGGGTCGGCAACCTACGAGTGAAATAATCCGGCCCGCGACGCTTCACTGAATTTTTGCAACGAAACAGCCGTTTTCTCGATTACAATCTTCACGTTACTGAATTCATTGTGAGACACCTACTCCTGCACAAGAGCTTGTGCACCTAATTTTCATCTGTGAAAAACTTTACACAAATAAGCCTTTAAATGTAAAGAAATACTCAGTTTACTTTAGATATACCGGAATAGGTGCGTATTCACTAGGTTAGAGGTGTAGACTTATAACTTATTATGAGAAATTATTTTCAAAAATTCAGATTAAGAAGATTAACATTGTTTCTGTGTCTTTTTGAACAGTAAAATTATTATTTCTCTACAATTTAATCAAACTTCTATTCATACTTAAGGAGAGGACTTGGCTGAGGAAGGATTCGAAGCAGGAGAGACTCAATCTAGAGTTTCTGGATCTGCAAAACTAAGACAAGGTACAGCATCAAGAGATGTCTTACAACCTGAAGAATCTGTGGTTTCTGCAACTGATCTTGGTGTTGAACAAAAACACGATCAAGAACAACAGGTAATCGTCATTGATGGAGAACTGAAAAAATGCTATTTTATTTATAACTGATTTGTAATTCCTAGGGGTCCGCTGAACTCTTGAATAATTTCGTATCAGTTGCATATATAAAGTTGAAGAGTGACATAATAGGTATTCGAAGATGAATTGTATATGTATCCTGAGAAAAGTTGAAAGCCATGAAAAACAGTTATGCCATACTGCAAACTATAACTTGTTTCTGTTCACATTCTCGATTCTGGAAAAAAAATAGTTAACTGGTTTGAAATGCGTCTGAGGATCATAGCATTTCATATGTAACCAGAGGAGAAGAAAGCTGATAAGATGGCTTAATTTTGTGTGATGCCACAACCCTCTTGTTCCTTTGCTAGCTATATATACATAAACAAACCAGTTCAAGATACATGACCATGGTTTAGTCAGGCTTACATGAGTCATAACTTCTGATGCTTCTTATGCCGCCCAACATTGATTGGGCATGGTGTATAATGCCTTATCTAACCAACAACAATTTCTTCATGTTTATTTAACAAAATGATAGATTTTGTACAACAACAAAATATATTGCATTCAGGATAGAGCTGCTTCTCCGCATACAAGCGATAAGAAGACAACAACTTCAGTTCAAGGTAAAGAAGATGCTGAGACCAAACAAGATGAAGATAAAGGTAAATTAGGTTTTTGAATTTCATCAAGTCTAGTTTAATCTGAACAAACTTTCAAGTCTTTATAATTCACTACATCAAAATCGTTTTTCCAACTGTCATCAACGTCATTTTAAACATGAACTCGCATTTTTCAATTTTTTGAAAATATTTTCTGAAGTTGCTTATTTTTTTATTTTCATATTCCACTCCGAACAATCTACCATTTTTGCAACAACCGAATTTTTTTTGGTTTGGCATTGCTGCCTACCCAATTTATTACATCATGGGTGAGGTGATGTGGATGGAATATGAACTTGAGATTTGTAACCTGCTATGCCAACGCATTGCAGTCTAACTCTTAGTTTATACAGAATTTTATTAATATTCCTAATTAAAAAAATTCTGAATCTAGTAGTGCTCTGCGTTACGGTGTTGAAAAGGTAATGGAAAATTATAATACTTTTCTGTTTTACAGCCAGTAGCATTGGTGTTGGAGAATTAGAAATAACACCTGTATCAGCTGCTATTGCACGTCACCTTGGCATTGATTTAACTCCTGATGGTAGAGCTGCAAGAAATAGACGTGGAATTGCTGTCATTATTCATGGACCACCTATGTCTGGTGGGTTATATTCTATTTCAGTGAATTTTCAGTTAGGAGTTGTCTGACAATAGATATATATTGTCTTGCCGTCAATTAATGCAGTATTATGTTGATGGAAAAGAGTTTGTACACCAATACCAAGCCATGTCTTTCTTATAATAATGAGGAAAAATGACCAAATTCCAAAAATGTTATTATATAGTTTATAATTTTTCGTGTTTTGTTTGGACATAATGTAGTCAGAGAAACATCCCAAATTTTAAAAAAATGCTATAATCCTTTTTGTATTCTTACAGGTAAAACAAATACAGCTGTTATGCTTGCAAAGTCATATGGAGCAGCCAGATTAACAATTGATGGTGTTGTTATGGATGCCATTTCTAACGGAAATAGTCGGGTATTTATTATTGTTTTATATATTTTCTCATTTGCATAAAAGACTAAAACCATACCTAGCCTGTATAGAAAAATAATTTCGTAGATGAGATGAAAAAAAAATTCAATGTACCAGTATTTCTATGGGGGAGAGAGTGAGTGTGAGTGAGTAAGAGTTGGTGAGGGTGTCAAGCTTTAACACAAAAGATATACCAGTAGTTGATTTTTTCTTCAAGGAAGTAAGTGGTATTGAGGCTTAATGAGTGAGTGTGAGTAAGTAAGAGCGTGAGAGTGATTGAATGTGAGTAAGTGTGAGTGAGTAAGTGACTCGAAGTTTAACAAAGAAGATCTCAGTAATTATTCCTACAAAAGCGTAATAATGAGGCTTTATTAGTGAGTATGAATAGGTAAAAGCGAGCATGTTAGGTCTAGCAAAAGGTATTTAGTTGATCTTACTTTCAAGAGAGTGATAGTGAGACACAACGAGTGATTGAGTATGGTAAGAGTGAGTGAGTTTATGTCTACCAGAAAAGATTTCACAAAGATCTTTTCCACAAGGGAGTGGTAATGAGGCATAATAAGTTAGTGTGAGTAAGGGAGAGTGGATATCTGAGTCACAGCTCAATAGGAAATGAAAAATTTAGTAGTAATGCCCCATAATGAGTTAGTGTGAGAAGGTAAGAATAAATAAGTTGATCAAGGCCTAACAGGATATATTCAGTCGATCTTTCTCTCAAGAGAGTGGTAATAAGGCATAATGAGTTATTGTGAGTGAGTCAAGGTTCAACAAATAAATTAAATCGATCTCTTTTTCAAGACAATTTAATGAGGCATAAAGAGTGAGTGTGAGTAAGTGAAAGTAAGTGAGTCAAGTCTCTCACAGCTCTCTCACAGCTAACAGATTAATTATCTTTAATTGCTGGACTTTAAAAACTGAGAAATTAATAACGATGAAGTTCAATTCAGACTGGTAAAGCTGCAGCTGAATACATGAAAATGCAGACAGTTCATCAGTCAGTTTCAGAAAGGACATTGACTCTCATCGAATCAGCTAAACTAACAGCTAAGCTATCGAAGGTAAAATGAGGTTGTGAGAGGCTGTATACTGATTTTATTAATTAGTTAAATATATATGTAATTCTGACAATCATCTTTTGAGGTTGCATATTGAAATAATAATATAACAAAGTCTTTAGTTGTAGTTCAGTTGCTTTACAAATTTGAGATGTCTCATGACAAATTGTTTAATCAGAAAATATTAAAAAAATTTCGCATTGAGATTTAGTCTGCACCATTGTCGAGGAAAGCTTGAGTCATTGACTCGACCCACCACTCATCAAAGACTCTATTCATCCGAATGAAATAACTCATACTCAACTAACTACCAGTGAGATATAACTCTGTGACAAATTCGAGTCGGGAGTCGGATGACGCTTTCAATTGTTTGATCAGATTTCCCTTTCTTCTTTTTTATATTCCTAAATATTACCCTTTCTCTTTTCTCCCCCTTTTTATTTACGCTCTTTCGTATGATAATATTAATTTATTATTCGGGTATTTCAGTAATTAATAAAAATCATTATCTCTGGTGACATGTTTTTAATTTTTATAGGCTGGTCTCCGAGCAAGAGAACTTTGTGCTCAAACAGCGAAAGGACAAAAAGATGAAGATGGAACAGAGGCTGGAACAGTGACAGGCGGACTCAGCGTCGAGGCTGTTACTGCTCATACAGGAGGTGTTACAGAAGGAAAACATGGTGCTGCGTCTGTAATTTCAACAAAGAAAGCAAGCGTCATCAGCAAACAGCAAGGAAGTACAATGGGAGGAAAAGGAGGAGCTCCTGGAGGTGCGGCCTCTGATCATACTGGATCCCATGTAAGTTAGCATTTTGGTAGAGATTTATTATTTTGTCAAGCAAAAATACAGTCATCAATACAATAAAAAAGGGACAGCAATAAAATTGTTTTGGTATGGGCAGGAGGATGCGATACAACCATAAGGTCATCGAAGTTATCTCCCACCCTATTTGCTTGTAAAAATAAAATTCGAAATTGAAGATGACTTATGGGCAAAGTTAAACCTGTTCCTTGTCCCAAGGAATGGAAAGCAAATAAGATCATGTAATGATATTGTCAACTACTGCAGTTTAATAGTCCAGGTTAGTGTGGAAATAGCTAACCATTTACCGTAATCATTTTAGTTACATAACCATGGGTGGTTTGTTCAATGTGTCACCAATGACCAGCAGGTTGTCATATCGTACATAGTTATAATAATATATCATTTGGTTGGTGTTCAAGAAAAATTCATTGAAAGGAAGTTGCCAACATAGCTTAGTATATACAGTCGTAAAACAGGTAAATGTTCCAAATGCATGGACGTTGGTAACTGATGAATCAGCAATGACAAACAGTCACTGTTTTTTTTTCTGTTAAGTGGTTAAATAGTATCAGAATTCTTTGTAATTGATTGACTATTCTTTTCACCTAGCTTGGTGATACTTTGTAAAGCTGTAATCTATAGGACATTTTTTGGCGTTCCAGAAGTATGTGTACCTATATGGAGGTAACAAATTTTGTTCGCCTACTTGCAGGGGGATATTCACTTGGCCAACACAAACAGTCCCCGAACTCGTAATAGAACTAAAATAAGAAAAACCGGAATAAGATTAGGGCCTAACCCTAACCTGGTACACATACTACGGGAGCGCCCATTTTTTTTGCCATTATGAAGTGTAATTTTTTTCTTTCATTCCTAGGGTGCAAGTAGTCCACCTCCGTTTGCTGCTCCCATTGCTCGAAGATTGAGTGTATCTGCGTCTGTTGCCGGTGAAGAAGGATTGATTAGCTGTGTTCTACCTGAGGAGTTACTCATAGAAATACTCGAGGAAAGATTGCAGGTAAAAGAAAAAAAAATTTTCTGTGTGTAAAAGTTGTGTAAAAGTGTGAGCCTGGGAATTCAGGACCAATTGGATGGATTCTTTGTTTCACATGATTTAGAAATAATTTTGTTCCTACATATTTTACCGGTTTTAACATTATATGGTTCATGTTATCTTTGTGTTGTTTTTGGCATAGTATATTATTAAGAAATCTTTCCAAATATTATTAAGAAATCTTTCCAAATTTTTTTTTACTTGCATTAATATAAAACTTAAAACTTATTTTTTTCATTTTTAAATAATGATATTGAGCAAAGAATTCGTGAATATAGTCAGAATCACAAATTGAACATTTAAAAAAGAGAAAAATTGGAAACATCTGTTTGATTGCAAAATTATTTTTCAAAAATGACTTTTAAATTAAACTTATTTTAGATGATTATATTTTCATTGTAAATATTTAAATTTTTAAAATATTTCTAACTCTGCTATCTATAAATATATGGATAGGATTATGTATTTATTTGAGGTAGAGGGAAGTTGATAAAAATATTTTACTTGTATTTCCAACATATTCTTTGTTCCATTACCAAGTTGGGTCAAATATGAGGATAGCTATCTAGTTAGACATTCTAGAATCTAAATATATTTTTAGTCCTGCGTGCATAATTACAATGTATTTAGACTAAAATTGATGATTTTTTTCAAATTAGTTATTTTTTTCTAGCTTAATGATTGTCATCATGGCGTCATATTTGATGGATTAGAAACATTGTTTAGTGCAAATCAACAAGCAACGACTTTATCATTGTTGAAAGCCATCAATAACAGAAAACATATCTACTTTGTGACTCAAAAACTGGATTATGCCACGGTTAAAGCAAAACAAAGAGCTAAAGAAAATGATGAAGGTAGGAATTTTGTGTTGTTTTCAAATTAGTCTTGTCTACATCAAATATGAGCATAGTTAACCAGTTGTTTTGTTTCAGATGAATGGATTTTGATTCAATCTATCTGTTTAGTAAATGAATGGGATACAAGTTTTTATAACACAATCAATTTAGAATATTTTTCATTCTAGGAAACAGGCTATTAGATTCACAAATTCTTAAAAAAAAAATTTATTTTTAATTTGTTCATCACGGTACTCCCATAGTATCTGTACCAGGTTGGAGTTAGGCCATAATTTTATTCCGATTTTCCTTATTTTAGTTCTATTACGAGTTCAGGGACTGTCTGTGTTAGCCAAGTGAATATACCCACTGCCCATTGGTTTCAGTCCTTTTATACAAATTAATGTAAAGTAGGTAACAAAATTAGGTACCTCCATATTGGTACACATACTTCTGGAGCGCCCATTGTTGAGCTCGAGCCTCTGAGCTTTTGTCTTTTTCGGCTTAATTCTTTGTATGTTGTCGGACGTCAGATCGCTATTTGATTGCCATTAGAGGTTTTGGCTGCTCTCCATTAAATATTTGTGCGTACTATTTCTAACTTTTCAGAAAAAAATGTTTAGATACAGATGTTTTCAGTAATAATTACTGTGTTTATTTAGTGAAAGCAATGCAGCTTCGAGAGGAGGAAGAGAGAAGAGTTCTTGAGGAAATGGATGAAGATGAGTATGATGCTTTACCTGATGAGAAAAAAGAAGAAATCGATCAACTGCGACTGGAAGCAAAACGAGAGAAAATAAGGCAAAGGTTTGTATGTGACTGATATCGAACACAATCGAGTGTGAGCAATGAATAATTCATATATATAAGTGTGCTTTAAACATGATTTGTATGCAATTTTAGAGACGAGGAAGAGAGATTGGAAAGAGAAAGAATTGAAATGGAGAAAATGCAAATGCTTGAAGATAAATTAAAAGAAGAAGAGAATGCAAAAAAGAAAAAAGGCAAAGGAAAAAGAGAGGAGACTGGGAAAAGAAGTATATCAGGTATTAATACTATCGACGAAGTTATGACTTCTTTAAGTATCGTAAATTACACAGCTCATGTTCTAAGCACCTCACCCCCCACCTCACCCATTGTGTAATAAAAGGGGCTGATAACAACCAGAAAGATTCAGGTCCTCCCAAATAATAGCAGCACTTTTTTTTTATCATTTATCAGCAGCTGTTTGTACGCTGGCAGCGATTAGCTGATATTGGGTAAAAGAAAAACATTCTGACCTTAAAATCTGATAGGACTAAAGAACAGCATTTGGAGTAAATGTCCATACAAATTAAATATATTAACTGCTGTACAAATATAATCTTAATATCATAGTAAATTGCATGCTTGCCTTAGGCTTTGTTCAGAGCCATATTGTGAAATTTTCTGAAAAGGTAGAGCTACTCATAATTTCAGACTTTTTCACACATATCTATATCAATTATTTTAAAATTCTTCAAGGCGCGTAATAAAACAAAAAAAACGAAGAAATAAATTACCAAATATTGTTTTATCCCTGTCAGGTTAGAAATTAGCACATTTAGATTTTATGGTTATTTTATCCGTACTTAATTTTAAATTTATATATTTATTATTTAACAAATACCTTTTTACCCCTCAATTGATTTAATTTCGCTAAATTTATTTTAGGAAAACATGGTGAACTACCAACTGCTGCTGTGCAAGGTCAAGCTGGTGCAGGATCAGTTACTGGTGGCGGAGATAAGAAAAACTTAAAAACCGTTGTTTCACTTGCTATGGTCGGACATTCATCTCATGATATGCTCGATAAGCGACCTGATTCAAGAGGAACTGATAGACCAGATTCAATTGCTGATGACAAAAAGTAGGAAATAAATTTTGATTTTGAGTGTTGCCTAAAGAATATGTTGCAACATATCTTGGTTACTAAAATATATTTCTGCATGTGTTTATTTTTTTTTTTATAATGTATAATTGTAATTGCTATAAAAATGCTAGTTGGAGATTGATTTTTCGTTTTGAAGGATTCATGCCATGAAAACGATAAAATCATCCATATAAATGAATTGATTTGTGAATATTTTGTTTTACCGTCAATAGAAAGAAACATAAATATCGACCATCATCATCTGAGGAAATGAGAGACAAAGTACCGGATGAGATAAAAGATGAAAAAGCCCTGGAAATGGAAAAAATGCTTCAAAATAGGTGAGTCTTAGTTAATCTCTGAGTTTTAAAGTAAAATAAAAATTTTCAAACATATTTTTCTATTTGGAAATATATTTAAAATTTTAAGTTTAATCAATATTATAAACATGAATGAGAGATATCTGTGAACACAGAGAAATATTTTATCCCAATTTTCTATATTACTGTATGGCAAGTTTTGAGAAAATTTAGAGCTTCTGATACCAAATTTTGGAAAATATTCGCTATATGAAAGTTACTACCACAAGTCTGTTAAATACTTTTTATTTATAGGTTCAAAGCCTTCGAAGCATCTCAACGTGACATTGCTGGTATCTTGGAATTTTGGGACCGAACTTCACTTTCAGTAAACCGACCTTCGACCCCCGAGGGCACCATGTCCCAAGCAGTCACTGCGGCTGATGACGATGCAGCTGGCACGACTATCGGAGGTGCTAGCACTACTGGAAAAGACAAACCTCCTCCTTCTGGGAAGAGAGCAAGCAAAAAAGAGAGAGAAAAGGAAAGACAAGAGAGAGAAAGGCAAGAAAGAGAGAGACTGGAAAAGGAGAGAATCGAAAATGAGAGAATTGAAAGAGAGAAATTGGAAAGAGAAAAAATGCTTGAGGTATTTGGTATTTTACAGATTAGGTTCAACTGTTTTTCTCTTTACAAACCGAAGTATTATTTATTCAGGCCGACGGAGGAGAAGGTAAAATAGATAAGGATGGAGTCCCACATGTAATAGTGGACACCACAACAGTGGACATCGCCAAAATTGGTGACCAGTTACTGGCCGATGAAAAGTTACCATCAGTAGAAGAGGTATGAATTTAATGTATTTTACTTGGCTACAACAATAAAAAACTTTTTAGTGGAGATTGAAATTGTGAATTTTTCTGATACTTTTATAGGTTCTTGATGGGCTCGGTCTGGGGCCAAAAGGGCCACCAATCCCACCCCCTGCAAATTTCTCAGTCGTACCTTATCCAGTCAAGAGGAAGCCACCATCTGCTGACCCAAGTCAGCATTATCATTTCGTTTCAACGTCCCCAGATGACCCCAACATCGGAATTGAAGATCATCCAAAAGAGCCTTCCGAATCCGCAGCCGGGGATGAAACAAGCCCTCTTGAAGTTGCGAGCCGTGCAGAATCAAAGAAAGAGGACCATCCTCCACTGCCATCTAGCAGAAGAGGAAAGAAAGATAAATCAGATGCACGTGCGTCTGGAAGGAAATCGTCGCCAAGACGAAGCCGCAAGGGTTCTATTGATGGTGGAAAAATATCACCACCTATGCCTGCTACTCCCGGATCAGAAGCTGATCAGAGCAGTGTTTTGGGTGATGTTACGTCAATGGCGGGAACAGCGGATTTTAAAAGCATCAAACTAAGCCATTTCCGGTATTGCTATTTTTTATTTCAGTGGCTTCAGTACCAAGCTTGTCCCAGACTATTTGGCCTTTATGGTGTTAAGTTACAATATAATATATCAGATATAAATTTTTTGATAAATTCTTGTGTATTTATAAATCTGGAAAATATTATTTTTGTATTCAAAACTAACCCTAAATATCGTTTCATATTTTTATGTACCTGCCCCTTCTAAACGACCATGCCCAATTGTCTACTGGTGCCCAAATGTGGGTTCCCATTTTTGATTAATTATTACCATACCTGAACTGGACCAGTAATCGGACGAGATGATCAGATTTGTTATATGATTAAATCGTTTTTCAAGTTATCCCCTTTCCCAATATAATACGAAATATCAAGATAATGTGGTGGTTAATTTTACTGTTAACATTCTATTTTTCCATTTTAGATGGGTAGTCCCTGCTGGAGCCGAAACTGTATTTCGTATCCGATTTACTTCTGAAGAACTCGGTCAATTTGATCAGACATTAAATTTTGAAATAACAGGAACAAGGAGAAGATATCAACTGTTTTGTCGAGGAGTTTGCTCTTTCCCCACTGTAAGTGTAACTATAGGAGTTTTTTAAATTTTTAGGATGATAGTTTGTTGTGTGGACCCGATGTCCAATTGCAGAGGTTCTCAAAGTGCACCATACGAAGCTCCAGGGCTTCGTGAGATAAACCTAGGGGATCCGCTGGATATTCGTTTACTTTTTATGATACTGACTTGGGTAATTTTTTAACTATTCAAAGAAGCAATGAATACATCCGAGTCATTAAATAAAGTAAATTTACTTACAACGGCTATATTGTAAATTGCCTTTTTCAAAACGTCTTACTTTAGTTAGACAAAACGATGAATAATCAAGTGTGAAAGTTTTGAACCTCTCAGTTTAGAAAATGATAGTTGGTTATGAATGGCATCAAGCGTATTTATATTAGTTTGATAAAAAAACATTTAACCTGATATATATTTGTAAAATATTTTCATGATTTGCTTCCAGATAAGCAGAGAACCTCGTATTGTCTTTCCACATCGTAGAAAAACTAGAGCTCGACCTGATGAACCAGCTGTTAAAAAATATGTCATCTCTGATGAAGCTTTTGAATATGGACCACTATTGTGTGGAAAGACAAGAGAGAGGTATGTATGAATCTCATATTCGTGAAATGTTGTATTCTAAATGCCTGATTGCTATTTTGTGATGTTGTCTCAAACTGGATTGTAGAGCGAGGAAAATACACAATCGACTCTGTGATGAAAAAAATTTTGCCTATAAATATGATTCTGATCCATGTTAAAAAAAATTTGACTCCAACCAAAGTTTTGAACTCTGAGGAAATCGAATTTTGACAGAAAATTTTTTTTCGCTTGCAGGCCTTTTCTTATAGACTGTTAAGAACACTCAGTACACCTAATTATCATTAATATTTTTATGTTTCTGTGAAAAATTTTGGCTATCACCATTGAAAGTCTGAAATCCTGACTCTATGGATTTCAATATTTATTTATTTATGTTTATGTAATAAGTGTTGGTAGAGACACATATAGGAAAAATTCTATTTTTTATTTTTTCAACCAATTTTTTTGTTGTAGCCAGTACTGAATGCCTAAAATTGTTTCATTCTTTTTAAATTTCGGGGTTTTCAGCATTTCAACACTTTTTATAATTGTTATGTAGATACAAGGAGGCGAGATACCCAGAAAATATGGAAAAAATTTTCATACAAAATACATCACCATTAAATGCTGACGTTAGTTTCTGTTATCAACGAGATAGCAGTGGAACAACGTTCTTACTTGATCCTCCTAATATGTTCCTTAAACCTGGGGAAACAAAGGTGAAATTTTATCGTTTTTTCAGTTAGAAATTTGGATAAGAGACGTATGTCTTCAAAGACATGATACATGGCTTCATACATAGTAATAACTTCTTGTCTGGAGTCTTGTTCAGAGCAAAGTAGATAGCAACATAATAAAGTTTACTTTTAATTTCTCAAAACATACTATTTTTTAATAAACAATATTCTTATTAATTCTTTGTTGTCAAATATTTTTATTGACTTCATTTCTTCACACTCTTCTGGTTTTTAGCCATTATCAATGTGGGCATATCCGAAGACATCTGGTCTATTTGTTGATACGTTGGTTTGTTGTGTTCGAGAAAATCCTGAACCAATATGTTTCAATGTTGCCTGTCATGGTGTCCGTCCTGAAGTTGAACTCGATAGAAAACATCTTCACTTTGATAAGGTAAAAATCTTCCAGAAAATATGATTCATTTCATGGAGAGAAAGCATGTAGGTACCACGGTGTAGTAGTAGTAAGCTCAATGAATCATAGATTAGATTTTGATACCAATCTCTGTGACCACCACCTTAACTCAGGTTAATAAATTTGATAAAATATGATGAACTAGAATATTTCTGTCTATTACACTCCATGTGTATCACTTATGATAGAATTTTCATATTAATCCTGGGAGATAGGAAATCAAGAATTTTGAAACTGTTGTTACATTGATGAAAATCTCATAAAAATGGGGTGTCTCAAAAATGTTGTGTCCCACTTTTTCACATGTCCTATTTGTCCCACATTTCTCAGGAAAAATGGGGCACGCGGGATAAGTGGGACACGACATTTTCGAGGCACCGATAAGAATGCAGATGATGAAGCAAAGTTAATTTATTGTTTTCTTGTGTAGGTACTGCTTCATCGCAAAGAGACCAAGACACTTTTTCTTCGCAATAGTACAATGTTACCAGTTGCTTGGAGAGTGGCAGGAATGGAAAATATGGGAGATGATTTCTCTTTGAGTCAAGACTCTGGAGTTATTGAACCAAGATGTGAATTCGGACTTCAAATGCATTTCAGAGCTACAAAAGCAATGAATTTGAAGAAGACCATCAGACTTGAGGTTTGTGTTGTTATTTATTCCAATGCAGGGCTTTTCAAACTGGGAGCCTTAATCCCTTGTTCCCTTTTACTTCATTTTTATTTTATTTTTCGGGGGTGCGACCTTGCTTTGAGCGAAATAATCTCATGGAGAAAAATTAAGGATTCCTAATAATAAATTCAAATATATTCACAGGTTTCAGATGTAGAAAACATTATGGGGCTCGTTCAGACAGAAAATGTTCAAGTTACAGCAGAAGCATATGATGTTGCTTTAGATATGAGTTTTCCAAAAGGTGCAGATGGAGGATTGGACTTTGGTGTCATTCGTGTCATGGATGAATCAAAACAAACTTGTTCTCTCAAAAATAAAGGAAGATATGAGATCGGATTTTGGTGAGTTTTGTGTTTTCACCATTATCAGTGAATGTTAATTTATAGAGAAATATTTTTGTGAAAAAGATGATATTTTTTTGTTTGTTTTGTTTGATTTCCACATCTTTCTGGTGTGAATATTTTATTTTCTCAAGCCTGATGAACCAAAAATGCACTCACTCGAATGAACAAGAGGGTGTACCGTAAAACTATTTGAGAGGAATGCCTTATCGTCTTGTCCACTCTTTGTAGGCTATGATTTGTAGACCAAATTCTGCTATTTCAGTTTTGCCTAGTCTGACCAGTATCAATTCAGAGAGAAATTAGAGTTGTAAAAACAGTTTTTATCCATGATAATGTCTTGATCTTTATTCCACAGGCGCAAGACTTATCTTTTAAATATTTCTAATTTTTTTTATATTTTGTGAAGTATTTACAACTAAGTATAATCGACATTTCATTTCAGCTTTTTACTCGAACAATCTGCTCCAAACTGCCCTCCTGTGGAGGAACTATTCAGTATTTTACCGCAGAAAGGTACACTAGTACCTAATGACAGACCAACTCAGGTATGATGCTCATACATCATAATATTTTTTTTATTGCATAAGCTAAATGTTGATTTTATTAATAATTTTCAAGTTCATGCATCTTACAAATAACTGGTTAACTGTTACCATGCCCTCCATGAACTGGTGACCAAACAACAGGCCGTGGTTCACTATAACATTGAGTCGTCTCATTCCTCTCTACTGGGATAAATATAAAACTTCTATCCTATAAGACAAGATTAGTTTTGCATGTTTGGGCTTTTTGGAGCATTATTTTCGAAGCAATATAATCAAACCAATTTTGCTCCATGGTACACATAATCACTAGTTGGTGACAACCATCCAAGTTTATGCATCTACAGCGAAGCGATTAACTTGTTAGCTAATTTTATACTCAACATATATTGGTATAAGATGATGAGATTTTCCATATGATTAATTCTACTTACCAACTTTGCAATAATTAAAAAATAAAAAAAATAAAACCACTCTGGTTATTTCATGACATGTTTGTGACTAGATTTTATTGAAAATAAGTTTCCACAAACTTTCAACAAATATTTTTACTACTTCAGGTTCAAGTCGTCTTCAAATCTCGAGCTGAAGTCGCAATTAATGATCTACCGTTACTAAGATGCCAAGTAATTGAACCAAATATTGGTGATGGAGGAGAAATAATTGCTTCAATTCCTATCAAACTTACTGTGAGCGTTTAGTTGAATAAATTATTTTAGTGTTTTCTCTTATAGCTTATTTTATGGGCCTTCTTGAAAATTTTCAAATGGATTTGCTTGGCGAATTCTATGTGAAGCTATCAGTCACTAATATCCCGAGAGCTATTTAGGTCATAAAAAAATATGACTTTGCATTGCAAGCGACGAAATGAGCTAATCTCTAATCAACTTTGGCTGCATATATTGGGCATTCTTAATGTCATGCAACCTTTCACCTGCTCCGTTATATTATTTCCAATAGCATTACCTCAGTAAGTACTCATTTTAAAGCATTGTAGTTATACATTTCAAAAATATGGATGATTGCTTATAGAGGGTTAAAATGGTATAATGATTTTCTGTATGAATAGATGTGCTTTAACCGTAGTTTAAAAAAATGACATCACATAGGACAAGCACACAGGACAGAAATTCAGAAAAATTACCAAAATTACAGAAATGAAGTTTGGACCTTCAATTGTAAAAGCACTACATGTGTAATCTCACCTTATGACATAGAATATAGGTTGTAAATCATTGAGCTTGCATTGTTTTAATACATGCACTCAGAAGAATTTAAAATACAAATAATAAAGTCATAATTACTTCTTAATTTTAGGTTCGTAGTGTGTTCAGCAAGTATAATATCTTCCCTTCAACTGATATCAACTTTGGACCAATGATTCTCAACGCCAAACGTACTCGCACATTCTTTATTGAAAATAAAGGGGAATTTGATTTCAAGGTAAATATCTTTTTTCATGGTGAATTGTCTTTTTTTCTCGATCAAGCAGAAAAAATATTGTTTAACCAGTTTTCATTATGTTCATGTTAATTTAGTATAATTTTGAATCTTCATTTACTGCTAGCTCTCGTATCAATGTAATGCATTATTTTTTTTTTTCTATATTCTCCATTCGCTCGCACAAATGTAATAAAATGTGTTTCAACACATTGAATACCTTCAAATATTTTGATCAAATTAACTATTATTAAGTCCATGCATCTGAAACAAATAACTGGTTAACTATTCCTATAAACTGGAAAAGTTTACAGTTTGTGGGGCCACTGGTCCCACAAACTGTGTTTAATCTTCTCATAGAATTCAGTTTCTAACTAAAACCACTAAGATTACACAACCGCTGAACACCAATTGTTTTGTGTTATTCAGTACACTGTCACCAAAATGGTACGAGAAGCTCCGATTGCTCGACCTAGACCAATCGTTCTCGGAGGTAGAAAACCTAAATCTAGAGACGGTTCTAGTTCAAGTCGATCTGTGGGTGAGTACATCAAACTCAATTTTTATATCAATCTATCATTCAAAATCTTAAAAAATTGAAAAAATATTTTCTTTAGCTCGTGGTGGCAGGACAGCTTCAGTGAGACAAGACATGGGTGCAAATCAGACTCGTCTTATCGTTGGATCTTTCACTGTTTATCCTGGATTTGGCACAATATTACCTGGTGGAACGCAGACAGTTACAGTCGATTGTGTCGCTGAAAATCTTGGAAAATCTGAAGAAGTAATTTCTTTTTGTATTTTTTTAGATATATTGTAGGAAAGAATATTTGGAAATTTTGGAACTGTTTTTTTTTGTGTGCTTATTCATGCCTTACGCTCCTAACAAGACCCTGTACAAGGAGTGTCTGATACCTAATGATATGTAATGAGCTACTGTTATTAGGAAGGTATAATATTGACATGCTATCTCAATCTACCTATATCTAATCTATATAATTTAGTGATTACGATCTGTCAGATAGATGATAAAAAGATTTTGTTTACTTAATTATAATATTTTATTTTAGTTTTTGGCTCTCGACATCAGTGATCGGGATCCTGCTGACCAAGGTTCCGGAATACCATATCGATTATTAGCTGAAGGTAATCTACCAAGCATCAATACACGTGATATTACCATGATATTCGAAGAACATCGTATTTGCAAGAGTCTACATTCATACATTCACAACAAAGATGTAAGGAATTATATTTTTCTTACATTTCATAGATATTTCCTGATACCATTATTCAGTCACAATGCAGGTAGGCCCCGAAAATTCAACTTGGCGAAAATCACGATATCCAAAATTAAATCATATGATAAATAAATGAACATGAGTAGCGTGATAAGTTCAATAAAAATGAGGAATGTTGAAATTTATTGTTGATCATTGAATTCATATATGAAAAAATGATGTAAATAGCAGTGCACTATTCTCCAAATTCACAGTTACTAGTATATGTTTTACGAATATCATAAATAGTTAAGAAAAATTGTTCTAGTTCAATACTATTTCTTCTCAAACGAAAGCATTAATATCGTGTTTTGTCAGAGAATTAAAAAATATGCTTTGATAGGAAATTAAATACTGTGTACATACTTTTCGCTCTGTACAAGGCATTGCGCAAGCAGCCACTGACATCTAGTGATTTGTGGGGAGCTGCTAGTTTTGAAAGGCCCGTAATCTTTCTGGTTCGGCATTGCCTACTAGTTTTTTTACACCCCGGGTGAAGTGGTGATCCTGGGCCTGAATGAATACTGTGTGTCTATAATTCATTTATTTAATATATGGGGCTTGTTCGTGCTTTTCGCTCCGAACAAGGATCTGCACGAGATCCACTGATATCTATTGATTTGTAAGGAGGTGGTAGTTTTGGGCGGACCAGAATCTTTCTTAATCGCATTGCCTTTTCACTTTATTACACCTCTGTTGAGGTCGTGAGCCTGGGCCTGTCATGCCAACAGTTAAGTTTTATGCTTTAATCACTCACTAGGCCATCATACTATGATTTATATATTTCTATTTTGGTTTCAGTTGCTCGGTAATTGTGGAGTTTACAGTGAAGATGACAATAAATTTTTGTTCAGTAATGTTATCGTTGGAAGGAAAACTTACGCTAGGTTCAAGATATCAAATACCAATAAGGTAAACACTAATGGTATTGCATCTAAATCATCTTGGCAAAAAGAAAGCTAGCGACTAACGACTGTTGTCTTATGCCATGCCTATGATTGTTTACAGCTTCGTTCCTCTTATTTGTCTATTCACATGGATGTTTGAAATTTCTATTCAAATCTGTCTTTTCAAAGTCTAAGTTTGACATGTTTTTATCAATATTTGGGTAGCCTGGCATAGTTTTGGAAATCTTTGATGTTTGATGAAAAATTTACTGTGATATAAACATATTTTTGCTAAAATGTTAATAATTTCTTTCCTGTTTTCCATTAGGTTCCTGTTGATGTCACATTCACAGTGAAGCCACTTTCAAACAAAGTTGCAGCCAGGATTCATGATATTTATGAAGTTGAACCATCGAAAACACAAATTCAACCTCATCATTTCGTACATGCTACTGTAGCTTTCTGTCCTCCAGCAATGAATTCTTATGGATGTTTTTTTGAGGTTAGTGTTCTTTAACTCGTCAGTATTTCATTTCTCCCTATTGCTAACATATCTCATTTATGAATGTACCGGTATATATAAATACCCTATAAATGACTTGCAACCAGCTAATTTACCTCCATTTAATGATTTTCCCCATCTTATGTTAAAAATTTTTGCATTTTATTCATAGGCTGCTGTAGATGGTCTTCCGTCATCTGTGGCAAAGGGTCGCAATCTTTTCTTTGAAATCACTGGCGAAGGCAATCTTCCACGAGTTTCTATAACGAAACCAGTCATGCGTAACAAAACTGGAGATCCTATTTTGATATATCAGCGACAATTACTAGGTAGAGAAGAAAATTTACCACTCACTCTGACTAATGAAGGCACTCTACCGAGCAAAGTTAACATTGTAATGGAACAACAGGTTATTGAAGAAAGTAAGTTAATGCTACAGATTTTTATTAAGCGATTTTTAACCCTAACTCTGAACAAGGCTCTATACAGACATCCACTGCTACGTAAGAGGCTACGATTTAGTTGAAAAAGATTTATACCTAATATTGAATTCTTGTTTATTTGTAGAGTCGCACACGTTATCTAAAATAGTTTCTGATTACTAATAATACCAATGCAGATAAGAAAACATACATTCACCCATAATTCAGAGTTGGTTAACCCTTTCCATGCGATTTTTATTTTTTATTAAATAATCGCATTTGCTACGCCGATTTTATGCATTTGTACCCCCACAACTAATCGATCGACTAATGAAAAACTAATGATCCTCTGCTGCCCATTGACGGCTCGTTAGAAAGCTTATTTAAAGAGCTTGCAGTTGGCGATTAAAAAAAAAAGTTTTTTTAAAAGTGGTGGTCTGAGTCACAAACCGGATAGAAAAAGGGCATTTTTTTTTCTTGGGAGTTGAAACTTCAAACCGTGATAAAAAATAGAAATATTCGCTAAATCCTTTACTGTTACCGCCACGTGGTTGGCAAACAATAGCATAATGTTGCTGTAGCAATTTCGTGATCTAATTCAAAATACTTTGGTAGATGGAAGGGATAATATGTCTTCTATTACCACCCAAAAAACACCGAAATTTTCATAAATTTTTCAAAATCACTCCCTCGTTCCGCCGCAAATAAAATTCCTGTCGTAAACGAAAGCGAGATTTACCGTCGCTTATGTTAATCTCGAAGAAGACTTCTTTACATATAAACTAACCCGGAAAAACTAGACCAACAGTTTGCGACCGATTGCTAAATAAAACTATGGGTAACTTGAAGTACCCGCCGCGATCTAGCGAGTTTTGTCGTTGGTACGTATACGTGCCCACCGCACGGAAAGGGTTAAAATTTGTTGCAAGTTCTGACATCAATGAAAAAAACTAATAGTCGTCTAGCGGATTCTTCCATCTCGTATAATTTTCATAAATTACTATTCAAAACTTAAGAATATCATGTCTGTGATTTTAAAAAATCAGTGAATTATTTTTAAATTTCGTGAAGGTGATGAAATAAATGATGATGAAACACAAGAAGTTGAGTATTCCGCCTATCTTCCTGATTTTGCATTTTCACTCGTTCCTCATCATGGCACCAAACTTCTCAGTCGAATTGCACCTCCAGGACAACCATGTGAGATATTTTATCTGTCAAATTTTCCTTTGAAAATGAAATGTATAGCTCACTAATATATCATACTCAAGCAAGTCCATTTCTTTATTCAATTTCTATTTATTTTTAGCACAAGTACCATACACTACTAGTGTTATTTTACAACCCGGAGAATCCGCTAATTTCGACGTCAAATTTCGACCTGAATGCAGTAGAATATACAACGGACAAATCAAAATTACTGTCATGGATAATTTGTTTGAAGAAAACAAAATTCAACTGTTTGGCGAAGGATTCCAGGTTTGTGAAATATTTAGTTTTATGTGAATTTAGATTTTTTCTCTGATGAGAGTAGGCAGTACAGTTGCCATGCAAATTAAAAAAAAAAAGTCATGTACACTTACTCAGAAGCAAGGAAAAAAGCACTGAACTCTGAGCGCAGTTGCGGCGACAATTGAAATACCCAAAGCTACTGAGACAATAAATGATAATAGCAGCGAATCATGCATCAGTAAATACCAAAATATATACCAATAACCAAGCATGGACTATTATGTCTGAAAGTATCATTTACACTGAAATATTTGATTGGGAATATGATTTTCAAAAATATCCACGGAAAGCACAAGGCACGGAAAGCTGGAAAACCCTTTGTCATATGGCGGACCACGTCCTATTGTTCGGTTACCAGTACATATTGTGTATAGCAGGGTGGTCCAAACCCAGGCCCGCGGGCCACATGTGGCCCGCCGCTTCATTATCTGTGGCCCGTGTCACATTTGGAGAGGAATTAGAAAATCGTATTTTGTGTTGTTCCGTCATAAAATTAACCAAAAAATCTTCTGACATATTGTTGCATCCCTAATGTCACTGAATTGATTAGTGTTATAGCTTGATGAGGCAACTAGCGAAGTTGAACGAGCGAAGTTCTTGGCACTATTGTGGCCCGCGAACAATGCAAAAGTAATTTTGTGGCCCGCGGGGCTGCCAATCTTGGACCACCCTGGTGTATAGGAATAGTTAACTAGTTATTTGGTTCAGATCAGGGGTGGGCAAGGTTTTTGAACCAGGGGCCAAAAATTTTTTCCACCTAGACTGGCGGGCCATGTAAGTGTGACGTAAATAGTTACATTTCATGAACGATATTTACAGAAGATTTTGCAGAAGATTTATAGAAATATATTTGTGTTAGTGTGCAGCAAGACTCTTGAATCACTTAGGATAGTTATCTTTACTCTTGCTACAGCATCCTTGCACTATATGCATACGGATCCGCCGGCACAAAAGCATAGAAGAAGGATAAGTAGTTAGTCTCGCAGAAACCAAATCATTAGCACAAATATTTGCAGTGTTACTAAAACAACAGTGGAAAATAATAAGCCTTGTGACAAACTAAATTTAACTCAATCTCAACGTCAACAAATTCTTTGGGTTATTTTTAGCTAAAACATCAAAATTTGGTTTCAGTTTGGTTGTGGCAGCATCAGGCGAGCCAGATTGAATTACCCTACGAGTCGGATTTGGCCCACGGGCCATACTTTGCCCATGTCTGGTTTAGATACATGGACTTGATGGTGGAAAAAGCCATTACTGACCGAACACTCTACAATAGACAGAGTCCAGCAATCCACTCGCACACAATCATCACCCTCATCTGGAATCTGTCCTTTGGCCCCAAATTTTATTTAAAATTGTATTGATAAACTAATCGGTATATTTTATTAACAGGACGATGTTACTTTCGATAACCTGTATGAACCTGGATTGGGTGGATTTGATTTTGATGCTCCGACTGATCCTAGCGTCAACCAACACCCTTCCACTACCACTGTATCACAACCAGAACCTACTCCTATTATTTCTCGTGGCGAACGATTGTTATTTGGAGACTGTCAAGTTGGTGTTGCAAAAGAAAGATCATTTTCTATAAAGAATCACTCAGATATTGATACAGTACGATTCCAGGTAAAATTTTTGCCACACACCAAATGCAATTTCATATAATTTTTATACAGTTTATCCAGGTGAGACAAAAGCTGATAAGGGGACTTAATTATTTGGCAAGTTGCGGACACTTATCTGTTACCATTACATGTTAGATATGGGAATAGTTACCGTAAGCAGTTAGTTGTTTCAGATGTATGAACTTGATGACCGTAATAAACCAGCAGTTACGTGAACCATCATACCATGGCGCTAAATCCAAATATCCTTGGCATAGTTATTTGCCTACAGGATTTGAACCTGTATCCCTGCGCAGATTGATCAACGTTGCAGTGACAGGCGCTCCTAACGCTAAAAGCGTACAAATTAATTGTGCATAAATTTGTTTTAATTAGTGAACTTTTTTCCAGTGGGCAGAAAATGACAAGGTGAAATTTTCTCCTTTGATTGGACACTTACATCCAGGTAAATAATATTCATTTTTTTAAACAGTCGATTAACCCAACTTGAGAAATAATGATCTTCAATCTTCTTACATTTCATTTTTTAGCATGCTTGATGTTCTAATTTTTTTGCTATTTCATATCATGTGTTACAGAATTGTGTGATGTTCCATATTTCCTACTTTTCATATCTTTGTTATGCGGGATCTTTATGTAATGTGTCCCACAAGAGCTCTTGGATAAGATTGAGTCAGGAGTTTGCAGCGACAAGAGAGCAGAAACTCATTTTGCATGAAACTTTTTTATGCGATATAGATATTCATTTCATATTATTTCTATATTTATTACAAAAAAATATTTTTTTAGGTTGTTCGAAAGATATTACTGCAACATTTATATCCGATTCTCCAACATTCTTGAAAGATTCAATTTTGAAATGTGGTTTGAGTAAAATCAAATTTATGCAATCCGTGGACCAGGTAACATTTAATTATGATTGACTCTTTCTCAAGCATGATAGGTATCTAATATTCATTTCACTGAAACAATAAACTGCATTCATACTTGGCCAATCATAAAATATAGCTAAAACTAATCTATATCTTTGAAACATGTATATTTGAGCATTGAAATGTTTTAATATGACAGGTTACTGACTGGGATGATAGACTGCGTGTTGTGAAATGGATTGATGTGCAGAGACAAACCTAATGACAAGACATCGGAGACCTGCAAAGAAAAAAGGCAATTTTGTCATTTTTCGTAGGTTATATAAGCTTTTGAATACTGGGATTTTTCTAGTGTGGCTTGCATTTGAGTCACATCGATTTTGGTAGCAATTTAAATTTAGTCACATAAGATAGATAGGTAAATAATCACATTCTACTTACTTGGCTTATGTTTCACATTTGATAATCACAAACTTTTTTTTATCTTTATATTTGTAAGTTAAACTGAAATCGTGGCTGTTTACCTGATCGTATGAACTTGAACGTACAGTCCTGCGTCAATTGGCATTTGAGGTACCGATATATAATTCTGTATAATTTAAGCAACTTTCGACATTATTGTGAATGCTGTAACTTTGGTCAGAAGAGAATCTCCTATGTTCATTTATGAGTGCGCATTCCGTTTAGGATAATTCCGAAATATTGTGGAATATCTCAAAATTCACTAAAATTTTGCAAATTCGGAGAATCTTTTAGCTTTCAAATTTCACTGTTTCGCCCGGCGGTTCAACATCGCTTTTTATAATGAGAGAGAGGGAGAGATTTTTTTCTGTCGAAAGTACTTGAACTTCTCTTCTAATGTTACGCTGACCATTTCCAATACACATACAAATTAAAATGATTTCATATATTATAACTCATCAAAGCATATTTCAAATCATTGTAAGAAATATTTTCATATATTAATACAAACATTAGCATTAATAAAGTCCTGCATCTGAACAACATATAATAGGGTAACTAACTAATCTAATACCCCACATGTACTGGTAATCGAACAAAAGGCATTGATTCGCATATTCTATAATAAAATTTTTATTTCTACAATTTAAATTACCAGTAACAAGTTGTTTTTACATATTCTGACATATTTACCACCAAGTTTAAAACCATATATCGATGGAATATAGTATAAAAGGATTTTTAAATTTGTAAATATGACCAACACAAGAGCATATGACATACGTTCAATACATAACTTTACTTGTTGAAGGATAGAATATTTATTTGAATACATAAAGGCGTATGGTTATTAGTTAGGCATCCAGGAAATAGAAGATAGGGCAATGGCATAAAATAGGCTTGAATCTTTTAGATTGCTTACAGATATTCGTTGTCATAAAAAGAATAGGTCACTTGTAAATTTCTCAAGTATATTAATTATCTTTCAGAATAAGAAATTTTGAAACGCATTGAAAAATAAAAATATTTTTAAAAAAGGGACTCCAGAAGATAGCATTTGTATCCATTAAAAAATTTTATATCTAGAGTTGAATTTGTAAATGTGTGTTGGAAATTTACTCTTTCTCAAAAAAAAGTATGATAATCTAATTTAAGTTACAAATTTAATATAAGTACACTTCAGTTAAAATTTTCTATCCATCATGATTGAAATACGTATAACGCTTTGACGTCACATCTAAATATCATGTTTGGCTTTGTATAATTCAATGATATTTTATAATCGGCGATTTTTAGGTGAATGTCCCATTTATTCAATGATAAGTTTTTCATTCATCCCATCTCCTTGTGTAAATTGTCTATTAGACTGACTTTTCGTTCTTTCCTGCATTGCCCGCTTTGCTTCTTGAAGTCGCTTTCTTGCTTCGTCTTTGTGTAGTGTATATTCGTTGGAGGTTTTATTCCACTCGCTTTCAATTTTTTCGTCTTCCTTGTAGTTGCGTTTTTTGAGTCAATTTCAGTCCAATTATTCTCTTTTATTTTTTGTAATTTTCCGAATTTTCCTTGGATATCCTTTATTTGAAAAGTAATCATTTCCCAAAAACCTTCCAAATCGTTTGAGGTGACAATTTCGTAATCGTGAGTAGGTTTCTCAAATTTGTAACAAGTTCCTCGAATTGAGTGAATCTTTCTGAAATTAAAAGTTGTGCCTGACCGATGATGGAACGAATCTCCCCGACGACTTCCCCACTCAAATTTGAGTGTCGTCGTTTAGAAGACACTCCATGTATGGCATTGTTTATTCATGTCTTTTTTGCCTCGGAAACTAAATTTCGGAAATAAATAATACTTGTCGCGTTTTCCCATGTATTATTACGAATCTCTTCTTCACTCGGAGTGGGAGAGCATTCCCTTGAGTCTATACTGATCCATTGTATTTCTGCAGGCTTTTCTTCGTCTGTAAGCGAAGTTTTCAAGAGTGTCATACCTCGCTTTAATATTTCTAGTTGATGTCCCATAAACATGAATGAAAATAAGGATACCGGGCTTGCTCTTTGTTTTATTAATCCCAACAGCGAGTGAAATGCTCCAAATCTAGTATTTACGTTGCTATATTGAGATGAGACGTTGTTACTGAATTGGATGCTAATGTGCTCGCAGTTTTCACTTTTCCTTGGTCTTCATAGCAAGACTGTTTTAATGCTACCATCTTGTTTTCGGATTCGTTTTTGTCCTCTGGCTTTACCTCGGCGTCGTTTTCTAAAAAGTCAGCTCTAACTTCGTCTTTGGTTTGTGAAGGCGACTTTTTTTAGATTTTGTGAGACCTTGCTTGCTATTTTTTGTTGAATCTTCTTCCAGAAGTTTAAGTTTTGGCGTCCAGATATTCTTTAAATTCTTAGTATTATCTGTCGGGTAATTTGACCATATTGTTTTCGAACAATACCATTTCTTCTGGTACCGATTTCCTCCGATCCATTGAATTTGGTATCAGATTTGTGCTAGCATTTCTTCGAATCAATAGGAATTTTTCTTCGGAAACACTTGTTTCGGATTTACCGCCCTTTTTTCTGCTCAAAAAAGCAACTTCAAGTGAGTTAGGAGATAGCCTGTCTCTCTTGACGATCGACGTCCTGTCCTAAAAATCGGAATCCTTGAATTTACACGGTGATTTTGTTCTGTGCTTTCTTGTGCTCGGTATCTCTGACTATTAATTCCGAAGCCTCTCAACGTTAAGGTCTAGTTGCACCATGACTGAATGTCTAACCACTACCTTTCAATTTTGACGATTCTGATTAAAAATTCTTCGAATTTTAGTTTATATTGGTGACACTAACTAGTCATCACCTAAAACATCAGCTGTCGTGCGACACGTTTTTTCTAACTGCCGACTTGATGGCTTATTTTATTATTATTATAAACAATTGTGTATTTACCACTAATAATACCTTTCATTTAATTCAGTATATCGTGACCACGCTAGAACATCAAACATATACCTACATTTTACGAACTTTATCCCCGCGTCCATTGTCGGACTGTATTGTAAAACAACGTGCGAACACTCCCGACCGACCGACTTAACACCTACATTCGACTGTTAAAGCAGACTGCCCGACCCGTCGACTACCCCCTGCGCAAATATATTGTCCAGGCGCCATCGCTTTTCTCTTAGTGTGAAATACAAACAGGATATTTCCATGACATTGCTTTGATTTCTTCATCTAAGCTTTCCAATCGCGTTCTCTCTATAAACCATTATTTAATCCCTAGTGTGTATATACAATGATCAAAGAATACTTTACTTTACAAAGAACGGTAGTTTCCGATTGAACGGTATTATTTTCGATTTATCTGATATCAAATATAATGTTTGTTTGCCTAACTATGACGAGGAATAGGCTATTTTATAATATACCGATATTCAAATTCGTAATTACAATGTCGTAATTGTAACTGAATGGCATATAACTGGTTTTCTAAGCTTAACCCAGTGACTCTTAAACTTCCATTATCCGTGGCACCATTCCAAAAACTCTCCATTAGTGATTTTTCTACACCAGCCCCCTAATCTTGAGGGGTGACACCACACTTTAATTCCCAATTCCTTACTTAATTAAAATTCAATCAATCAATTTATTTATTTTGGTCACTCTGAAAGAAACAAAGCAACAACAAACGGGCAAACAAAATGCAGAGGACCTGGAGGATGGGCATAACTTAATAAAAAGTTTAAAACGTACAAGTACGTGCCCGTCCACCGAAAACAGTCAAATAATAAATAAATAACGATGTAAAATCGGGCAATGCCTTTTAAATCAATTTTAAAATGTGAGACAATGATCAATTGTATTGAATTTGATTCAATTCAAATGTATTTTAATATCCAGAAAGTGGCGTATATGCCGGTGCATATGTTCAGTCAAATACATAACGCATTTTCTTAAGTTAGATAGAGTTAATTTTCGATCATCATTTGTCCAAATTAATTAAATATTGACATTTCAAATTCGGTTTTAAAAAAAAAAAAATCTCTTATAAATTTAAATACATTACTCCTATATATATCTCTATGATTTCTTCCGTACGTGTTGCTACGAATCTGTATTTTGTATTGAGTTTGCAATTAGATGTTTTAGCTCCCCTATTTACTGCAGATGACCTGCATTTTTTCGCCAAGCTGCTTTCCTAACAGTCTTGTGTTGTCCCTAAGTCCGACTACCGCGTCAATTGATTCATTTTCTGTTAGAATCCCTTTTGTAAAAATGAATCAGTGTTTCTAGCGTATTAGTAAATACATTCTGAGAAGGACCGTCTCTGATATCCTAAAATATGCTCAAGTATATTTATCATCTGGTAATGAAAAAAAGAAAAAGTTGCATTGGCCGGGAATCGAACCCGGGCCTCCCGCGTGGCAGGCGAGAATTCTACCACTGAACCACCAATGCGACGGGAAATGCGTTTCTGAAATGTAAATATGACGAAAGCGAGAGAAGCGATATTTAATTCGTGTTGTAAATCGGAATTTTAGTTAATGTAAACAATCGATTTTTAACATTTCTCTCGACTCGCCGACGATGCTCAATTACTGTATTTACACATAAGTGGACCAATTGATCGTTTCGCCAAATTGCTGTAAAAAATTCTCTCAAGTTTTTAGTCTTAGATGGAAGGATTCGCCAGATAGCAATTGTTTTCATTTTTTCATACCACCCAAATTTCAGTGGATTCAATAATTCACCTTCACATGGCGTTTGTTAAACTTCTTAAAACATTTGTCTAATTAGTTATTTAACATCCATATATTTATTCATTGTTCGCTTTAATAAGATCATGTATTATACGCTAGTCACGCTGCAGCATTCTGCGATTTTGTGCAATTTTGCCGTTTCAGTTTCGAAATTTCTCAAACTCTTATGCAACAACAGTTCTGAAAAATAGTTAAAAGTCCTTTTATTTATTTGCCGTTATAGACGTAATACTAATATGGAGTTAGAGTACCTTCCTCAAAACAGCTGAATTTATGTCTATCGGTTGGAAAACCCTGTATTATGCCAATGCAATAAGTTCAACTCGCTAATTTTACACAATAGGTCCAGTTCGCAACAACATCTTCTTTGTTTCAGGTTGTCGAAACCGAGGCCGAACCCGAGCATACCGTAATTGAAGGTTCTTCTCGGTCATTGGATCTTGCTCTATGCGCTAATGTCAACTACGCAAAATTCAATTGTCAGACTGAGATTATCAATTTTAAAGATACTCTCATGTTCCAAGCTCGCGTGTATGAGTGAGTTATCTTAATTTTTTTGTGTGAAAATAATATTCTCATTACGTCACGATGACGTCATTTTTCTTTTCTTGTCTTCGACAGTGTTCTCTTGAATAATATTGGAGAAGTTCAACTTGACTACAATTGGAAGGTAATCATGGAAAATCCCTCGATTCCAAGACTGACGTCAGCGAGTACAGAAGCTGGACACAGTCGCCAATCTAACGTAACGCCAAGGTTAGTATAATTAGTCATATTATGGTCGTAGGTAACTAGGTATATATCGTCTGGTGGCTATACAACAATTGTTACCGGTATATGACTCGGGTATCCCGTTATTCAACTTTTGGAGATTTCGCTATATTAGGGGATAATTCTACAAATACCTATAATGACTCGTTGGTCGAAAGGGGCCTTAGAAGAAGAAATTTCAACGCAGAATTGTGGTCCTTGTGGATGTAGATGTCTGAATTTAACTGTGAACTTCACATAATAACAGGCAATGCACGCAAAAGAATATTTTTTTATTTGAAACTGACAGATTTTGAGAGTATAATATGATTTATTACGTAACAGAAGATATTGTAATCCCAATAGTATTGCATTCTGCTACGTTCACAACGTCACATTTGATTACATGTATTGAAAAGACACCGATACCATACTCGTATAGTAGAGAAAAGTGTGAATATTTTGCTTGTCAAATTTACCCCCTGTTGAGAATCTAATAGTGTGGTAGAAAAAAAGTGTCAATTTCTTGCTTGTAAAGAAATTTTTTATGAAAATACTGAATTTATTGTCACTCTTTTTTTCTCAAAAATCTGTAGAAGCGCAACTCAGGAGTCTACTGTTGCCTCAGTATTGGTTGAAGAAGGCATGAGCGTTCCTTTCACTGTTACACCGAGCGATGGGAAAATTTTACCAGGAAAGAAACAATATTTTACTGTTAGATTTGCCCCGATTGAAGTCTCCGAATTTCAAGCAAGACTTCTTTGCAAGTATGTACATAAAATTATAATTGTTTACATTTACCGGGGCAAATGGTTGGAAGTAAACGTATGAAGTGCGATTCATGTCATGTTTTGGGATAAGATTGATATAATAATACTTTGGCAGAAAGTCAGAGTATTAATGTGAAGTGTGATTAAAACAATTGGAACGAGTGTGGGACAATTATAGGACAAGTGGCGAAAGTGTGAAACAAGTGTGGGACAGACGGGAAAAGTGTGTATCAAACTGGGCACGGCATTTTTGAGATAACTTAAGACTGGAATGGGACACTCCACATCCTTGGTGAAAATCCCATCCTCAGTATTGTTTTTGCCGGGTTCCAATGTACTAGTCTCCACTGTCCAGACTGCTCCTGTTTTTTTTTCGGACCTTGCAGATCTGAATTTAAATGCTATTTTTTTAGCCCGGCGTTTTTGCCTCGAATTATATGATAAACGTTTGCAAATCTGTTGTTCTCGTCCGGACGATAATTAGTGATCAAATTATGTAAAATATAAAAATAAAAAGAACCATTTTATGCAGCAATCGGTGACAGTTTATATGTGATACGACAAAATGAACTGAAAGTCGCACGATAAATCATGTCTATTTATTATTACATGCACAATATTCTGAGGAAGAATTTCAAAGCCTTGATCTCCAACATACAATGCGAGCATTATTAACGTTTTAACTAATTATTAGATATCATTCGATACCTTTTGTTTGTACAGCATTCCGAATATTGAAGAAGAAGTCCAAGGTCCCGTATTAAAACTACGTGGGCGAAGTCTCATGCCTTATTGTCATTTTGACCTCAAGGATAGCGACTATTTATCAGGCAGCCGGAGAAACCCGGAACTTCCGGGACCGAGAGGTGCTTCACCCGGAACAACCCTTGACCCCAACACCCGGGTCATTGAATTCGAATCTATCGGCGTTGGGGTGCGCAATATAAAGTAAGATTTAATTATTGTGCAAGCTTGGCAAAATAGCCCGTTCGTCTCTCTTACGCTTCACTGACCCTTCTTTCTTTCGTGTTAGAAAATTCTGGGTAATGAATCCCACCGCTAATGACTACACGTTTGCATGGGAATGTGACGACATAATAGACGCGCGTGTTACTCCCGCCTTTACTTGCAATGTACCTGAAGGAATGATCGACGGAGGCAAAAAGCTAGAGGTGAAATAGAGACTTCAAAAAAATTGTTTAAATGATTTTTTACCAAAATTTGATAGTTCAAAAATGAATACTTTCAAAAATTATACTTTTTGACATACACTTCTCTCCAAACGATTTATTGAATCACAATTTAAATTTCTCTAATTTACAGGTTTCATTTGAATTCCTTCCGACCGCTCTCTCTGTCACGGAATCGTTTTGGAAGTTTGTTATTTTGGAACAAAATATTGCTATGCCTTTCCTACTGGTCGGTGACACAAAAGAACCACAAGTATCGATGGACATATCACACGTCAACTTCAAATCTTTACTTGTTGGTGAGTGGCATTGTGTTGTAGGAAGTAGGAACTACGATACGTAGGAACGGTATAACATTAATTATTTATTAGAGGCCTGAATTAATAGTTTTGCATAGTTAGCACTTGGATTCAGATAGCCATCGACTGCTGTAAAACAGGCCATATTTTTCGTGGAAAATTAGGGCAGTGGCACAACAATGGACAGTGACGTCACATACAATGACATCACAATTCACATTGTCACGTATTACTTTTTCAGGTCGAACTGCTTCTGAGACTATCAATTTAATTAACGATGAATCGATTGGCTTCAACTTCAACATTATAGACGACTCTTGTCATTCAGAAGGATATTCGACCAGTTTATTCATTTCTCCCATGCACGGATTTATTCCTGCTAGAACAAGGTTTGTTGTTCAGAATTGTAACTTTGTGTGTTCCTTCTGTTGGTATCTTCATCCGAATAATTTGGCATATCCTACATTCCCGCAATTTTAATTCTAGTTTTATTTTGAATTAATCCTTTATCCTTTTATTTTGAATTTATCAAAACTATCCCTTGGGCATATTGGTATGGTGGATGGATGCTTCATCGGCCTATAAATTCTTCCTACACTTTACCAATAGCAAATTTTTGTGAACTGGATCTTCTGAACTAATTTACATGTTCATAACCATAAATCTTATTCTAAATATTGAACCATCTGCCATTTGAATGTACTGATAGATCATTTAAGATATATATATAGTATATTGCAACCTTTTAAAGACTAATTTTCGATTATTTTAAGTTATTTGGTTTATACCTAAATTCGAAAATCACAGCGAGCAAATTGCAAATACCTAATATGCAATGCCTTACCTCTATGCCTAAAAATTTGTTTGAATGAAAAAAGTGTCTGAGCGGCTGCTAAAATATCAATTGTTTCGTCATTACTTATCGATTTTAATCGGTAAGTATGTTGATAGGTATTTGTCTGTCTGTATGTCTGTTTGTCTGTTAGATGCACGCGATATCTCACGAAAGCGAGATTGAATCTGCTCCAGATTTTGCATGTGCATTCATCTTATCTCGGACCAGGAGCCTATTGATTTTGGGCGAATGATGTCGTATAATTAGCGAGTTATCAATTAATTAGTGATGGGACACAAGGTGTCACTATGGAGTAAGAGCGCTGTTTTGGGGATCCCCTAACTTTCGATCGATAAGTCTTCGGTCTCTGACCGATATTCCCGTTTAACATCTTGCTGATTAGTCAATGCTACCGAGATAAAAAAGGAACTCGACGTTTTAAATCTGATTTCATATATAACGTACCAATGTTTAACTCTAAAAACAATATGCTTTTTTTTGCCTGTAGACTCCCTCTTCAAGTTTCCTACACTGCTAGTCAACCAGGAGATGCTAATTTCAACGTAATTTGTGAAGTTGGAAGAAAAACAAAGCCTTTGATGTTGAACGTAAAAGCTTGCGGACATAGTATGCAGGCTCAACTGGTATGCGAGAACTCACAAGGCGCTAAAATTGAACTATCACCGGCTGGACTGAACGCCATCAATTTTGGCGAGGTAAATTTGTTCTTTTCATTCATTTCGTGGGCATGATGTCGTGGCCCCTTTGCGTGCTGAACTAAAAATATTAGCTTTTCATTTCAAAGATCTTGATTTCACATTCTAAGTAATCCTCGTTAAATCTGAGCTACCAGGTGCCATAACAAGGATGTAGTAAATTGGGTATGCTATTACTATAACTCAAAAATTCATTTACTTGCGTGTAAATGCCTACCATCTAACTCAGGGTGTGGTGGACTGCAGGGTAGGCACTCCTGAACCAGATAATACCAAATTCTTTTAGAAAAAAAATTTTTTTGCAATGTCGGCCGAGTCTTGCAGAGAGACGTAACTTAAAAATAGTGTTTGTATAAAGTAAACTAAGTGATGATTTAAAACATTTCGTAAAATATCAACATAGAAGTTTACTACCGAATAAACGTGTATCCGGCCCTTATTTTAGCTTTACACTATAATCATAATTTATTTTACACCTTCGTTAACATTATTTCTCCTAGGTTGAACTTCATGAGAAAGCTGTGAGACAATTGTACCTAATCAACAGTGGAAAACATAACTTTACTTACAACTGGAACCTACAACACGATGTTCAAATCATGGAATCTTTAAGCTCACGATCACTCGATACAAATAGGAAACAAAAAATGGATCCAAAAACTGGAAAGTATGTGTTAGGATAATTTTTGTATTATTCCCAGTGTAGAGAAAAGTCAATAATACAGTTGCTTATCCAGGTCGGATAACGGTATAGCTAATTTATGAGTTTACTGTCCCTAATGCGTGAACATGTGTCACCCAGGAATGCTAATTTGTGTGGGTGAAACTTTTTATTTTACTTTGCTATTTTCAGTATAGTCGTTCGTTAGTTTTAATCTCTTAATCTCTCCGCCAGCGTGATTTTCCATTATTCTTGGTTGCTCTATTCAATTTTGCAATGTACTTCGATAACAATTGGGTATTTTCCGACACCTATTTTCTCATTGAATTTTGTGTCGTAAATATTATAACCATTTTTCTGAATAAAATTTGATGTGTCCCAAAAATACCAAATTAGCAACTTACATCTTTGACCGAACAATTTCTCAGTTTTGAACTATTCATTACACCTATCACTACATTATATAAAATCAATATACCATTCTCAGGCTACCTGCATCCAACAAACGACCAAAGACTAAAACTCCGCGTCAGAAGATTCCTGCCATTAGCATTTCACCTGAAGATGGCTCTGTCGCTGCCGGTACACGAAAACGATGTCTTTTAACTTTCCAACCACATGATTTGGGCGGCATCCCAACATCCGAACTAGTTTTGAAGGTATGTTGATGACGATTATTTCTATTTGTGATGTCATAAATATAGTCATTATGACGCGGTGATTTTTTTTCAGGTGAGCGATGGTCCGATGTATTTGTGTCACGTGACAGGAGTTGGCGTGAAACCAGGATTGGCGTTCTCATTTAGCGAATACTCGTTTGGATCTTGTTTTATCTACAGAGCGGGAATGCCCGTCAATACGGTTACCCTTACGATCACGAATAAAGACAACAAAGAAAACAGGTACGTAATCTACAGCAGAGCTATGAGAAGCCTCAATTTTCATAGCCCAACTCAGTTCAAATGTGGCAATAGGAGCCTAGACCACTACAATTGAAGAAAACTCGAACGGTTGTTCAAATCAATTAAATTTGCTTTGCGCTATGTTCAAAATTATGTACAACTTCAAGTAAGATAGATACATTTTGCGGAAGACGCGTTTTCAACTCTTTGTCATATTTAAAACTTTTGTAATTTCAAATCAGGCACCTCTGAAAATTAGGAAAGTGATGATATAGGCGCATTATAATAGTACTGGAAAGCAGACAAATTGACTTCGTACGTATTCAAAAGTTTGAATAACAAATTTTCCCCTAATAATAAAATAAAAATAAACAAAATATTGCGCAATCATGCTTATTTTTTATTAGGGATAGGGATATTAGAAGGAAAATTTTTTTCATTTCTTGTGCATTATCTGAAAAGTACAATTTGTTACAAAGCACCCACATGGCATCAGTTGGCTAATGCTTCAAAAACGTATTCGATTTGCAGTATCGAGTGTATGTATGAAAACACGCCTCATCTCGAAGTTGGATTCCAAGCTGTTGTTCTTCCACCTGGTGGTTCTACCGAAGCAACGATCGCTTTTTATCCAAGAGCAGTGACGAAATACAGAGAAACACTCTCATTTCAAATTAATGGATTGTCTAACCATTTGGTTGATATTTTGGGTGATGGAACGGAATTGAGGGTATGTCGATTTTTTGATTTCTTTATTAGTGTACAGTACATGTTAAAGATGACAAACAGGAATATTAGCATAAAAGTAAATTCATCTTCTGGTCGAAAGCTTGGTAATATTTTTGTGTGGATTTGAACCATATTATGTCTATTTTTGATGATGTAATATTTTTGAAAAAGTTTGTCGATTTGCAAAAAAATGAAATTTAGACATATTTATACCAAGATATGATAATGAATTTAAAAAAATCACCCATGGACACCTTTGCCAAATTTATGGTATGACGAACGCATTATTAATTTTTTTTTTTTTAATGTTTATTTAATATTTTTAAGTCTCTTTTATCTTTTAGGTTGAAGTCCAAAATCCCAAGCAACGAATGCTCAAATTTGGTGCATTACGTGTTGGCGAATCCGTGAAGCATATTGTACCCATCGTTAACAAGAGCCCCATACCTATCAATCTTAACATATCAATTACCCCTGTAAGCCAACCTTTGCACGACCCCAGTGTTATGTACGTCTCACCCACCGAACCCATTACCCTGGCTGGGCGAGGAGGCACCAGAAATATTTCTGTCTACTTTACCCCCAAGACGAGAATCCCCCAGTTTACTGAAGAGGTTATGATGGAGTGTGCTGGAATGTCCCAGCCGGTTTTCGTCGTCAGTGGCAGCTGTCAAGGCATCGAGATATCTCTGGACCAGGACTCTGTTCCATTTGGCGGGGTGGTACAACGAAGCTGTAGCACAAGACGCATAATGATGCAAAATACAGGAGATATTGGTGCAGGGTATGTATGTTGATAATTTTTTGTAGTTTATTTGTCGGTATAAATGAATCAAAGTTTCGGAGATAAGTTCTCGAACTCGGCGCTGAGCCATATAATCATATTACTTATAATATAGCTTATGAATTATTCCAGTCGGAACCAACTTTATTAGTGAGTAAATTTGTCTCGCACATCAACTCGGAGGAGAGGAGACTCATCTCTTAAAAAAAGTTAGGGCGGCGACTACTAAAATATCTAAACTCTAAAACTACTGATATACCACCAGCTACTGGTCTGAAACTAAGCAAATTCCAATTATCCGAAGCTTGAAGAAGTTTCATGTAATACGAACAGGCAAACAGCCACAACCTTTTAAGGAAAAGTTTTATTTGCGATATATCGTATATGAAGGTCGTAATTCCCTAATGCCCGCAAATTTTACTTGAAAAGTAATATTACATCAAAAGTTGAAATACATGGCCCGCCAAGAAATTGCACTCAGTGTCGTTGCTAGCATTGCACCCACTATGGCCACAAAATTTTAAAATTATCCATTTACCTAAAAACGTTTCCACGAAGGCTTGGTTTGTTTGCTTTTCGAGTCGCAATGTTTCTCTCTCGTTTGAGATGACCGTGCGAGCGCTTGCATATAACCGCAATATTCAACCACCGTACCCGACGCGTCGGTGGTGTAACGGTTAGCATTGTTGCCTTCCAAGCAATAGATCCAGGTTCGACTCCCGGTCGACGCACTTTTCCCCCTTTTTTCATAAAAAAAAACGGTCAATCGTTTGTTTTTATGATTGCAACTTTGCCAGAAAAATATGTATATGCGACAAAAAATTTGTTTATTCGAAAAGGTTTTTATATTAACCCCATAATTTGCAGATTTCGATGGGAGGCAGAGAAATTTTCTCCTGACTTTTCAATCGAGCCTATCAGCGGTTATATCAGTCCAGGAATGGAAGTTTCATTCACGGTAACGTTTCATCCAATAAATTTAAGTCCAGACATAAGATATGACGGACTTTTATGTCTCATTGAAGGAGGAAAACCACTCAAATTAACGCTTACTGGAATGTGTATAGTAGGATCACCAACTACTAAAGAGGTATTCATTTTTTATGCTATTTATATACTGAGATCTTGTGACGTTTTTATCATTTCAAGTTGGAACAAGTTGAAATAATATGTTCAAAACTTCTAGCTTTTTACGTATTCGAGGATGCTTGTATAAAACTGCTTCCTAGACTAGTAATAATAATAATTGAAGGCTATTTTTCGTCTGCACTTATACTTGACTTACTATAAATAATGCATGACAGCTACCAATCGCTACAAAGTTAAGTTGTGGGTTTAATCTGGAATAAAATCTGAATAACGTTAATTTTTACGCCAATCGTTGCCAGCGGACTCCCTTCATGAGCTCAGGATATCTTATCTCTACCTCCCAGTCTATTTAAATTTTCGCTCTTTTTGTTATTACCCAAAAGCGAGGCTAAGTATTTTTATTGAAGGGCCGAAATGATGTTTCCTCGACTTTTAACCCCCGGGCAACTCTTCTTATATATACTTTACCATTGCAAAATTTTTGGTGCTCATATTAAGAGTGATTTCGCTAGTTGGCTCATATAAACTGGTTTATATGTTTCAAACCATCAATTTGATTCAGAACATTCAACAACCTGTCATTTAAAGTCCCGGTAGAAAAGTTAAGCCTAGTCTACCACGGCTATTTCTAGACAAAATTTTGATTACTGCAATTAAAATAAGACTCATAAAAAGACAAACTGATCATGGCGCTATTCGATTAATACTTAAATTTCGAAAAACAGCTAAAAACTAACAAATAACATGCAATAACGCGAGAACGAGGTAATGTTTACAACCATGCGTGAAAATCTGTGTCAAAAGTGTCTGAGCGGCTGCTAAATCGTCTATTGATACGTCGCGTTTTGCATCTTGATTATTAGCCAGTGTTACGAAAGTAAACAAGGAAGTTGATGCTCGGAGAAACATCTATTGAGACTAAGTAATGGTCTTTGGAAGGTGACCTCGGATCATAAATGTTTGAGAACCACTGACCAATACTCTAGGTGTCGCCATAGCTTCAAAAATTTTCTTCAATTCTGAGAAAAATCAAGCATTGTCTTCTTCGGTGTTTCGGCATGCCATCGAACAATCTGATAATTTATTTTCTCTCTATTTTCCATTTTTTTCTCCGAATTTTCCCTCAAAAAAGTTCTTTTTCGTACAAAGAAAATTTACCATTCGTTGTCCGCTCTTTGTTTCCCGTCTCGTCTGCATTATTCATCGCAATGAGCCGTAGATGACATGAGATTACCGTGTTTTAGTGCCCGTAACTATCTACAATTGCATTGCCTTTGAATTATTAAAGTACTAGGCGATTTTTCCCACTCTTATCTAACATACTAGATTCTTTATATTTCTCTCAGCTATTTTACTTTGAATCTTTATTAGCATACCTGGCGTTGACCAGAGATAAAAATCTCAGATTTTCTTTGATTTATACTTGATTGAATATTATCCAAACCTCATATCAAGTAATCATTACAATGATTGAAATATAGACAATGACGTAATATAGTGTTGAAATAGCACCCATCAAGTATGATTATATAATATTTTTATCGTATATGGCTTGATCGCAACCAGAGTATATGGCAACATTGTACATTATTTAAACCTTTGAATAATATTGGAATGGTAATTAACTGAAACATGCCCCCAGGTATGTATGGGTCTTGTATTCCCACGGTGTCTATGCGCTCAAATCGAGGGAAGATTTCATAGGCGATGATGATATATAGACAATGAATTGAAAATTAATAATATATAAAGTATTTTCTCTGTATCGTTCCAATACTTCCATGTGTACACTCTAAATTAGTACATGTCACGCAGAACCGCGAAAATTTCCTCTGAAAAAAGATGAGTTATTTTGCCATCTCAGTCGCCCCATGCAATCGAATAATGATTGAACAGAGACCTCCATCTTCATTTTTAATTTTTGAATCCAGTATTTCTAGGCAATTTGATCGTATTTTTACTCGCAAAAACAACAAGAAAAATACTCCACAACTCATAAGATTTCGGTCTCTAAAAAATTATTTGGAATATTTTTGTACTGTTTACATCTCAGCATCATCTGTTTTAAAGTAAACCGCCCACTCGAATATAGCAGCATGTAATAACTGCAGATCTGATTCACAAGTCTGGTCTGAATAATCATCAAAGTGTGAATATTCGTCCAAGTTTGGCCAACGATGGATTGCGTCAACAAGGCGCGATCCATCAATGGTCATGCTTGGAAAAAAAAAAATTTCTGAATAGGAATCACATCTATTTTATACCTAAAATAAACCATTTATAGTACACTACATATATTTTGCACAAAAGCCAAAATCTAAAATCTTCATAGCTTTATTTTTGGCTAAAAATACTTTTCAGATCTTTAAATTTCTATTCGTTTGAGAAACTTGTAAAAAATCGACTATACTTACTTTTTGATGTATATATTGTATAATAAAAACAAAATCGCCTCGAAACTAAAAATGACTACCGCAGGGATGCCGTGATTCACCTATTTAATTTTTGCTGTTATTGTTTCGATACAACACGTCAAAATGATTTGTATATGCCGATTATCATGTTGTTTTTGATAGTGGATCATGTGATTATTCATTTGACTTTTCACGATTCAATACACCTTGACACAATACTATGAGAAAATAGTTTTCAACGTATTTCCAATAGAAAGAATCAAATGCCTGAATCATATACATTATACACTGTATAAATCTATACATAGATACAGAAAAAGGTCACAAACAAGTTGCCGCTTGAATTAAAATTGATGTTTTGCACGCAAATATGGATAGGAACACATCATTTCATGAAAACCTTCTCAAAAATGTACAGCACTTGCATAAAGAGCTGAATATTATAGTAACGCGGAGTGTCTCAAAAATGTCGTGTCGACCTTGGGTGGCACTTGTCCCAATTGTAGGAATCTCACATCATACGATTACTCTATCCTTCTGCCAAATTATTATATATACATCTTAACCCAGAACATAACATGAATTCCACTTTATACGCTTATTCAAACCATTCTCACACAATATATATCTACCCTACCTCCGAACAGTGGGACAGGTATAGGACGTGTGTGCCAGAAGGGGACATTTTTGAGAGACATCGGTAAACGCAGAAAATTGTCTTGAGTGTTTGAAGCTGCCCTCTACATCTTGGTAGCGACATATCAATATAGATATGCATTCTTTCCTTTGAAGATTCAAAAAAAAACGCTGAAAAAGAAAAATTTGTATGCAAAAATTACATTATAATTAGGCCAATATCATTCGATTCAACGTCAAGAAATTGAAAAATGCAAATTATTTTAGTGTATCATAACATAAAATTTTATGAAATATATCAAAACTGAATTCAAAACTACATTTCATATATCAGTAATAATTGCCTTAAATGCAGGTCGAAAAACTGCGAAATCCCATTTTCAATTAGTTTATCGAAACAATCTATCGTGGATGCATTGAAAATACATTAACCAGTTTCTTCTGCACGGTATCCCAGCAAGAAAACAATCACCGATTTGTGTTGCGGTTGTGATAAATTGTTCGTTTATCAAACTTTAAACTTAAATCCGTAATCGTGAGGATTTCAGATTCGTTACGAGACACGATTCAATCAAGTTCTTTCCCTAATTTTAATACTACATTCTAATTCATGAACCGCTACTATTCTATTATTCGCTAGAAACGCCGTTTCAATGACGTCATACTCGAAAAGTTGTAATCTGTGCTTGGAGCATTTTTGTATTCTTTCATGCATTAAGATTTAAGATAAACCAATTCCACATGATTTGTGATTGAAAGTTTTCTTCGTGGTCTTTGCTATCGCACCATCGGTACAAAATGAAACACGGAATTGTTATTTTAAAAATTTAATGCGTCCGCCATCCGTAACTTCTATCGAGTTCAAGAATGAAAATCTATATTCTTCATACTGCTATGTTAAAAAAATAGGGAATTCAAGTAATAGAATATCTGTCAGAAAGTCGGGTTATAGTTTATTTTTTTTATCCATGAATTTTCGAATATTTATATTATACAAATTCAATATTAAAAAAAAATTGAAACCAAAATTGTCTTCATTTCCAAGAACATTTTGAATAGATTCTTCTAAATTTTCTAACAACTGATTTCAGTAAAAATATCGAAGAGTTATTCTCTGATTAAATGCGTATGGTGTTAGCCATGTATTCTTTATTCTAAAAATTGTTTACTTTAATATCAGATCTACTAAATTGCTAAAAATTGCGAAACTAAATATGAAAACACTTTCACCATGATGTTTTAGTACTATTTTTTTCGTGATTTTCGTGACTGAAATTTTTAGATAAAAAGTATTTTTCAAGTCTTAATTTATATCAACGTTACTTATTATTTACGCCAACGTTGATTAACGAACATTAAGTTCAGGTAAAAAATTAAATAAAAAACAGATATGCAAAAAGTTTAGGATTAGGGGGAGATTTTGAAGTTAAAAGACTAAAAAGTAATCAAATGAAGATTTTGTGTGTTTTAATCGTTTTAGTATCCCCTTATCTCTATTTTTCGTGTCTGTCCGTGGGATGTCCTTATTAAAACCAAGAAAAAAATAGCTAACCTATTTCTCCTATAAAAACATCATGCTGGCGATTCGTGACCCACGTCACACATGATTAAAATGATTTTTGAAATGATAAAATCGGTTTCCTATAGCTTTAATTCAAATAATACTAAAATATTTCGATATTTTTTTGTTAATGTTAACTTTGACATGACAGAAAAAATTTCTTTTGAAAATACGTTCGTCTTGATCCGTAACCGAGACCAGAATTCTAACTTTAATTGGATTATCATGAGTATTTAATTTTGACAATTTTTTATTTTCGTCAATTGTGGTCCGAATATATATCTAAAACAAAAAATGTTGTATGCACTGATTTCAATGTATTATACGGTTGAAAATTTTGGTTGTTTTACCACGAAATGATAGTAACTTTGTAGTTCATTGCAATGGTGATTCAGAGGTAATTCAATTTCTGATAAATTTGTGATATCCGATGAAATCTGTATAAATCTTAATTATATATGTGAAATGATGCACCTGCGTTTGTTTACCTCTTTGTTGCCCAATTAAATACGTTCCTCTGATCTTTCATTGAATTTATGTAAGCAATGTTAAATTAATGTCAATTGGTTAATAGGCCTCTTATTTAGTGAATCATGGGCCCGCATTCTCGCAATTTATCACGTGATTTTAGATATCCAATAAGGTTGGCACGACGTAAATTCAAAATGGAAATTTCGAGTTTCCGTATTTTTCTGTAATTAATTTTTTTTTAACCGACCTTGTCCAATACGTAAGCTACCGGTGAATCATGATGCGGTTGTCGGGACAACGAAATAGTTCGCAAAAGTTGATTTTTGAATAATTAGGTCGGCACAACGTGAATTCAAAGGTGAAGTGTCAGATTTCCATATTTTTCTATAACACAAATTGAAGTACGTTGATTGAATTTTTCAAATTTTCAAATTTTTGTAATTGCAAACTGTGACATCGAGGTGAAGCTGGCCTGACCATGACGACGAAAAACGTCTTCCGCAGTCTCTATATTTCGCTTTTACCGCGATTTTTGATCAATGTATCATATTTATTAATCTAGTCATCCATATCCCACACTGTTTATATGTTTTTGTCTACAAGCAATCAATCGCCAGCCAGAGGCGTTCGCCATCAAAGTGTTTTTGACAAGAAAATACGTCAGCGTAACAATTATTATAATCATTCAAAGAAAATTTTCATGTTGTATTTGTTTTTATACATCGGCATTTTCGTTTAACTTACACGGTTTTCGGACGAAGTAATTAGATTTTCTTTTTTTGATTTATTTTTATTGATATATATATTTTTTTTAAGTTGTTAAAAATCGTTTGTTTGGAGTTATATCAAATCGAAATGATACCGTTTAGTAACCTTTTCACCTTGTACGACCTGCTTTTTGTTGGCGGAAGATCGTTCGATTAAGTGAATCATTATGTAAGACATATTTTGAATTATAAAGTTGAAAAAATGATGTTTTTCGACATTTTTTTTCATTTTGGTTTGAATTATTTTACGTTTTTTTTCTAATTGTTTTAAAAGTTGATTGTCCACAGTGATGATATTTCAAAACTAATTCCTCAGAATCTCCGATTTTTCTTTAATAATAATATTTCTTATCTATTCTTGTAAAATATGTGATGATTTTGGTGCAAAATGACCTTAACTTAAAAATTTCCCAATCAAACTATTTGCGTTACAGATACCTTATATCTCGTGAAATAAAAGAAAATATGGACCTATAGATTTCTGAATATTAAATATGCAAATAATGGCGATATGAAACATTAAGTCAAGTGTAAAATTCACTAATTCTTAAAACCGAAACGGGGCACGTTGATAACTCGAAAGTAGTACTACTATACCTCGATTGTCTATAGTGCATTGTGCTTATAGCACCTATGCTTGCTTGAAGCCATATTCTGAGTGTTATTTTATGCATATGATATTTCTTGTCTGAACACTTGCTCGGAGCCTTATGAAATATTGATGGTGCGTCTACTGTTTCTAAATTCTATATAATTAATGATATGGCGAATTGATGGATAATGTTGATCCCCTAAAACGCAATATTGTTGTTCATGGGTAATTTCAGAATTGCGATGACGAGATAAGATTTCTATAGACGTTGGATGACCAGTTACTGGGTCATCAGTGACGTTTTGTATCCATTATCGTACTATTTTCAACCGTATAATTTTGCTATTATGTTACATTAATGATAATAATAAAAGATATAAACTAACTTTCTCGATTGCTTATTTTTTACTCGAAAATTAGTGTTGAACCATAATCGGTCGCTTGCACGATATGGTAAAAATCTAACAAATTTATTCAATTTTAACCCTCTCGTCACGTGTACCATATTCAATATTTTTAAAACGTCTATAGTATATGATAATTATAATTTTATTTTAAAAACTCAATCTACGTAAACATGCGCGGCGCTTATAATTTTCTTTTATTCCTTAATATGTAGCTCGATGCTACCAACGGTCTAATATTGTAAGCAAAAATTATTTTCGTGTTTGTTTTTTTATTAAATTACGTGAGATTCACTGCCGTATTTAGCGTGTTTAACTTAACGGAAGTGGGGGCGATTACCGATTCCCCCCCCCCCCCCCCTATCTATCCATCGATAATTGTAGTATAGGCATTGCGGGCATTGCTATCTCCTTGGTTCAAAGGGGACGACGTCCGCATATAAATAAACAGACCTTGGCAAAACGTGTTATCTTGTCCACGCCAACGAACTACAAGGGACCAAACACAGACCGAATCAATGTTAATTTGAAGCCGACATCACAGACATTTTAACGCTACATAAATAAGCATTCCTGATGTAAATTTTGATAAAGATCGCGAATTACGCCTATCGCCATATCACAATATGTTTTATTTTCTACAGACTACCTGCTATTCTACGTAACTTAGACCCATTCCCACTAAAAATGCACGTTTAATCAGGATCGTCGAAATTTGGATTTTTTTCGATAATTTCAAGTTTTAAACGCTTTCTGATTAGTTGGCGTTTCCTTTTGTTTTTATTTGTTTTATGTATGTATCCTTGAGAGACGTCGTTCAAAAGGAAGAAGCATGTTTCAATTTTTCGCGTTTTAGCAAATGGCGCATACTTCTTCCTTATTTCTTTTTTCTCCCATATTTGTTTAGAATGCGGCAATATAATCGGAACTTAGACATGTTCATCAATATCTTTTTTGACCTACACCATCTATATTGTTTATTATGTTTCGCATCCTGTGAAGGGAATTGGATGCTATTATCAAAAATGAATGTATATATGATATGTATGTGTGTTTGTGATGTGAACATACGCTTTGCTGAATTGTTGTCGCTGTTGGTCTTGTTGTGATGTTTTGGTAACTTGTTATTGTTGTTTTGAAAAAAATCGATTTCCTCTGCAACTATTGGATCAATCAATTTCGATATTTCCTTGCCTCTGTATATTTGAGCAATGGTGTGGGCAGTCACTGATATCGAACCATTACAAAATTAGTTGATGAAAACACCTGACTCGTTCAACATAAGTTTGAATTTCAGACTATTATTTCGGAATTTTTCGATTTTGTAGTCGAGGTTTTGACGAATTGTTGATGTTCTTGTAGGGGTTGTTATTAGGTCGTGAAAACATCACATTCCCTGTTCGATTTCAAATTTTTAGTATTTGAAGATAGAGAAATTGCTTCATATTTTATCAGGTCCTAATGTGTCTAATTTACGGATACATCTACATATAAAATTCATTATTATTCACATTATTACATCGTTTATTACATGATAGGAACGACCATCAGCACCAGCAAATGCGAAACTCAGATATTATGTATTAGTTTTACTTCTTACAATACACAGAACCTTCAGTTATATTTTTTTTATCTTAAAAGGTTGTTGGATTCAGTTGTCATGTACGTGGTCGTGAAACACGTAGCGTTATGATTGCAAACCGAACAAATCAACAATGGAGGCTCCATCCAGTGATAGATGGAGAGTATTGGACCGCTGCAGATACTTTAGTCGTGGATGCGATGCAAACGAAAGCATATGAATTAACCTACAGGCCTTTAACAATGTCAACAGACGGAAAGAAACACACGGTAAATAAATAGATGTAAACATATGTATTCATTAAGGAGAGCATAATTTTATCACAGAGTTTTATTTTTCCCAGGGATCTGTATTCTTTCCACTACCGGACGGAACCGGCCTCTTGTACAACCTGCAAGGCCAAGCAGATCCTCCTAAACCAGTGTCCAGTATATCTAGAGATATACCTTGCAAGACAGCATACACGGAATTGCTTCAAGTGGCGAACTGGTTGCGGAAGCCCCAAAGGTAATTTTTTTCAGAAGGATAGGTGACCACTATAACTAACAAATTATTCGGATTCCCGAAAATATACCAATATTCGATTCAATGAAAATATTATATTTGTTTCTAAAACTGAAATTTGGTCGATTTTCACACGCCATAAAACGTGCCCGGTTATTTGAGCTCAGTGGTGTTAAAGCATCCTGGCACAAATTTCTATAAGGGGCTCTGCTCCATCTGCATTCGCTTCAAAAACGCACAGCCGCGAAGCGACTCAACGATTTGTGTTCGATTGGAATATAGTGGATATTAGAACTGTTTATTATTGCAGTTATGACTACTGCAATGTCAGAAAAATTACAGCCAAACGAATTGGACCAAATATCAATGATGGCGCGCACATGATTCATTAATCGTGTTTCTATAAAAATGAACAGTGGTTCTGGAAAAGGATTCTGGAAAAATTTTAACAAATAAAATAAGGATTCTGGAAAAAACTATAAAATAAAATTAAGGATTCTTGAAAAAATTTAAAAAAAAAAAAAATATTTCTGAAAAATTATTAAAAAAAAAGTTGAAAAAAAATTAAAAATTATAAAAAAAATAAAGTAATGAATTTTTCGCGACTTCTTCACAACAACAACAACCCTAGCAACAAAACCAGTTTAACAAAACTATTCACATGTACACTAAGTGTTTAATAGTGTTATCTTCGTCGCTTTCTTGGATTCATATTTAAATATCATGTTCACACGAAGCTCCATCTCATGCATTCTGATAATCTTATGTTTTGTCAGCTTTTTAATCGTGTTATTCTTCGAAGTACGTCTTTCCATTCATGCCGTATGAAGTAAAATATTAATTTTTCACGATATGTTTTGTTTATGTTGCAATACAAATATCTACAAGCAACATGTACTTAGAAGGTCGCGAACTTTTTTCAAAAAGAAAGATCTGGAACGTCGTAACAGTCTGCGGTCTGTACGACGTTGTTTCTGAGGTTTGACTGTTTATTCTAAAGCATTTTTCCAATCTTTATCATAAAAATAGAATAAAATGAGTAAGATTCAAATGAGTCATCAGAGTTTTTGGAACATCTACAACTTACGTATTTATCCCACATGTATATACAAATAGATACATGTGATCTGAATGGAGATTTGCAACATGTGTATTAGGTGTAATATGTGATCTCAAGATTTTGTCTACTACATAACATCTAGTTTCCATGATTATAACATTAACATTAGTCTGAATGAAAAGTTGTGTGATCTTAAGATTTTGCCCACCAACTCGAACCCTAACTTACCTGTATACAAATGTACATGGCTATACGAACCTATACATGTAAACTTAATGAAGAGTGGCAATATGTGTATTAGGTGTGTAATTGTGATCCTAAGATTTTGTCTTCTTACTTATTTTGCATGAATGTAGCATTACGTATAAAAAACAACGTCGTATGGATAGATTTTTAACATACACAATTTACAGATCTTTTTGTACATTTAGTCTGAATGAAAAGTTGCAATATGTGTATTTAGTGTAATAGGTGATCTTAAGATTTTGCCTACTAATTGAAATCTAGTTTGCATAAAATGTAACACTAAATTTAAGACAACGTCGCCTGGATGAATTAATATTTGGTAATCGGTCTGACTAACCGGAAGAAATCCTGTTCTTCCTAAGTCACGGCTACTACCGTTCGATCGCTGGCGTAGAGCCTTGCTCGATTTGCGCACCTTAAAACAAATTATGTTAAATTTATATAAAACCAAATGTCTTAATTTAAAAACGATTTGGATTTACTTTACCTTGTGACCTTGTTGTTTTTAGGCGTCATAGCATGCTTACATACACTTTCTTGCCACAGGTTGACACTTCGCTTTCGCTTACACAATAAACATTTGCATATTTTCATGCCACGATTTCAAATGATCAGTAATGAAATCTTAGTGATTTAACTTGAATTCGATGGTATTTTATTGTCGTTCGCATTCTGAACGTGATCTGGATTGAAATACCGCGATATTTATGCAATGTACTGTAATTTTTAGAGTATGTATAAAAAGAACAATCTTGCAATCTACGCCATGCTTTGTGGAAAGATTATTATGACGTTATATGAGTGCATTCTTGTAACTGAAAGTAATTAGCGTGAACGCAATTTGGTATCTTCAAGATGTGGATGGAATTTAGAAAAAATCTTTCGAAGAAACACTTCTTCAACAGTTTTTGCTGCATGGATGAACTATTTACAAAAATGAATGTAGCATACGTCCTAGACTTAGAGACTCACCTAAACTGTTTCCATTCCGAGCACAAGACGTCAAAGTTGAACCTGGGAATGCTTTCCTTTTGTCAGCCTCTGATATCTGCTGGACTGAGTTGGTGCTCTGACTACTGCAGTTAAAAATTCTTTTCCCCAGTTCTTACATTTTCCCTATTAAAGTCTGTCAATGTTTTGCATTTTTTGTTATTTTGTTCGACTATTGTTTTGAGCAATGATTCTCAAATTTTCGTGATCCGTGTATTGGAATTACTCGCACGTGCCAGATTAAACTGAAATAAAAACTAGTTTCGCGCACACCATTCATAATTGGCACATCTTCACGGGCCGCACATTTTTTTCCTTGTGGGCGCACCGATGCAAACTCCTGATTGAGAGCGAAATATAAAGCAGTCGTGATGAAAGCACTTCCAATTAACAGTAATGCCAAGGCGCGGATATTTACATTTCCAAATTCTCTGCACAATCGTCTGTACCGAGTCACGTTCGCGCTATTCTCCAGATGAATGAAAGCCATTAATAAAAAATTCTGTGTTTTCTCCATTATCTATATTACTGATTCATTTTCATCCGAGCCGCGACATATCATGTGAGATTTTATCTTGTGATTGAGGATTACATGGACTTAACATTCTCATCGTGATTGATGTAGCGAAACAGTAATTAGATATAGGATACAGTGTGTATGTTTGGACTGATCTCGTAATGCCAGGCAACACGTTAACTTTCCCAGAATGCATTTAGGCCATGAACTCTGCTGTCATCGTCTTGTTTTCTTATTTTAACGGCGACGACAACAAACGGATTACGGTTACGCCTATCTCGTCCTAATACGACAGCACTGCGGCTGGGTAGCAGACGACTATGTCTGAATATTCGAGACTGAACTTCAAAGTGGTCATACAAGCACAAATCCGAGACTACACAAATCCTAAGTACTTTACATTAAATTACCAAGTATGCTCAAAATCAAATGCTTTGATTGCCTTAGAATTTTTGGGAACTATTAAAGCCAGGCTCGATGTTCAATCGCAGTTACCATCAAAATACGACCGATTGGAGTATTCCAGTCTTCTTCAGAATGCTACCATAGTAAAAGAACCGTCCATGCAGAGACGCAGTTCTGAATGCGTTAAAATCAGTGACGAGTTTTGATTATTACGACGCATCGTTCATGAAATGACTTGCCCTCATCGATTAAAGACATTTTGAACTACGAAGATAGCCAAAAGTGGGAATCACACTGATATAGATTGAAGTATAATTTTCACATTCGAATTTTTGTCAAAAGTCATAATATAGAATAGTCATTTTTATTTTACTATCATAATTATCCGGAATCGAAATTCGGAGTCAAAAATGAAATTGTATCAATTTGGAGTCCCACTTCACTACTGCCTATGTACGACTTCAGCTACTGGTGCGAGATTTGGCCAGTTGATACAAAATTTGAATTAACTTGCCTGATATTCTCCAACACAGATTCATTGTGTTACCTCGCCGTAAAGTTGGGTTGTTGTTAATTCCCCCGGCCTTATTCGCGAAGTTACTTCAACCATTTGACTGAAGTTCTATATATCCTTACCCTTATATATCCCAAAACTTATCATCACACCCGATTTACCTATACTTCAAATCAACTAGTGGCGCAGATCGTTTTCATTCAAAAATACCTCTGAATACTGCCTCTAATGGTCGAGTGCTACTTATTACTCAATGTTGCGCGCGGTTGTATAAATGTCGTTGTGCGTGATCATGTTTTTTTACAAATGACGTTACAATATGTCATTCGCCACAATCTCGATCACGCGCTCAAATAATTTATATTTACATCCATGTACCAGCAGTACTTAGGTACCGTGGTCGACTAAGTCTTTCGAGATGGATCCACCGTGATTTTTTGTTTGCGTTTTTTGGTATTTTAATAATCCAATATTAAACAACATTCGTCAAACACACACATGTAAATCCTGCTGTAACCCGGGATTATCGTAGTTCACGGACCGATCATCCAGTAATAACCGAACTTAGCGCATTTTTGATTGTTTCTCACGCCGTAAAAAATGTCATATGTCAAACAATTTCAGTTTTTCCTGTTTTGCCGCATCATTTTACAATGCAAATTTAAATTAAGCCTTGTTGATTTATTCGTTTTCACCTGCTATCGGATGGAAATTGTTTTCGTTGTTTAAATCTTACAACATTCAAAACATTATCTCGACGAAGGAAAAATGACGGTCCTCCGCTTAGATCGTTTTTTTTTTTGCGATCTTGGGCGATACTTGATTTATTTCAGTGCACCCATTTACAATTTTTCTTTTATTTTTTTCAGATTCAAAGTTACAGTTGAAATGATCAAACCCGACAAACTTGATTCTGGAACAACACTGAAGGGTCTTGATTATATCGACGTGCCAGGATCAGTGAAAAGAGATTACAAGCTACATTTCTACGCTCATAAGGAAGGCACTTTTGGTGCCAAGGTATGCTAAAGTTCTATGTTTGTGACGTCATAATTATGACGCCGCGGTATTTAATGATGTCATTCATCAATGACTTCGAAGAAAAAACAAAAAGTATTTAACCGTCCAAATTATGACATCACGATGCGTTTATGTAATGTCGTCTTCAATGGTGCTATTGTGTTTATGACGTCACAATGTTTTGCTGTTCGTCGTAGCCAAATGTATTCTGAATATAAAAACTTGTATCATTTAAACTGAGTATCGGAAATAAAAATCTTTTATCATATCTATACAATATTATATTTTGGGTTATTTTTATTGTATTCAAATTTCTACCCAATCTAATTTTCAAAATTAGCGCAATTTTGAAAGAATTCAAGGTCAAATGTTAGACGTCACGACCACGTATAATAAAATAGTAGTTAAATCTAATAGGGCCACACCAATTAGATTGAAACGACGATAATGCCATAAGTACGACATAACTATTATATGAAAGGGCTTTTGCGACTCTTGTCTGGTAATTTGCCGCCATGTTTTGGGTGTTAAATTTCAAAACAAGGCGTCAAATTTACTTTTTACCCGGAAACTTCGACCACGGTTAAACTTTGTTTAAATCAGACCTTTTTAGTCCGATTTAGGAATCGCCCGTGCATGAATCAACGTTGTTGTTTTTTTATCCGATCGATAAAAAAAATTGACAATTTTGAGATGATTTACCCGCTGTACCGTTTATCGTGATAGACCATTAGTTGATACCCTTAATGTGAAACAATTTGTACATTTTTGTTTTATTTTTGTGTGCAAAATTACTTTTTTAGCCTTTTTTCAACGAAGACTCAATTCAGACCAGAAAACTATTTGTCCAATACTACTTTCTGTTAATTTTTTCCCTCGTTTATTATATAATTGTGCGAAACATATACTTTGATCATGTAGGAAATGCACCAAATGCCACAAATTCAACACGGTGTTTTATATGCCAAAAATGTTTTTCAATATTTTTGCGATAGGATCAACTGAAAATCAAAGTATAATCGTATAATTTGTGAGGGCGGAATCTTTTCGTTTGACATTGCTACACGCGGATGTGAAGAAATCACTACACGCTGAAATAAAATATAAACTTTGATTTTATTATCTCGTATCTTCGGCTTTGTTTTTTATAATATACTCTATAGTATCCGACTCGTGTATTCGACCGGAATAAGTCTCTTGACAACAATTCACAAAGCTACTGAATTTGATACAACCTAAATTTTGTGGGTAGTCAAGTCATACCAAATTTTAGAGCTTAAGATTTGTAACATAATCGGCTAAAATTGCAATTATAGTTGGCAGAGATTCTTTTCAGTAGCACTATAAATGCAATTATATTTCCTCTCTTAGAATTTAACCAGTGTAATGAGTCTTTACGAAAAATAAACATTGTTTACTACAAACAAAAGAATAATTAGCTAAAAAAATTGGAATGACCCCTAAAAGATTTCCTACACCCTATTTTCCACAATGCTAACTTGGATCTCTAATTTTATTCCTCAATTTGAATAGTCACAATATATAATCGCTGTATATATACAGTATTTAAACCACGTTTTTCTCGTCTCAGTATGACCATATTTGGTAATTTCAGGGCGTGTCTAAATTAGAATATTTTTATTTCAATTACGGAATACCTACTGTAAAATAACCGTTAGGTCGCATTCCATTGGTAGTAATTTTATTTTGAAGAGGTCGTGACGTGACAAGCAATCGATTATATGTTAACAATTTTTGTCTCATTCGAACGACCATAATTTGGGCAGGCAATTTGCCCTACCCCATTAGATATAAAATTAGAATTCGCTACCGTCTTGCATAAATTGAAACACAATCCTCCTTTAGAACGTAAAGTGCCTTGGTGATGGTAGACAATTGTCGATTATGTTATTGGCCTATTGAGATAGAGATCATAATCACTTGATAAACGACAAAATTGCGGATCGTTTGTTTACTTTGTAAATTTCGGAGCTTTTTTCGTGTTTTTAGTGCTTTAGGGTTCTGGCAGGGGCTTACCAGATCGCGTCTGTATTTGTACGGGATGAATTATTTGGTGATACGATGTATTAAAGAATACAGGGGAATATTTCTATCATGAAAATTATGTTTTTGTAATATAAGATAGGTTTTTAATAAGTTTTTGGGTGCCGTTCTCGTTTATAAATCACATTTAGTTATTACCTGTGAAAATTTTCAAAATCTTCTATTATATTGTTCAACGTAGCATGACCAACCTGTAGAATGGTAACCTTTTTAGAACATACTACTCCAATGACTGTTGTTGCTCACAGACTCGTTCGGAGTGGGGACGTGAACCAATTCATAAAAAATTCATTTAGAATATTAAATCTTACAGTATATCAGTGAACTTTTATCAAAATTGATATTAAAATAAATTTTAAAGTCAATTCTTAGATCAAATTTAGTTTTTATCGTCGGTGTTATATCGAGATATTTCAATATATACATCGTGATTAAAATTCGCGTTTGCGTTTTTTTTTCTTTTCTATCATTTGCGCTAACGAATTCTAAGCACTTGTTTACAGAAGAGGGTTTATAGAGTCGAATGACAAAAATTCACAAAGATTTCAAGAAAATTTAGTTTTAAAATAATAAAAAAAAAGTTAAATTGATACTTGTCACGCGCTGTCTCAATGTTACGATAATTTACCATTTTAAGAACTGTGATCAATATTATATTTGGCCAAACATGAATCGTGTATAAATCACACGACCGAGCACCATCGTGTCAATCTACTCTTATAAAAATAAATAAACTAGACAACAAAAATAATATTTTTGCGTCAAATGACGTTTTTATCGCGATTCGATGGTAAATTATGATATCGGGTTTCGTTTTATGTAGACTATTTTCATCAAATAATGTGAGTTTATAAATTATTTTATTATCCGTCCTCGAATCATTTTTCAAAAGTCAGTCGTGTTTTTTTGTTGATATTGTTTCGCTTGGCATCCATATTTGGCAATCGTCAAGATAAAACCTTTATTGACTTCTATAAATTGTGACGAAATCCGAGCCAAATAAATCCTATTTGTTTTTTAAATGTATTTTTCAATTTTTTCTGAATTATTTGTCTTTTTTAAATATGTACAATCGCTAACAAATTTGTATGGTATCTCTGATTCAAAATATTAAGAAAAAATTAATTTTTTTTTAATATTAAATTTTTGGTAAATTACACAATTATTCTAATAAAACCTGTTTTAAGTTTCTGAAAATACATATTTTCCAAAACATTCTGCTAACAGAATGAATATTATTTACATTTTCTACTTCAGTATGCAAATTGTCCTTTTTCTTTTACTATTGCATTTAAAAAAATTTAATTTAAATACTCGGCAAAATATGTATAAAAATGGTAACTTTTGATTATTTCGTGTTATTTGTTCCAAAAAATTACATCGCTTTAATGTGAATAATTTTCAATATGACAAAAAAAACGTATTTTTAGCGATTTTGTCTTTGAAGATTATGTTTTTTTTAGCTGATTATGATGATAATAATCAAAACAAGATAGCAATGTTCAAATATATATACACGAGTGTAGAATGACTTTTATATAGCAAGACTAATGTCAGCATAATTTCATTACGAAAATGTTCCGAGAACTATAAAAAATAATAGTAAAATTTAATGTAAAATATCGTAGTTTTTTTAGAACTCAGAGATGATTAAAAAAGTTTAAAAAAAAATAATATCCTCTTACTGACTTCTCCCATATTGAATTAGTAAAAATTTGAAATCGGTTTGCTGAATGGTTTTGGAGCAAAATCACAACAACAACAACAACCACCTAACTCAGGGTTTAATAAATTGAGTAATCAATGTCGAACCGGATAGGTTCCGGTCTTTTCAACAAATAGTAGCCCTTACATATCGCCAGATATCAGTAGCTGCTTGTATAGGGTCTCTTGATCCAGAGCAGCGTTTCTCAAGCGGGACAGGGATCGAAATTGCGACTAAATTGGACGCAATGGAGATCTCGGCCGTACTTCGGCGCCTCTGCGTCGTAAATATTTCTCGAGCAGGCCATGCTATTTAAACAGGCGGACAGGCCTTGTGCGAGTCTGATTAGAACGGCCTAAATTTTCAATTGTCAATTTTACACCAAGCTTTTCAATTTTACCATAGAATATTTTTTTTGGAAACCACCTTCTCGATGGATTGTTGGCTTAAAACTGGAAGCCTCGAAAGATATCGTGAAAAGCCGGTTGTGCAAGTTGATGCACAAAGGAAATTCATTACACATTTTTTTTATTATCAATTTTGCGAGGCAAGAAAGCGTAGGTGTTCCGTGTCAAAAAAGTTTAAGATATGCTGATCTATCAAAACGATCCATAAATACACTCCGTGCCTATTAACGTAACAAAATGTGAATATATTACTTAATATATGTAACAAACAACTTTTATCTTCATTTTATCTACCAAATTTGAAGTGTAACATAGAATGAATATTGTGATGCATTGTTGATAAAAATCAAACTGATTTGAAGATTTCATAAAATCAATCTTATTTTAATCTGTCGAAACTTCAAACCAATAATTATCCAACTTGACGATACAAAATGTCATATTTCCGAGATAAAATCAATTACATCTTTCAGATTTTAAACAAAGTAGTGTCATTCAGAACTTTTACTCATATAACAATTTTTGGGGTGGAATACCAAAATATTAAACATTTAAATATAAAAGACTTCTCGTTTTCGTCGTAAAATAGGAATAACATTTTTTTCTCCCCAATTTCGACTTTGAAATTATGAAAGTGATTTTGCAATTATGAAAATATTTACTATACATTAAGATCTGTATATTCAAATGCAAATAAAAACTAATTTTGCTCGAGTTAACTTCTTTTATTTCAATATGAAACATGATTTCAAATTCCATCTGCGTTCTTACTTGTTTACAGACTTGTTCCGAGCGGTGATAAAGGAAGTTATATAAGATATATTATATTGGATACAAAGGAGGATTAACATTTGACATTTGTTTAATAATATTTGCCGTTTTTTTGCTTTGGCGGAAAATTTAAATCCTAATAGTATCATGGAGTCATTTTAATTTTTATATTATTTATTTGAAAATTACTAACTCATAATCCCTTTGTGTTGGATCAGAATTAAATAATTTTCATTTCACTCAATTCAAATATGGTTTGAGTATGATCCGAACCATTTAACCTTTATTTATCAGTATCTCATACTTGATCTATGTTATCCACCTCAAATTTTTACCGGATATGAACCGACTTGTCCTTGTTAGATTACATGTCGCGTTTACATATTTACCGCTAATCCCACTTGTTCCGCGTTAATCACCGACATGTTTTGTGTCGCATGATCGTTGATTAAACCAAGTCATAGCGACCAAACACGAATAGCTTACACCCACACTTCAAACAATTTGACGGCTTATACTTTTACGTTATTTACAATACATGAGGCGTATAACGGGTAAAAAGTTCACATCGTGATACATAAAATGCTATTCTGGAGAAATGTTTGTCTTTATTACCCAAAGTTACATTTTTCTATCGTGTTTCAGAGAATTATACACAAGACACACTTGTATCATTATAAATATATTGCAGTAATAATATTGCAATATGGAACATTTTTTTAATAAGTAAAGATTTATAATATCAATAATGATTAAATTTACCTTTTTTAATTTTAAAGTATTAAAGTTAAAATTTGCATAAGATGCACATTCTATTCATCCTTGTCAGTCACCATTAGTACCTACCATATGTTTATATACATACAAATAAATAATTATTAGATTATAATATTAAAAAAAAATGGGCAAGTCAAATTTGAAAGTGTAGAAAAATAAAATAAATCAAAGTAAAAAAACGATTAAAAAGCAAAGAGGGGAATAGAATGTGTTTGATCAGAATGGTCTTCATCATGAATAACCGATAAAATAGAAAATAAGCTAATTTTTCGTTTTGCTCCACAATTACTTCAACTTCCTATTTTCAATTATTCAGCTTATGAAAAACCTATTCTTTCTTGTTTCATATTTCGATATTAAAGTTCATTTTCATTTGTAATTATGGTCATTTTTTGTTTGTCATATTACAAAATATCACAATTAATTTTAAGGCTTAAATATCTTCTCCAAAATTAACTAAACTATATTGGAAAAACGAAAATATTCAACTAAATGACAATATATATATATATATTTGGCGCTCCAGCAGTTTGTGTACCAATATGGAGGTAACTAATTTTGTTCGCCTATTATACATCAAGTTATGTTAAAGGACTGAAACCAATGGGCAGTGGGTATATTCACTTGACTAACACAGACAGTCCCCGAACTCGTAATAAAACTAAAATAGGGAAAATCGGAATAAAATTATGGCCTAACCCTAACCTGGTACACACACTACGAGAGTACTTTTTTTTTTAAAGAAAATTACCTCAACCCATTTACTTTCGCACTTTACAGCCTATTTTTCGTTCTTTCTATTTCTCTCAAATTTCATCATCTTGTTTCGTCACAATCTTCATAATCAAAGCTCGCGATCTATTCGTCTTCTTCTTTTTATCTTATTCCACATTTTCTCTCCTTTTTACTTGTATATTCAAAAGAGCCATTACCGTATTAATATTATGTATTGAATTATCACCTTCCAATATCAAAACACCATATTAACACGTTGCGTCAATTACGTAACAAATAAACGAATACACTCGCAAACTACGTCTACACGCGATTCTGTAATTTGTCCCTGAATTTTCCATTTTGATATTTGCGATGTAGATTAGTATTTATTATAGAATTTTGCGGTTTGGGGTTGTGTTAACGCGAATAAACATTGAATAACCATGGACCAGAGTTAAGTCATGGTATTTCCGTATGTATTCACTGCTGTCCTTACGTAATCAAGCATAAAAGCGACCTATGTGCCATTGTTTGAGAACAAATTTGATTCCAATTTATATCTGTAAGCGATTTCACACCTACGGCATTCCAATATTGTGGTAACATTTAAATATGTTCATAGGTCAATAACCACCGGTATATGAATAAGTAGGCAATGGCATGGCAACAAAAATAACATTACAAACAAAATTAAATAAAGCTTTTATGCAAGGAAATTTTGACTGTACACCGTTGATTATTCCAACTCCCTTAGAAAAAGTAAATGAGTTATTTGGCAAAGAGAAAAACACCCGAAGTGCGTTTGTGGAGAAATAGGATTATTTCAACGGAAAATAATATTAACGATATTCCCGACAATTCCCTAATTTTATGATACGTGAAGAATAAAAAAATATTATTTTTTACAATAAGGCAATGGAATAAACGTATTCTTGTTTTTAATTGTTTTAGAAAAAATGATCAAATCGAGCTCATGCCTTCAAGGCCTCAGAAGTTTCGAAGACTCATTTTTGAGCAAAGTAACGAACGACCACTAAAATGTCATACCATTTTTTTTGAAAATATAGCTTAAAGCTGATGAAACTATATATCTTTTTAGATGCATCCTTCGAAAATTCATACTTCCTCATAATGTGTTTCATTTTCAGATTGTCTTCAAGAACGAAGCGACTTCTGAATATATCTTTTATTACGTCACATTCCGCGCCACTGCACCTGGAGTAATCTCAACTATAGAGCTACAAACTCCAGTCAGACGAAGCGCAGCACATTCTGTACGAGTAGAAAATCCCCTCGCTTATCCATTAACTTTCCAAACTGACTGCAAAGCTCCAGACATTAATCTTCCACCGCAGTTTACTGTTCCCGCTAATTCAGAGGTAAAAATGAGGGTTCCATTACATTTGAACCCACGTACATTTGAACCCATGACAATTGCACCTGTATGCTATTGCACCTATGGAATTTTTTTTGTTTCACGGATAGTTAAACCCATACTAACCCTAACCCATGGGTTTTAGCACCCGCATATATAGATTGAACCCGTGGGTATACGCATGGGTTCAAATGTACGGTCACCAAAAATGAGACATTTGAATTTAGTTGTCTGTTACATGTTCTGGATTAAACCAGTTAAAACCGGATTCTTATATTCATTTCTGTGATATCTTTTTCAGGGAAGCTGCATGTTTGAATACCAGCCACTAAAAGCTGGTGAATTTTCCGGAAAACTTATCTTGACCAACTCTGAACTCGGCAGTTACATGTACGACTTGGCGTTGAAAGCAATGACAGCTGGACCAGAGAAAACGACTTATTTCAACGCCGGACTGGGAACCAACCAAACTATTACTATAAGATTTCAGAATTACGCAAGACAAAAAACTGACTATATCTGTAAGGTATGAAATCGAATTTTGTTTTGAAGACTTATTTTATTGCTGTTGATGTTTTTATCAAGAAAAGAAGAAAAATAACAGTAAATTTGATGTCATATATCAGTATTTGGCTGTTTGAAATATGGTAACTGATCGAATTTAGATTTTGAATGTGATTATTACTAGGGCTGGACATTTCGAATCGATTAGTAAATTATACGAATCGGTTCTGACGGAAATTTTGAATTACCGCCATCTTGTTTTTTTTTGTCCGCCGAAGGTCTGCGAACTGATTTTGTTATAGATTCTACGGTTTCATTAATTTATGTGTCCGGGGGATCCATTACAATAAAAAAGTCGCCTACAATTACGTGGTTGTATCTCTTTAAATATCTTTCAAATATTTGAGATTCGATTCGAAAAAATATTCGATTCACTTCTGAAATCTTCAGGTATTCGAAAAAGCCCTCACTATTATCTGTCGTATTACTTTTAGGTTTCAATGTATAGATACATAGACTATTATCTGTAGTGAGTTATTGATAAAACGTGTTTCTTATTGTGTGTGAATGTTCAGCAATATGTCTGAGGGATGTATTCTATGTTTTCAGTAATTCATTTGTTGACAGGACTAATTACAATAAAAAAAAGTCGCATATAATGATATATCTCCCAAGTATTCGAAATTCGATTCGAATAGTCAAGCATATTTTTCCAATGGAACTAAACTATACATTGTCAGTGTTTTTGTAAGATCTCTCATCAGTACATTTCATTTATCCACAGATTGACAATTCTGAATACAGTTGTGAAAAGACTCTCACCTCCGCACCTGCATCATCTGGTTCAGGCACTGAAGTCGTTTTAGATGTATTATTCGAACCAGTGATCTTGGGAGAATCCAGAGCCACTTTGACAGTTTCATCGTCAGTGGGAGGCGAATACATCTTCCCTTTGATTGGTCGATGCACACCACCACGCCCACAAGGACCTTTCGTCGTCCGCGCTAAGTCTTCTGTCTCGGTGCCGTTCAAAAATGTGTTCCCTACAACAACAGTGTTTACTTTCCAGGTAAATTGTTTTGAGGATTATTTTTCGTGCAGGAACAGTTTCAATTCACTGATGCACCTACTAAAAAGCACAAACACACTTATATATACTATGTTTTACGTCACAAACAAAATAAAGAATCATAATGGACAATGATGAACGCAAAGAGCATGTCATTCATCGAATCCCCTTTAATGCTCATATTCACGTAAATACTGAAGATACCGTCGCGTCGTAAACTTTTATTGTTTGTTTATCCTTAATGGGTTTTGATCGTTTATACGTCAATCAAAGTCAGAATCATGACATGTTATGTTATCAATAAACCTGTCCGATTTATACAACCTATATCGAATCGTATTAAATCTAGAAGAATCCCAGTAAATAGTACGCGATTCAGTATTACTTTGTTTACTAGAATTATGTTTTTGATCGATTTTGGTTTCAAATAGTATATAAATGGTGTTGTTTTGCTCAAAATTTGACATAAATCAAAATTTTGCTATAAAATTTACATAATTGACGTTTTACATAATTTCATTAAAACTAAATTTTAATACTCCAACCTGGAAATATTTCCATACCTGGCAATCTCAGTTAGTCTCAGTCAAACCGGAAAGGGTCCATCCCTTTTAAAAGCCCATTCAGCCTTCCAACGCCTTATTCGGAGGGAGATGTTAAACTCTACTCAGATAGATACAACACTTAATTGAGTTACGTTGAATTGGCAGCAAATTTAACCTTTTATTGTTGTCACAGCATTATGATTGCTTTCATGTTCACAATATAGGTTTTTGTTGGAAGAAAACTATTATATTATGTTGAAACGCCCTTTCAGTACGCGACCCAAAATCTCTCAAAAGCTTTATAACCTTAAACAAGAACGAACTATTTAAACGTTTTCTTTCGAACTTGACCCAAGTTTTATTTGGCGTTGAAATACCAATGAAAACAAATTTGTCTACATGGAAAATATGAAGTTTGGCGTCTCAAGTCATTCACATGTCTGCGATTTCGGTCATGCTTACATGCAACCGGTTTTAACCGGTTTGATCCTGTTATTTTTACATGACAAAAAATCACTTCGCACATCGTTAGGATCTCGTTACATCGCTAGTTAGGTCAAAATGTTAGATTTATAAACATCTTTAAAGTTCATTGACTGCTTTTATAGTTCTGACGCGGTGTTTTACGATTCTATCAATTATCTAAACGTTTACACAAAGTCGAATAATATTGCTACCTAAGTTGTCCTGTGCACTTGATCAAATTTTCATTGGCATAATATTCTCATCTCATTGAAAAAAAATTAAGATATTTGAGTGATTTTGAGTCTCCTATCCTATTTTCCGTAAATGAATATTCTTGAAATTTGAATATTATTTGATCATTAAATTACGTGTCATTGGCTTAAATTTATAGCAATGTTATGAATATATTTATGAATTAATGACATCATAAACTGTGACGTCATAATTTTTCTCCTCGATTAAAAGTACAGTATAACATTACTGAACCCTGCGTTAACCCAATATGAAAAACGGGCCCAATTTTATCATGATTTTATTTCATTCTGTTGGAATTGTATTGATTTGGTATTTTATTCCTCTAAAGTCTAAATAATATTAATCCCTTTTTTCAGGTCGATAATCCATTGTTCAGCGTAAAACCAGGAGAACCAATCAGAAGCAAGAAAACGCACAACATTTCCGTTACGTTCGATGGAGGTCCTACACCAGGCAGAGCGGTCACTGCTAAATTGACCATTTCCTGTGTCCGGTCAGCAGGTTCAGGCTCGGGAACTAACTTAAGCTGGATCTTTTACTTAAAAGGCATCACCCCGGAAACGCAAACCATTATTTAAATGTTATTTTGCTGTTTTTATTCAAAAAATTTAGTATCAGAAACTCACCCTTTTTAGATGAATTTATAGTATTGATAACTCATTTTTTGTAAGCTCGTGCTATCATTATCAGATACTTGTTACCCTAAAGTATTTTGTATTTAGTATAAAATTGTATACTGTATAGTGTTTTTGTATATTTGCTGAATAGAATATATTTTTGCTCTGGAGTTTTAAGTTTGGCTTTAGTCTTCTATACTGTTGTAACAAATGCTTTTGAGAAATAAATAAATTTGATGTTTGTACAATGGCTCATTGTGAATAAAATACTCTCGAAAGATTTTGTACAGCCTTGAAACGATATAGTGCAGGGGTCGGCAACCTTTTGTCGCTCGCGGGCTAAAATTAAGAGTTGTAAGTTTTGGCGGGCGGCACATATTTTTAGACAGTTAAAAACCGGACGGATGACCGATGTATCGCAATTTTTTCACACAAATCAGAAGTTGAAATTTTAAGCAGCGCATGAAGACTGCGACAACTTGTGAACTCAACTTAGTCGTCTTAATGATAAAAATTTACAAATGACATTTAACGTGACACTCTTTGTTGCATTACGGTCGACACGGTTTTCGACATCAGGCGGCACACTGGATGAAGCCAAGATTAAAAGCATTTCTCAAATGGGAATCACTAATCCGAGTTCTCAGCTTGTTCTTTGTAATGTTAATTTTCGAAAATAATTGTTCACCCGCTTATGTACTTTCAAACATCGATTTGACTTTTTTCGCATGGTTTGTCAAATTTGGATAGAGTTTTCTTTCAAGAAGAAACTTTTTTTAAAATCAAGCAGTGATACATCTCTCGAATAGAATATAGATTTATTTCCTCATTGCATGTCATAATATTTCATTTGAATATTTTGTGCCATTGAACCATGTCATAACGTCACAATTTCAACGTCACGTCAATTCAAATTTAATGCACGGGTATGAAAAACGTTCAAAATTCAAAATATGGTAGTCGTCTTTGAGTGTAATGATCGTTTACTCCTTGAATATAGTTCGTTTTTGTATATGATTCAAAATAAATGAGATTGTAGTTGTGTACGGATAATTCTTTAATTTCATTTTCTAATTGCTGATGGCAGCATCAGGCCATTGCGGTATTGTACCGGTTTGATGTCACGTTCTATGGCCGAGGCGTCAAGTGGTCGGGGTGTGGCGTAGGTATTGGGAATGGAATCACGAATAATCGATCCGTTTTTAATCCTTCTTCGCGAAGGCCGCAATTTAGCGCTTTGTGGACTTTGTGCTTTACAGTTAGCCCCCCGCCACCACAAGCACGATAAATATTCAATTAATTTACAATCTATAAATCGTCGCCTGGGCAATAAAAGCAGGCATCGTCCAGTACGACATGACATGTCGTTATGTATTACACGATTATAGCCGTTTGGAGTCGCGGGGTCTCACGGTTTAGTTTACCTTAACCTAGCGCTATGCGGTTTTCAACTGCAGTTTACTGATATGTCATGCTTGGGAAATATAATTAAATGTGAATAGAAAAACAACGATAATGAAACAAACACAGATAGATATGATATATTTGTTTTAAGATACAATAATTTCATCATAAATCACGGTGATGAGATTGTTAGAATGACATTTTGATCCTTAGTAAATGTTATACAAGAAAACATAAATCTGATATTGTATATTTTATTGTTTGTTGATTAGACCACGATTCCCGAAAACAATAGCAAACAACCAGCGTTAGTAATACTAGCCCAGGCTACGCCTAGTTGCACGAAATGACATGTAAAAGGTCATCAAAAATAAATCATAACATGCTGATGACGCGAGGGGTTTTCTGTTAAGAAGTCACCCCGATGCAAGCTCGCACCTTCTTTCTGAAATCATAGCGCACTCATCTTAGATCAAAATCGCTAGCTGCGACCAACAAGCTGGAAAGTATAATAAAAGAGATATATATGTGAATATTTTGCGTGTTCAGGCTGAACTCAGGCGCAATCCCACATAAAATCATCTAAATATATAAACTAATCTGTCTTGCATATACGTTCACACATTAGTATCACATCGGAAAGCTCTAACTCTGGGTGTAAAAGTTTTGTTATTTCTGTTGTCAATTATGGGGACGAACAAAACCATGTATATACCACAATATATTGAGATGTAAGTATTCAATTTTAATTCAAATGTGTTACCATAATGTGGCAGTGTATTATATTGCTTTGATGTTAAACATAAAATTATCAAAAATTGTCCTTTTAACCTATGTTACCCAGAATACGTTTGTTTCACAACGAATATATATCATGTCCGACACACGCTGTGGTATAATATATATATATATATAGGATTTGAACAACACTAGCAAAGAAAACTGGAGACAATTCAAAACTAGCAAGAGACAGTGTTAATATTGACATTTTTGTCGAAAAACAAACGGTCGTTTCTTAAAATGTGATAAGATTGATGGCAACTATATTTATTTTGAGGTAATTCAATTGTTGTAACGTTGTCATGTGAATTACATTTTTTTACGATTCTACCAGGAGTAAAATTCATTTACTAAATTTTAGTATTATCAATGCCCTCCTGATTGGAAAGTTTTAAATCAGTTTTCGATAAGTTTAGATTTCAGATATTTATTTCATCGTGCAAGACGAGTCATCCAATCAGCGACACCTTATTGCTCATTTCAAGAAGCAAATACGGCGAATTTCAATTTTTTAACTGGTACTTCCGTAGTATATGTACCAGGGCAAATACGTATTAGGGTTAGGCCATAAGTTTATTCCGATTTTCCCTAAGCTTTCTGATTGAACTTAGAATATTTTAGTTTTAACACGAGTTCGGGGACTGTCTTTGTTAGCCAAATAAATATACTCCCTGCCCATAGGTCCCTTTATACAACTTGATGTAAAATAGGTGAACAAAATTAGTTACATCCATATTGGTAAATACAATTCTGGGACGCCTTTTACCTTTAAGTTCAACTTAAAATACACACAATCATGAAAACTTTGACAAATTAGTAAAAATTGAAATAGATTAAACGCAGTGAAGCGTGTCATTCAATTTTGTACTCAATGTCCCTTGATGGAGTCCAATATCGTATTGTTTATCATACAAAAATGAATTTTGGGTGCTCCAGAAGTATGCGCACCAAGATGGCGCATAACCTGAACATAGTATGTGTATATCGGTTAGGATTCAGGTTGTGCAACATCTTGGTGCGCATACTTCTGGAGCACCCAAAATTCATTCAAACGAAATGTTGATTCAAAGTCACAATTTCAAAAAAAAACAAATATAACCATTGTAAGTAAAATCGTATCACAAACTGCGTTCTACCAAATTATCCTATTTTACAAAACCACAGAATACACATAAGCCCAGTGTGTTCCGGAGCTCATTCAACGACTATTTCAAGTAAAATTGATTTTTGTGTCGACGGTTTTAACAACCACTTATATCTTCTGCTTTTGTTATCTAAATGATGAAGGTGCTGTTCACACGATGTACAAACATCTATGACATGAATAGAATTGTTTTCATAGACACAGATTACATAGGTGTGAATGGAAACGGGTGTTTATCGATCTGTTGAAAATGAGAAGGTCAGGGGCGTGCTGACAGCAAGAATGATTAGTCTTTAAACAAAAAATTAAATCCAAAATGAGATAGTCTTTGTGTTTAGATTTCTCAACGAAAACGTGATATTGAATTACTGCTGATCAAATATGCCAGAAGCTTCTGTTAACGTCTGGCGTTTACAATTAAACACATTTATAGTTAGTAGCAACATCAGACATGGTTTAATACTTTTTTTTGTACATCTAACTAATTTCGCTTCGTCTCGTGGTTATTGTACACGAAATGTATATATATATGGATTGCTTTGCTATATTGTTGTTCTTGGGAAAAATGCTTTTTTCCGCAAGTAACCAAACCAACCGATTTCAAATTTTCAGTCTTTAGAGATGTTTGAAAACATTAGAAGGCTACTACTTTTCTTTTCTAAATTCCCGTTGAGTCCTATGCGACCCGATATTTCATCAGAAATGTTGTTGTCTTATTTTGATTCAAATATATTTTCTAAATATGGGAACACTTTATTCTGCCACGCTCACCTTGAAGGAGACATTAAAAATACCTAAATAAAGATTGACAATCGTAATTGTTTTAACAGAAATGTCCTGACAGTGTTACTGCAGTTGTCATAACTAATTGTACGAAAATTAAAATAAAAATCACGAAAATTTCATGGACAACCGTTTGACTAGTGGTCAAATTCAAACCCCCGCGTTGTTTGTAATTTGCACTTCAGAGAAAGTAAATTTATCTATCTAGTCTGCCCTTCGCCCAAACAAAATTAAGCTCTGTGTGAGACATATCCACTTAGGTAATGGCAAATGATTTCACTAAGTTAGAATAAGACAAATATATTTCAACGGTTCGCGGTGGCCACGGGTAATTTGTGTCTATGGATCTCGCACCATGAATTTGGTTCACTTTATGCCATGATTGCGTCTTGTTGACAACACTAACATTTTGGAATTCGATGTTAATCGCTACCACTTAATCTCAATGGCGTATTGTTTCAAGACGTTTCATCGATTAAACACGTTTTTGAAGGAATAAGTAAACAATAATCCCATAGTCACTGGTATTGGGGCACGTATAACATTCATTATTGAGAAACCGTTGTAAATTTTTCACTTTCATGGCTATATACGTGACATATTGAACTGCATAATTCATCGCCGTGTTGTCATCAAGTAAAGAATGAACTAAACCTTATGAAACCAAACTGAAGAATTCACCAATATTTGTTTAAACACACGTAGGACAATGTTAGGGGTGGAAAACAGTACACAGTCTATTATTCATTACAAGGCAGGATAAGATGACGGATTAATGGTGTTGAAATATTCCTATTAGTCATCGTAGAAAACCTTTGTAGTGCGATTTAGTAACACGAACCTGGACGTTGTATCCATCTCTCATACTCATTATTTGGGCACAAAATTGAAAAGAGGGGTCAGAGACGCTATTGAAATTATCCTAACTACTGGACTGATCTATTTGCACAGCTGACTGGACATGGTTTTAAGCCCCTACTAACAGATACTTCATTTTAGCATGCAATGGTCGGAAGTGAAATGATGTCGATAAAAAAATTTTAAGATTAAATTATGACAAGAGGTTCCTTTCTATAATATGTTTTAGGGCTTACACCTCACCACTTTATCCACTCGCATTTCCAATTGTCACGCCCA